ATGGAATTGGAGAACATCATTCTGAGTGAGGTTAGCCTGGCTCAAAAGACCAAAAATCGTATGTTCTCCCTCATATGTGGACATTAGATCAAGGGCAAACACAACAAGGGGATTGGACTATGAGCACATGATAAAAGCGAGAGCACACAAGGGAGGGGTGAGGATAGGTAAGACACCTAAAAAACTAGCTAGCATTTGTTGCCCTTAACGCAGAGAAACTAAAGCAGATACCTTAAAGCAACTGAGGCCAATAGGAAAAGGGGACCAGGAACTAGAGAAAAGGTTAGATCAAAAAGAATTAACCTAGAAGGTAACACCCACGCACAGGAAATCAATGTGAGTCAATGCCCTGTATAGCTATCCTTATCTCAACCAGCAAAACCCCTTGTTCCTTCCTATTATTGCTTATACTCTCTCTACAACAAAATTAGAGATAAGGGCAAAATAGTTTCTGCTGGGTATTGAGGGGGGGAGCGGGAGGGGGTGGAGTGGGTGGTAAGGGAGGGGGTGGGGGCAGGGGGGAGAAATGAACCAAGCCTTGTATGCACATATGAATAATAAAAGAAAAATGGAAAAAAAAAAAATAATAAAAAAAAAAAAAAAAATGAAAAAGACATTTCCATTTTCCTGCTTTTTTTTTTTTTTGAGACAGGGTGTCATTGTTTAGCCCAGGCTGGCCTCTAACCCATGATTCTCCTGCCTCAGAATACAGAGTGCTGATATTACAGGTGTGCACCACTACAACTAGCTGCCCACCCTTCATTACTTGTTTCAGAAATACTCATCAGATTGAAGAAAACAGAAATCTGTTTAGCATTCCCAGCTCAACTTTTTATTTTCATTAGAAGTAATAGTTGGCTTTTGTCACTAATGTAGTCCCAAATTCTCTTCTACTTATGCAAATCTCTTCACCATAAGTCAAATATGCTAAGTATTCAATCAGTTTTATTTTCTTAAAGAAACTACTCCCAAACCTTTCTGAACTGCTGTGATGTTAAGGAACTGATCTCTAGTCCTGCTGTGCAATATGGTATTTTCCTTCAGCATTTCTCTGTCTCTCTTTTGTGCTGTATCCTGATTCTTGGATTCCACAGTCTCATTTTTGGCCTGCTGATTTTTCTTGATGTAATAAATCCTTTCCTAGCGAGGTGCTGTGACTCACACCTGTAATGCTAGCTACTTGAGAGATTGAGATCAGGAGGATTGCAGTTTGAGGCCAGCCTAGGCAAATAGTCCCAGAGACACCCCCCATCTTCAAAATAACCAGAGCAAAATGGACTGGAGATGTGGCTCAAGCAGTAGAGTACCTGCTTTGCAAGCATAAAGCCTTGGGTTCAAACCTGTCTCTCTCTCTCTCTCTCTCTCTCTCTCTCACACACACACACACACATAAATCCTTTCCTATATTTCTGAAAAATAATGCATGGAGTATTGGTACTTTGAGACCTGTATATCTCAAATAGTCTTTATACTTAAAGAAAAATTAAATCATAGTTTGGCTGGAAGTAGAATTCTAGATTGAAAAAAAAATTTTTCCCTAAAAAAATTGAAGAGACCCAGTGCTGGTGGCTCACAGCTGTAATCCTAGCTATTCAGGAGGCAGACATCAAGAGGATCCAGGTTTGAAGCCAGACTGTGCAAATAGTTCTCAAGACCCTATCTTGAAAAAACCCATTACACACACAAAAAAGGGCCGGTGGCTCACGTTGTATGTCCTGAGTTCAAACCCCAGAACTGGAAAAAAAAAATTGAAGATGTATGCAGTGGCATGTATCTGCAATTCCAATACTTGGGGGCACAGGCAGAGATCTTTAGTTGAAAGGCAGCCTAAGTTACACAGCAAGATCCTGTCTCAAAAAAACAAGGGTTGGGTTGGAGTATGCCTGCCTAATAAGCATGAGGCTCTGAATTTAAACCCCAGTACCACCAAGAAAGCAGAAGGGTGCAGCTCAGTGGTAGACTGCTTGTGCAAGGCCATGGGTTCAATCCCGGAAACCCCCCCAAAAAAAATTTTTTAAGGCAATTGGGTGTGGGCACACACCTGTAATCCCAGCATTGGGGAGTGTGAGGCAGGAGGATTGTGATTTTGAGGTCATCTTGGGATACATAGCAAGACCCTGTCTTAAAAATTAAAATTAAACAATTGAGGGCTTTTTCTTTTTTTAAATCTAAACATTAAGCTTTCAGTGATGTTTAGATTATGAATTATTTTTCCATAAGTTAATTTAGGCACACTGGTTTGTGTTGTAGAGAAAATAATTATCTTTAGGACACAACTAGGACTGTCCTAGTTATATGCAAATATTCGAAGATGATTCCAAATCTAGCTAGCCTCTTTCCCAAACTGCAATCACTCATTTAATCTTTAATAACTAAACAGATCAAAAACAATTATTTAACCACATCCATGTGACATCCTGGTGAATTTAGAAATCCCTGAAGGAACAGTAAGCTGTGATTATTGAAAAGCTCAGAACACTGTTAATTGTAAAGTATTTAACAGAAGGCCACAAAGGTTGTGCTCCTGAAGCCCAGCGTTGGTGGCTCACACCTATAATCCTAGCTATTATGGAGATAGTGATCAAGTTAGCCCCAGGCAAATAGTTGGGGAGACCCTGTCTCAAAAATACTCAAGACAAAACAGGGCTATTGAAGTGGCTCAAATGGTAGAGCACCTGCCTAGCAAGCATGAGGGCCTGAGTTCAAACCTTAGTGCTACCAAAAGGGAAAAAAAAAAGGCTATGTTCCTGAGAGGATGAACCACAGGTGCCACTAGCAATGCACTGAAATGGCATGGCCCAGTGTGCATGCTGCACTGAAGGCATTTTCTCTTGTCTTCTAGCTCCCCAGGTTCAGTGATAAGTTTAATGCTGTTCTGATCCATGGGTGTTCTTTTTCTCTGGTAGCTTTTAGAATTGTTCGTCTGTGTCCAATGTTCTGAAATTCCATAATGTGACTTGGTGTGGGTCTGATCTTTTGTGCCCTTTCAATTTGTAGACTGAGTTTTTCAGTTTAGGAAACTACTTTTAAATAATTTCTTTGATGATTTGTCTTCCCTTCTCATTCTCTGTTCTCTTTCTAGAACTCTCATTCTTTAGGTGTTTGACCTTCAGCACTGAGCCGCTGGTTGATTTTCCTCTAAAGTAGAGCAAATTTGATATTCTTCAACTTTATACTCTAGTCTTTCTATTGAATTTTTATTTCTCCTATCATGGCTTTGATTTCCAAGATCTCTTTTTGCTTATTTGAGTAGTAGTTACTTTAACATAGCTTTCTGGGCATCCTGGCATGATGGTACATTCCTATAATCCCAACATTCAGGAGGCAGAGGCAGGAGGATCAAAAGTTTGCAAGCTACATTAATAAGACCCTGTCTCAAGTGGCGATGTACTTCAGTGGTAGAGTGCTTGCCTAACATGCTCAAGGCCCTGGGGTTCGGGAAGTGGCTCAAGTGGTAGTGCACCTGCCCAGCAAGCAGGAGGCCCTGAGTTCAAATTCCAGTACTGCCTCACCAATTTAAAAGAAGCTGTGAGTTTGATTCCCTGTACCCAAAAACGAGAACGAAATGCTTTCTGTTGTTATTTTATGGATGGACTATATTATTTCCGAGGATATGGATGACAGATTGATTGATGTATTGATTTGGTGGGACTAAGGCTTGAACTCAGGCTTTGCACTTGGCAAAGCAGGCGTTCTACCGCTTGAGCCACACCTCCAGTCCATTTTGCTCTGGTTATTTTGGAGATGGGGGTCTCACAAACTATTTGCCCAGCCTAGTCTTGAACCTTCATCTTCCCAATCTCAGCCTCCCAAGTAGCTAGAAATTACAGGTGTGAGCCACCAGTGTCCAGCTATCTTTTTTCTTTTGTTTCCTCCCTTGCAAGCTGTTTCCCCTAATTTACTTTTTCTTTTTTTTTTGCTTGCTTTGATTTCTTTCTTGTATGTTGTAGACTTTCCTTAACTATCTAACAATGCATGACTATCTGCTTATATTTACTAGAACATTAATAGTTAATTGGAAAGTCTGCGTGAGGACCAAGGCATATAGGTAAAGGGCTTTGTAGTGGGATTCACCATCTATTTCATTAAGAAAAAAATCTGACGAGAGCATCTTTGGGATTTTTCTTTAGGACTGGTGAGATTCCTCAGAGAAGGTTTTTTAAAGGCAGAGACAGGCTCTTGTTTACTTTCAGGAATCAATTTTCTCAAGGTTTGCTAAACCAGTTACTACAGTTACTATTCCTGTTTGCTTTTCAGCTTCCAAATGCCGCTGCTGTTACCTCCTTTCCCTTTCCCCTTACACGTCTCTACCTCTACTGTATGGCCTAGGCTTTCCAGCCTCCACCTTGAAGCCCTATTTCCTAAGCAAAATTTAAAAAAAAAAAAGGCAGTTGGCCTTGAATTCGCGACCCTCCTGCCTTGCCCTCCTGAGTACTGGGATGACAGGTGTGCCCTTCTCTTTAGGATAATGTTGTTGGAGGACAACTGCAAGACAGTGTAGAAAGGTTTTTGACACAAATTATCTGAATGCCTTAAGGTAGTATATATACTATGAAAAGATGTATTCTTCTGTATAGTAATTGGTTTTGCAAAAAATATTAAGTAACTTCCAGGGATATCCACACAATACTCCGCCCAACCGGGGAGGTATATATTGTAAGAAATCTATTTAAAAAAAAAAAAGTATTAAGAACCGCGCATGGCAGCTGAGTGAGAACACAAAACTTGCTAAAGAAACCCAGGGCATAGACCACGCCTCTTTGGAATTAGGGGAGAATGAGGGAGGAGGTCCAAGCTTGTTGATGATTGGTTGGTTTCTCTGACCAATCACGCTCAACAATCGATTTTGCTACTCGTTGTGATCCACCTCCCCCGAGGCTTTGGAGTCACGTTTACAAATGGGAATAGAGTACGTAAGAGGGATAGAACGTATAGCCAATAAGATTTTGCGGCGCTAATGGGCGGGGTGAGGCCGCTGCCAGGTTTAGGGCGGAAGGAGCGTCTCCCGAGGAGACGGGGAACGAAAGATGGCGGCGGAGTTGCTGCTGTCTAGTCTGTTGAGGTTGCTATTTTTGGGGCTCCTGGTACCTGCAAGTCTGACCCGCGGTGTCGGGAGCCTGAACCTAGAAGAACTGAGTGAAATGCGTTATGGGATCGAGATCCTGCCATTGCCTGTCATGGGAGGGCAGGTGAGGAGGCGTAGAAGGGGCGAGGGTCCTGGGCAGAAGAGGAAGAAAGGGAAAGCTAGAGAAGGAAGGGCTTAATCGCTGAGGCCGGCGATTAAGGGAAAATCGAGAAGAGTAGGTAGGATTTTTACCTTGACCCCTAGAGAATCACAGTCAGACCCATTCCCTGGGGACCAGGCTCTGGGAGGTATAGGGCTTCCCGCTGTCGGCCTCCAGGTCCCATTTCGCAATGAAAACACCCAGACTCCGCCCCGTGGAGAAGTGGCCTCTCTCCCACCCACTAAATGCAGCTGGAAGGACTTGTGGATCATTCTGTCTTCGACTGGGCTCTTCCCCAGGATCTAAAGAGGGATCTCGTTGTTCTCCCTAATCCCAGCCTCTCTTTGCCTCCCTGCCCCTAACCCCTCCCTTCTTTCCCAGAGCCAAGCTTCGGACGTGGTGATTGTCTCTTCTAAGTACAAACAGCGTTATGAGTGTCGCCTGCCTGCTGGAGCTATTCACTTCCAGCGTGAAAGAGAAGAGGAAACACCTGCTTACCAAGGGCCTGGGATCCCTGAGTTGTTGAACCCAATGAGAGATGCTCCCTGCCTGCTGAAGGTGAAAGGAACTGGAATAGATGAAATGCTGTCTGGGGAACTAGCAGTCCATCTGAGAACTGGAGTGCTTGTGAATGGAGTGGGACCTAGGGAACATGCAGGAGTTAAGAGGCTGTTGGCAAACCAGACATGGTTTGTAGACAAGAAAAAATAAATAAGCAAAGACTCCTGAAACTACTGATGACACTTTGCCTAAGGTAGGGGAAGACCTCAGAAGAGGCTAAACCAAGATTGAGGTGCCTACAGAGCGTCAGTTGGGATAAAAGGTGCAGGCCTTTCCTTGGAGAAGCTTACCTGCTACCGTAGCCATCTGCCTCTATAACTCTACCCCTTTCCTGTTTTATCATGGCACCCTTCATGATCTGAAATTATCTTATTAATTGAAACAATCTGTTTATTTCTTGTCTGAATCCTAGTATTACGTCTGTGAAGTGAGAGAATTTGTCTTGTTCAAAGGTGAATTCCCAATGACTAGAACTATGCAAGGAATGTTATAGAAGTTCAATTCATATTTGATTTTTGAGGGTCTTCTCTGTTTCCCTGATCTGAGTTCTTCAGGGATACCTTGATTTCTTATCTCTGTGGAAGGAAAAGAAGAATTAAAAAATCATAAAAAAGGGAGAAATGGAAAGACCACAGGTAGTCCAGGTGTGGTGGGACATGCCTGTAATCCAAGAGCTCTGGAGGCTTAGACTGGGGTATCAAGCAGTTTGAGGCCAGCCTGGGCTACATAGTAAGAGGGAGACCCTGTTTCAGAGAGTGAGGGGAAGGAAGGAACAGGAAGAAGGAAGGAAGGACAATGGAAAGACGGTCAGACTTTAGATGTATGCCTCTAACCACAGAAGGAGAACAGCTGAGCCCTGCTCACTGAGCATCTGGAGAATGATGTTGAAGGCAAGAGAGATAAGAAGCAGGTGACGGCTTATATATTTCAGAGCTAGGAGACTCTAGCTCCAAAAAGAGGCCTCTGCAACCTACCTCACTGGTTGTTTATTTTTTAATTGTCAGACCAAGGACTGGTGGACATATGAATTCTGTTATGGACGCCACATCCAGCAGTACCATATGGAAGGTAACTCACTCCTACATTTTCTCTAAGCCCTCGACATTGTATCATAGAAGGTGACCTGCCTCCCCAGCCACCTTCCATCCTAGACCTCTTAAAAGAGAATAACATGCTCCAATGTGGCTTCTCTTGCAGATTCAGAGATCAAAGGTGATGTCCTCTATCTCGGCTACTATCAGTCAGCCTTCGACTGGAATGATGAAACAGCCAAGGTGGCAGGAGTGTGGGACTGGGAGAGAGTGGGGTCTGGCTGCAGATTGAGCCCAGATAAGAGGGGAGGATTAAGATTAGCTGATGTGTTTCTTGGGGCTTGGTGGTCACCAGAACAAATTCCCCTAGGGCCTGGATTCTTATAGTCTCAAAGTTCCTTTGTGGGAGCAGTGCCATTCTTCTACCTTGCTATCTTTCTTATGGTCCCTCCCTCCTGCCTGATGTCTTCCCCAGGCCTCCAAGCAGCATCGCCTGAAACGATACCACAGCCAGACCTATGGGAATGGGTCCAAGTGTGACCTCAATGGGAGGCCCCGTGAGGCTGAGGTTCGGGTAAGTCTCGAAAGAAGGAAGTTGACACTCCCTGCATGACAATCCACATTCTAAGAGAAGAGGGCAGGGTTACATCTTATAGTCAAGAGGGTCTCTCCCACCTAGAACCTAAAATTTGAGACTTGTTTCCAGGTGTCAGCTAGGCATTATTGCCTGGATATTCAGGCATTTCCCATATGTTACCCTCTGTAGCCCTGCCACATTTAATACTTTCCTCATTTCTCCTTTCTGTCACCTACATTACAAAGCTGAGTGTCAATCCTTGACTTGTTTTTCACCATTATCTCACCATTCTTCATTTAACAACTTGAGACAGGGTCTCCCTATGTAGCCCAGGCTAACCTCAAACTCATGATCTTCCTGTCTCAGCCTCCTTAGCGCTGGGATTGCAGGTATGAGCCAGCATACTCAGCTTCACTTAACAACTCTTTGGTGAGGTCTTGCACTGAACATAGGGATACAGTGGTAAGCAAATACAAAGTCCCCGTCCTTGTGAAACGCACAGTGAGGGGAAGACAGATACAAACAAAAGAGTCACAGAAGTGAGTCTGTGATTATCAACTCAGAAGTAAGGAAGAAAGAAAGGAATCTAGTTCTCTCAGAGTAAATAACAATGCCTAGTTTATTCTACTTCTAGTAATCTCTTAAACTCTCACCTGCATCACTGCCAATAGCCTCTTAACAAGTGGTGTTCTTCTCCTGGTCCTTAACTGAGTGGAGACAGGCAAGCAGACATGCAGAGAATGTTCCTCAGAATGCATATAAACACTTAGTAGAGCTGTTTTCCATAAAGTAGATTTGCACTGGCAATCATGTGCTGGTAAGTGTTGAATCCCCAGATTCCTGGGGTAGGGGAGAAGCTCTGAATTGTAGTGATTTTGCTGTTATCCGTGGTATAAATGCTCCTGTCATGCCCACATGAAGCTATCAGTGTGGTGCCAATCACCTCGAATCATTTCCAGAAATGTATCAATTGATTTTTGTGAGCTGGCTCTTACACACCTCTGTAAGCATATGTCACTGAAGGTTGGAAAACCTTCAGTGATTCTGCTTTGCACAAAGGATAAGATCCAAACACTTCTAGTGGCAGTGGAAGTGGTAGGAAACAGACAGTTTCTGAATATATATTGAAGTTAGAGCCAGTAAGATTTGTTGAAGGGTTGCATATGGGACAGAATTAAGGAGAACTCCAAGATTTCAGCTTGAACAATTCTAATGATAGAATTGACATTTACTAAAGTATAAAGGCACAGGTTTGCCAGAGGAAATTAGGTTGGTTTGGGGCATTCGAAGGTCGGTCAAGACGCCTGTTAGATATCCCAGTAGTGATTTCAGTTGGCATTTAGCTCTGTGATTATGGAATTCAGGGACAAGATCTAGGCTGGAGATAAAAATACTCTTGTTTCTGTCACACTGGCCTTCTTTCTGTCCTTTGAACCAGTGGGTCTCGTTGTTCCCTCTGCCTGGAACAGTCTCCAGATCTTTGAATGGCTTGCTTCATCCCTTCATTCAGGTTATATTCAAGTGATACCTCTACGGAGAGACCTAAATCATTCTCTTCCTCTGTTTCCCTCTATATTTCTCCCTCTTTCTCTCCCTCCCTCTCCCCCCTTTCCTTCTCTCTCCCCTCCCTCTATTCTCTCACTCTCTGTCCTCCTTTCCCTCTTTCTCCCTCTATCCCTTTCTGTCCTTTTCCCCTCCCTCCTTCCCTCTTTCTCCCTCCCACTTCTTTTTCTTTCTCTCCCTCTTTCCCACTCCCATCCTGACAAGCATTTCTTGTGTTTTATATTCTTCAAAGCATGTATCATTACCTGAAATGATTTGTTTAATATCTGTCTCTATCTAACTACACTAAAGTAAGCTCCAGGAGGACAGGGGCAATGTCTCTTTGTTTCTGCTGTATCTTCAGTGCCTGAAATGGTGCCTGGGCACCACGTAGGAGAGCAGTTATTTGCATGATAAATGGAATGAATGAAAAACCAGTTTAAATGCCATTTTTCTTGATTAATCCTTCACTGTTCATGTATTTTCTTTGGGTGTTTGTACCTTTAATAGGCCAAGAATTAAGGGCAAAGACCACATTTTCCTCATATCGATTGAACACATGCCCTGCGCGCTGGGATAAAAGGGTGTTTGAGAGCCTGGTTCTATTCCTGCCCTCAGGAAACAGATATTAAATAAACAGCACAACAAGCAGGCTAAGTACTATGACAGATGAAGCACATATCACAGGGGAATGCATGATAAAAACTGAGTCTGGGGTGTAAAGGGAAGGCCTGGTAGGAAAGTGATCTTTGAACTGGTAACTGGAGGATGAGAAGTTATCTCAGAAGATGTGAAGGGGCAGGAAGGCAAGAAGAGGGCATGTCAGGTGGAAGGTGTGGTAAGTACAGAAGGAAGACCTGGAGTTTGAACTCAGGATCTACACTTTGAGCCACTCTGCCAGCCCTTTTTTTGTGATGGGTTTTTTCTAGATAAGGTCTCACAAACTATTTGCCCAGGCTGACTTCAAACCACAGTCCTCTTGATCTCTGCCTCCTGAGTAGCTGGAGTTATTGGAGTGAGCCATTTTATATATTAGAGAGATCATCCTTTTGCCTTGTAATCTTCTTTTGATGCTGGGGCTTAAACCCTAGATCTCACACATGCCAAACAGCTGTTCTTAGCTAAAATCCCAGCCTCTATTCCTGTAATTTCTTGAGCAGAATGCTCGCCCCACTAATTTCCAAGCTTTCTCCTTTCCTAAGGATGCATTTAAAGCCATTCATTTCACTGTAAATTCTATTTTGGTTGCCTCCCTCAAGTTTTGATATGTGTTATTTCCATTTTCATCATGATCTCTACCTTGCTTCAGAGCTTACTTTGGATTTTGTTTATTATATTTCTAAACAAACAGGTTTTACTTTTGTTTTTATAAGATTGCTGTTGGTCTCTAATGTGACGGCATTGAGTGAGTGATTCTTTGATGGTTTTAAAGACTTATTTGTGGTGTTTTTTTCAAAATGATAGGTTTGTTCTTGAAAGCATGTGTTTTCTGTAGTTATTCAGTTGGAGACTAAACAATGCTGGGCATGATAGTGTGCACCTGTAGTTCCATCTACTTTGGAGGCTGAGATAGGCTGATAGCTTGAGCCCAGGAGTTTGAGACCAGCCTGGACAATATAGTGAGACCCCCATCTCACTTTTTTTTTTTTTTTTTGGCAGTCCTGGGGATCAAATCCAGAGCTTTGCACATGTTAGGCTCTACCTCTGAGCCACATCCCTATCCTGAGACCCCATCTCAAAATGAACAAACAAGGCAATTTTCTGTTGAATTGGCCAGTCATTATTGAAAGGAGTATGTTGAAATTCCCATCATGATGTTGGATTTGCCAGTTTGTTAATTTTTCTTTCATATGTTGTAGGATATTTTAATTTGAAATTAAATGATTTATAGGTTTTCTAACATTGAACCAATTTTTCATTCTTGAGGTAGACCCATTTGGTTACATATATTATCCTGATTGTTCCTTTGACATCTCCCATGATTCAATTTGTCTTTGTTGTTATTGCTTGGGATTTTTTGTTTGTTTGTTTATTTTTTGAGATAGTGTCTCCCCATGTAGCCAGGGTGGCCTAGAACTCAAAATCCTTTGTCTCTGGCTCCCAAGTACTGGGATTGCTTATAGGCACTTGCCTCATGCGCAACTCTCTTACTTGTTTTTATTTCCCTTGACAACAGTTCTTAGAGATCTTTCGATGTCAATATAGCTATTTCTTTCTTTGTTTTTATAGCTATATAATATTTCATTGTCTTTTTTTTTTTTTCTTTTTGGTGGGACTGGAGTTTGAACTCAGGATTTGCACTTTCAAAGCAGGTGCTTTACCTCTTGACCCAGACCTCCAGTCCATTTTGCTCTAGTTATTTTGGAGATGGGGTCTTGCTCAGGCTGGCCTCAAACTATGTCCTCCAGATCTCAGCCTCCCAAGTAGCTAGGATTATAGGCCTGAGCCACTAGTGCCTGGCTATTCTATTGTCTTGTCATCATTACTATCCTGACTGAGATAGTTTTGTCCCCAATCTTTTATTGCAAAAGATTTTTACATAAAATAAGCATTCAAGGAAGCATAAATTCTAAGTAGCCTGATTTAATCATTATACATTGTATACATGAATCAGATTATCACACATACCTCCTAAATTTGTACAATTAGTATGCCATTAAAAAATGAAAATTTTTGTTGTGGGGCAGGCACCAGGGGCTCATACCTGTAATCCTAGCTACTTGGGAGGCTAAGATTGGGAGGATCACAGTTCAAGGCCAGACTGGGCAAATAGTTCATGAGAGCCCATCTCCAAAATTCACAGAGCAAAATGGATTGGAGGTGTAGCTCAAGTGGTAGAGCACCTGTTTTACAAGCACAAAGTCTTGCAAACCCCATTCCCACCCCCAGAAAAATTGTTGGGGGCATGGCTCAAGTGATAGAGCACCTGCTTACAAGCATGAGGCCCTGAGTTCAAAACCCAGTACCACCCAAAACAAGCTAATTAATTAATTAATTAAAAAATTTTAGCTGGGTGTGGTGTTGCATATCTATAATCTCAGCACTTGAGAGGCTGAGACAGGAGGTGCTTTTTTTGAAGAAAACTTGTTGCAAAATAAAAATTTAATTAAAAACATTATACATTTGTCTCAAGTGTGAATACTTAAGTGTAATTGCTGGTGTGGATTATGTACATTTAAAGTTTGTTTTTTAAAAAAACTGTTTTTGTGGTACTTCCTAAGGTGCTCTACCATTTGAGTCATACTCCCAGCCTTTTTTGCTTTCATAATTCTCAGATTGGGTCTCAGGCTTTTTGCCTCGGCCAGCCTTAGACTGCCATCCTCCTACCTCCACCTTCTCTGTAGCTGGGATTATAGGTGTGTCCCACCACACCTGGCCCCAAAATCTTATAGAGAATGCAGACAGGGTTTAAATAATAACACCACTATGTTCTGTTAATAAGTCATTAGGTATGACTGAATTTCTTTTGAGGTTACTAAAAATCTCAAATTTCTGTCTGTAGAATAAAATTTAATTAAAAAAAAATAATACAGAAAATGCAGCCAGGGCTGGGAATGTAGCCCAGTGGGAGCTCACTTGCCTAGCACATGTGAGGCCCTGGGTTGGATCCCCAGCACCACAAAAAAGGAAAACAAATGTAGTCATGCATAGTAGCACATACCTGTAGGCCCAGCTCTTTGGGAGGCTGAGACTGGAGAATTGCTTGAGCCTTGGAGTTCAAGGCCAACCAGGGCAACAGAGGGAGACCCCCTCCCCTCAAAAATAAACATAGAAGATTACATATAAAGCAAGAGACAACTGTACAGTGACCCCTTGTATCACCTATCTTTAACAATTTATGGCTAGGCCATTTCATCTGTTCCCTCACTACCAGGTTATTTAGAAGTGAATAACAGACATTAAATTTTTTCATCTGCAAATATTCCTATATCTCTAAAAGATAATGGCTCTTTTAAAACCATAACCACATGCCAGATTACACTAAAAGTTAACAATACAAAAATTTTTTAAATAAAAAGTTAATTTCTTATGATAATCAAATAGCCAATGTTTCTGTTTCCAAATATCCCAAATCATACATACATACACACAATAGAGTTCTTTGACTCATAATCCAAATACGGTTCCTAATGTTTGATCAAACGGCTCCTGAATTTCCTTTCATCTAGGGATAGCACTTCCAACTTTTCTGACTTGCTTGCCATTTATTTGTTGAAGAAACTGGTTGTTTGCCTTGTAGTCTTCCATAGTCTGAGTTTTCTGAATGCATCCTCAGAGAGTCTTTTAATGTATTTCTTAGTCTTCCTGTTGTTTTCTGTAAACTGGTAATTAGATGTAGATATTTTTTTGTTTTGTTTTGTTTTTATAGTGCTAGGGATCAAACTATGTCAGTGCATACCAGGCAATCTCTCTTACCACTGACCTATACCCCAGGCCTAATTCTTCTTTGAACTTTGAGTTGTTCAGAAGTTTCTTCTTAAACAAGGTACTGGTGACTCACCCCTGTAATCCTAACTGCTCAGGAGGCAGAGATCAGGAGGATCACAGTTTGAAGTCAGCTTGGGCAAACAGTTCAGGAGATCATATCTCGAAAAAAAAAAAAAAAACCCTATCTCAAAAAAATGAAAAGGGGGTAGGGACTGGCGGTGTGGCTCAAGCAGTAGAGCACCTGCTTAGAAGCGTGAAGCCCTGAGTGCAAACCCCAGTATCACACACACAAAAAAATTTCTTCTTTTCCTAACATCTGAGTTTATTCTAATTATCTTTTATGGACTTCTTGCTTAATTACATTGTGGTCAGAGAAATTGTACCATTTTGTTGAGACTTTTGTATGGCCCATTATATATCAGTTTCTGTGAATGCTTTTCTCTCTCCCCCTCTCCCTCTACTCTCTCTCCCTCTCTCTGTCTCTTTTCTTGAGACTGGGTCTTGCTATGGTAGCCCAGTCTGATCTGGAGCTCTTAATCCTGCCCCAGCCTCCCAAATGCTGGGATTACAGGCTTGTGCTGTGACTGTTTCTTTGTGCTTGAAAAAAACACATTTACTCCAGTGTTGGCTACTATGTAATTTGTGTGCATTTTAGGTCATGATTTTTGTTGTGTTGTTCAGGTCTTTTGTATCATTAATCATCTGTCTCCTGCTGTAAGTATGGATTTATATACTATTCCTTATTAGTCTCTTAATTTATTCTTTCTTACACTGTCAGTTGTTCCTCCTTGAATCTGTGGGGCTATTTACTCATTTATTCACAAGTATTTATGAAGCGCTTCTCTATGCTAGGGATATTTCCGGTTCTAGGGATATTTTAGTGAACAAAAAAGACAAGAATTCCTGTGGTAAATTGAGAGAGCAAGAGCAAGAAGTACATACGATTTTAAAATTAACTTTTTCACAAATTGAACCTTTTAACATTATGAAGTGACATTCTTTAGTAATTTTAAAAGTGTCTTGTGTGGGCTGGCAGAGTGGCTCAAGTGATTGAGTGCCTGCCTAGCAAGTGTGAGGCCCTAGGTTCAAACTCCAGTACCACAAAAATAAAACAAAAAGTCTCTTGTGTGATATTAATATAACATAACAGCTTGCTTTGAGTTACTATTTATTACATTTTCTTCATCCTTTTATCCTTTCTATGTTCTTAAGGATTTTTTTCCCTTCAACCTTCCATCTGACCACTCCTGCCTTATTTTTATGTTTTAAATGTGTTCTCTAAACAGCATATTATGTTTTTGAAATTTTAAGTAGTTTGACAATGTCCTTAGGTAAAGTATTGCTCTAAGTTTGACATTTGTGAGTGAGTGAACTCAGGGTAAGTGCTCTATTGCTTAGCCATGCCTCCATCCCTTTTTGCTCTGGTCACTTTGGACATAGGGCCTAGACTGCAATCCTACTTTACACTTCTTGCTGTAGCTGGGATGACAGACTTGTGCTACCCTTACAGGTGTGAGTCACCATGTCCCAACTTCTTCTTCTTTATATTTTTGACTATAGCCATCCTAGTGAGTATGTGGTTTTGCAGTTCCCTGATGGCTAAAGAGGTAGAACATATTTTTATCTGTTTATTGACAATGTGTTTATCTACTCAAAAGAAATATCTACTTGGATCTTTTGCCCATTTTTAAATTGGGTGATTTATCATTTTATTATTGAGGTATAAAAGTTTTTTATATATTCTGGATACAAGTTGTTTATCAGATACATGATTTACAAATACTTTCATTCTGTGGATTAAAATTCACATTCTTTTTGGGTTTTGTTTGTTTTGGAAACACTGGGGTTTGAACTCAGGGCCTCAGTGCTTTGCTTTATCAGTTTTATGCAGTGCTGTGAATTGAATCCAGGGCGTTACACATGCTAGACAAGTGATAAATCCAGCCCCTTATTTTATAGTTGAGACAAGGTGTTGCTGTGTACCCCAAGCTGGGCTCAAACCTCTTAATCCTCCTGCCTCAGTCTCCTGAATGCTGGGATTACAATTATAGGTGTGCACTATCATGCCCAGCTCTAAATTCACATTCGTGATGGTGTCCTCTGTACCACAGAAGATTTTAATTTTGGTGAAGTCCGTTGTATCTATTTCTTTTTTTCTTTCTTTCTTTCTTTCTTTTTTGGTTCTTGTGCTTTTGACATCATCCAGGTGACCTAGCATTACTTCTTGAATAGACTATTCCTGGGCTGGGAGTGTGGATCATGTGGTAGAGCACCTGCTTAGCAAGCACAAGACCCTGAGTTCAAACCCCAGAACCACCACCATCCAAAAAAAAAAGACTATTCCCATTTAATTATTTTGGCAATTTGAACTTTACTCTCTTTCACTTAGTCACCTCCTTTGGAGAGTTTGGGCACTTTCTTAGGGACTACCTCCCCTGCTGGGCAAAATCTCTGAAACCCTACTCTGGAGCTAGTATAGGGACAGTGGTTTGCATTTCTAGGAGTAGCATTCCTGCTTTATGAGCAGGGAGCTGGTTGTTCTTAGTCTGCATCTCCTTTTGTAACACCTCTACCTTGCCCATGAGTGAGCTCAGGTGAAAGTACTTAGGGTCCCAAGATTCTTGTCCTGCTGCACTTGAGATAAAGCTTCTGCCCTGAGAGTGGGCAGAGTGGAGGAAGGGAGGCCTGATCTCTTGGCCACATTTGCCACTTGGATCTGGGGAGGGTTGAGAAATACTGGTAGCCTGTCCCGCCTAGTGAAATAACATATCCAACTGCTGCATGCCTGGAAATCCAAGCACTCAGAAGATTGAGGCAGGAAGATTGTGAGTTGGAGGCTAGCCTGAGCTATTTAGTGAGACTCTGAATTGATTTTTGTGATGCTGGGGTCCAAAGTCAGGGCCTCACACTTGCTAGGCAGGCACTCTATCACTTGAGCCATGCCTCCAGCCCTCAAAAAGAATTTTTAAAATTATTTTAAATATGTCTTGTTGCCAGGTGCTGGTGGTCACACCTGTAATCCTAGCTACTCAGGAGGCAGAGATCAGGAGGACCACAGTTCGAAGTCAACTGTGAGATAGTTTGTGAGACCCTATCTCAAAAATCCCCAACACAAAACAGGGCTGGCGCAGTGGCTGAAGTGGTATAGTGCCTGCCTAGCAAGCTTGAGGCCCTGAGTTCAAACCCTCAGGAAGATCACAGTTTGAGACCAGCTTGGGCAAATAGTTTGAGAGACCTTATCTCAAAAATACCCAACACAAAACAGGGCCTGAGTTCAAACCACAGTACTGTCAGAAAAAAAAGGGGGGGCGGGGGCTGGGATGTAGCTTGGTACAGCAGTTGCCTAGCATGCACAAGGCCCTGGGTTCCATCCCAGCACCAAAAAAGAAAAGACAAAAATATATATATATAAATTTATGTATATATACATGTAGGGTATATACCCTACATGTATATAAAGCAAAAGAACATGACACAAAAATCATCTGGTTACCTACAGTTAAGCTGCCTGAGTTCATTTCCTATTTTTGCCACTTAATCAGCTGAAACAAGTGACTTAACTGCATGGAACCTAAGTTTCTTGAGCTCAAACTTGAGATCTAATATCTCTCCCACAATTATATGAGCTATGTCTATGCAGTGTACATGATGTAATGCACAGTACCTGTAGTGCTTAATGAAATATAGCTGCTCCAAGAATTAAAGCTAGCTATTGGTGGCAAATACAGTTTCTTCTCCCCTTCTGTCCTGGCAGTTCCTCTGTGACGAGGGTGCAGGTATTACCGGGGACTACATTGATCGTGTGGATGAGCCCTTGTCCTGTTCTTATGTGCTCACCATCCGAACTCCTCGGCTCTGCCCCCACCCTCTCCTCCGGCCGCCACCCAGTGCTGCTCCACAGGCCATTCTCTGCCACCCATCCTTGCAGCCTGAGGAGTACATGGCCTATCTTCAGAAGCAAGCTGGTAAGTGACTAAAAGAGTGAGGAGAGGAAGGAGAGAGATGGGGACTGGCAGGCACAAGGTAGCAATGTGTCCCTGTCCTCCTTGCCCACTGTTTTCAGTAGACTCAAAGCAGTATGAAGATAAAATCACAGAGGAGCTGAGAGACATGGACTCCCAAAGGTGGAGTGAGACCAAGTCTGGGGTAATGCCCCCAAAGAAAGCAGGTATGATGTGGTTCCACCTGCTGCATGAAACTGGCTTCCACTTCTTTCCTTCTTCTTATCTTACTGTCCATACTGACTGGTGTGGTTGGGCTGAATGATTATCATGACCCAACCCCTTGGCAGTGTACCCCGTCATGTTTTCTCCCTTCCTTTCTTCCCTCCTTTCTGTTCCATCCTGTTCTTTGTACTGCAGGTGTAAGCCCATCCAAGGATGAGAGTAAAGAATCAGACTTCTGGAAGATGGTTCATGAGCCAGAGGACCAGACCCCAGAAGGGGAGGAGTCACAGGTGGAGGTGAGAGCCATCTTCCCAGCTGCTTCTCTGATAAGGCTGGACCTGAGCTTTGGGATGGGGAGGATCCCTCAAGCAGAAGTCACTATGAGGTGACCTCCATCTGTTGAGGAATACAAAGATATCCCCAGAACCATTGCCTGAGAGCATGGTGCTATAAACCAGCTTTCATACTTGAGTCTGCTCTTTCTCATCAGGAGCAGAACCTGAACCTTGACTCTGCAGCAGATCCAGCCCCCAGCCCTCCTGATGGTGAGTTAACACTCCATATCTCCTTTACTGCTTGAATAGGCTGCTAGGGCTGAGAGTGGAGAATAGAGCTAAACTGGGATGGGAGGTAGGCAGTTAGGCCAGCAGGAAATTCATCTTCCTTCTTCCCTTCTTTCCTTCCTTCCTCCCTCCCCTGGTGCTGGAGATTATACCCAAGGTCTCCACATGAGAAGCACACACTTTACCTCTGAAGTACACTTCCAGCCCCAGGGAATTCATTTTTACCTGAGTTAATCTTTGTAGACAGCAATGCTATTTGAGGGAGACAACAGAGCAGAGGCTCCACCACTTACTGACTTTGTGTTCCTGGACAATTTCACTTAACCTCAACCTCAGTTTTCTAACCCACACTATGTGGGTAATAACTCCACCTTACCAGGTGGTTATAAGAGTAAAGGGAAATGAATCTATAATTTGCAGTAGAATGCTTTGAACTGTGTAGTCAATGAGAGGTTAGTATTTGTGGAAATGGGAGATCAGAATCAAGGAAAGAACAGCCCTTGGCCCCACAATCTCTGCTGTAGTGCTAAAAACTGGAGTTTTCACCAAAAGGGCCTTAGAAGTGAGTGAAAGAGCTTGTTGGCATCCCCCTCCCGCTGCGAGCCTACCTTAGGACAGAGCTCTTCAGGGGTGTTTACTCTTCTGTTACCAGGCAGGTAGCGCTAGGAGGCAGAGACCATGTCCCTCCTAGGCCTCTCGTTGCCTCTCCTTAGGAATCAAAGAGAATTTAAAATGCATCAGGCCCATGCTATTCTCTCATCTCAGATTTCCAGAACAATGTGCAGGTCAAAGTCATTCGGAGTCCTGCAGACTTGATTCGACTAATAGAGGAGCTGAAAGGTGGAACAAAAAAGGTAAGGCCCCTACTGGAGGGAGGAGTAGGACCTGCCCCCTGCCTGAGGGCATTTGAAAACCTACCCCTACCTGGGCCTGAATTGGACTCAATGGAGTTTATTCCCATCCTTCGTTCCTCCTCAGTTCCCCACTACCACACTCTGCTACCTGTTTGTCTACCTCTCTCCCCACTGTGTGTCACTACTGAAACTCCAAAATTGTCTGTCTTCTACCAACCCATCCAGGGGAAGCCAAATGCAGGTCAAGAGCCACCTGGAAATGATGCTGTGGAAATCCCTCAAAGGGAAGCAGAGGTGAAGGAAAAGGGTGACACCAAACATCAGAGTGCTGTGGAAGAAGAGGAGGACAACGATGAGGATGAAGACGAAGATGAGGACGAACGGCAGTTACTGGGAGAATTTGAGAAGGAACTGGAAGGGATGCTGCTCCCATCAGACCGGGAGCGGCTCCGTTCCGAGGTAAAGGCTGGCATGGAGCGAGAACTGGAGAACATCATCCAGGAGGTGAGCCCAGCTCTTACTTCCAAGGCTGCTGCAGCTACCTGCCTCTGTGTGGAGTAGGAAGGGCCAAGAGGCTGAAGCAGTGCAGCTTGGGCCATGGAACAGAGAACCGGATGTGGTGGTTGTTTACTTAATTAAAAGGGCAGAAGAGGTGGGAGAGAGGGTTGAGAACCAGACATCAGACTCTCCTATTGAAGCATCTTCTCCACTGGGCTGGACTCCCAGATCCTTGATTCTTTGCCCCCTCTTGGACTTTCTAGACAGAGAAGGAGCTGGATCCAGATGGGCTGAAGAAGGAGTCAGAGCGTGATCGGGCAATGCTGGCTCTGACATCCACTCTTAATAAGCTTATCAAAAGGCTGGAGGAAAAACAGAGTCCAGAGCTGGTGAAGAAATATAAGAAAAGGAGGGTTGTCCCAAAAAAACCTCCCCCATCACCCCACTCCACAGGTAAGAGCAGCCAGGTTGGTTGTCTTCACCCTTCAGCTGGTGCTGTTCCTGGAGGGCACCAGGTTTTTCCCCTTCTGAGGGTGCACATTCTCTTCCTGCCTTCTGGAACACTTCTCACTGTTGCCTTCTTCCCACCACTGCCATCCATTTGTGTGGTTACCTCCTAGTTATCTTTTTGGAAAGCAGCTTTTAGCAAGAGCCTATCTTGATTTCTGATTTGCTCCTCTGTGCACAGTGCCTAGCACTCTGCCTGGCACGTAGATAGTAACTAAATGACTATAAGCCTAAATGCTGAAAACCACACATCTGTGCTTGTCAACAATTAGGACTTTGTACTGGGAGAGGCCCGAGCCATCAGTATGAATAGGCAAGCCCAGCTGCACATAAGCCTCCAGCCTGAACACACTTTTAAGTTACTCCTTTTTATTGCATCAGCTTGTGTCCATTCCACAGGATTCTATAGGTGTGGAGATCAGACATTCCAAATGGAATGTTCCAGTTTCAAACCTTCCATCCCATTCTTTCTGTAAACATTGAAAGGTCATTAAAAGCCCAGCATGTGAAGCACCAAACCACAGTTTTCCAACCTCTTTAAAACAAAACTGCTTTGTTGATGCAGTTGGCCTGGATTTTTGCTTTCAGAAAACAGTTGTTTTCCTGAAGGTGTTGGGAAGAAGAAGGCTACCACTGGGGGAAGTGCACTATTTTTCTTGAGCCCTGGCTCACATACATTGAAATGGAATAGCCACTAAAACCAACCAACCGATGGCTTAGGAAGAGGTGACCACCACAGCCCCTAACCCTGGAGTCACGGCTCTGCTTTGTGTCTCCCTGTGTGTCTCCCCCTCTAAGAGGAGGATCCTGAGCACAGAGTCCGGGTCCGGGTCACCAAGCTCCGTCACGGAGGCCCCAATCAGGATCTGACTGTCCTCGAGATGAAACGGGAAAACCCACAGCTGAAACAAATCGAGGGGCTGGTGAAAGAACTGCTGGAGAGGGAGGGACTCACAGCCGAAGGTGGGCCCTGGAGGGTGGGCTGAGTAGAGCTGTCAGAAGGGCTTGCTGCTGAAGTGGAGGGGCTGGGTCAAGGTGGACTGGAAACCTCAGCTGGGAACCTGGGGAGCAGGGAACCCTGAGGCTCCCAGCCTTCCCCTCTTCACTACCATTACTGTTCCTTTCCAGGGAAAATTGAGATCAAAATTGTCCGTCCTGGCACTGAAGGGACTGAAGAGGATACACGTTGGCTGACTGATGAGGACACAAAAAACCTCAAGGAGATCTTCTTCAATATCTTGGTGAGGCATCCCACCCCAAGTCCTGGATCTCCAGCCCTCCCTGATCCCAGCACTCTGTGCTCTGGGAGTGAAGCCTAGTCACACACTGTCCAGCCTTGCATGCTGAGCTTCAGCCTCCTGTCTGGAAGGCAAGCCTAGTGTTCTGGCTGCCACTTGGGAAGAGCCCTTTTGGGGCCTTTCCCCCTATCAGTCCCCAGAACCTCCCTGATCCTGTGGCACCCAGCACTTCCCTTTCGTTCTGTTCAGCACCATCAGCTCACCCCCACTCTCCCCAGGTGCAGGGAGCTGAAGAGGCCCATAAAGAGCGCCAGCGGCAGAAAGACCTGGAGAGCAATTACCGCCGGGTGTGGGGCTCTCCAGGCGGTGATGGCACTGGGGACTTGGATGAGTTTGACTTCTGAGATCACCATTGCAAGACCCTCCAAGGAGTCCAAAGTCTTCCTAATTGGCCCTGCCTCCTCTAAACTTCCCCAAACCTGGGGCCCTGGAAGCAAAGTGGCAGAGAGGAGCTAAACCGTGGATGCCTGGGGCCCAGCCCTGAAGTGTGGGGGGCTGAGGGCCAAGAACTGCCAGCCCCCTCCCACTTCACCAGGCCTGAGGGTGTTGCTCTCCCCACATTCCCCTTCTTTTCCTCCTTTCCTTGGCTTTCCCTGTTATTGTCCCCTAATTTGTGGGTTCTTTCCTCCTTTTACCTAGAGACTTTGAAATTTTGAGTGAGGCAGGGAAGATTAGCAGGCTCCAGGAAAACAGACTGCCCACGTCTGCCCTGTGTGGAATCACTTTGCCCGTTCCTTTGGATCGCCTTGAATTTCCTTCTCCCTTCCTGTTCCCACAGTCCCCTAAAATCTGTGCTTCTGGGTCAAGGAGCCTTTACCTCTGTCACTGAGGAAATGAGAGACCATTGTGCATCACCTCGGACACAATCCAAAAGAAAGGGTGGGACGCAGAATCATCCGCCATGTTCTTCAGCAATCAGGTTTCTAAATAAAGAACTGAACCATTAACCCATCAACCTTTGGGGGAAACAGGCAGGATGCTCAAGTAGAGGAGGTGTGGTTTTCTTTGCTGGTTGGAGGGCACAGTCTCTCATCCTGTTCTTTGCTCCACACCTCACAGGTGCTATATGTGGGATTGGGATACACATGCAAAGACCATGACAGCTGAACAAAGCCAACTTGCTGACAAGGGTTGAAAGAAACATTTGAAGTATTGTTATCCCTCTTTTCCTCATTTGTCCCTTCCTTTTTTAAAAAATTATTTTATTTATTTAGTGGTACTGGGTTTGAACTCAGGGCCTCATGCTTGCTAGGCAGGTGTTCTACCACTTGAGTCACTCTGTCAGCCCTGTTTTTATTTTTTTGGTGGTGGTGGGAACAAACCCAGAGCTTCACAAGTTAAGTACCCTACCTCTGAGCTACATCCTAGCCCAGCTGTTTCCCTATATTAGCACCATTTCTTTCCCTATCCTTTCTCTTTATATCCTAAAAGCCAAAATAGGACCAAGGAGACAGCTCCCACACCCTGTGCCCAGACATCTTCCTTCTGCTGATACCTGTGTGCATGTTCCAGACTCGTTGCCAGCCACACCCCCACACCCACCTGGTGTTCACCTTTCCTAAGAGAAGACGTCCACCTTTGGCGATGCCCAGAGAGGGCTGCTGCCCACACATGCTAGATTCATAGTATGTCAGGGGTAGATGGACCTGGTGGGGTTTTTTTTGGTTGGTTGGTTGGTTTTTTTTTTTGGAGGGGGTGGGGAGAAGGGCTTCATGCTTGCTAGGAAGGCACTCTATAGCTTGAGTCACACTTCCAGCCTGTCTCCATCTCTTCCTCATTGCCAAGTCCAGGTCTGGGCCCCCTCACCCCTGCTTCCACTTCCAGAGCAGGGGCTTACAGCTCCCCACGTCAGAGTGACTCCACTGACTTGCAAGAATAGGAAAGGGACAGAGACGATATGCAATGTCTTGTCTCCAACTGTAGAAAGGGATTCAGTTGTTAGAACTTGCATTGTTATTTTGTTTTGAAATGTAAATGGGTAGACTTGTCTAAACCCATGTTGAGTACCTTGAGGGGAGGGATGCTTCATGGGGCAAGAACAGGAGCTGCCTTTGAGGGTGGATAGAGGCAGAGCACTGGGTTCAAATCCTCACCTCCATCTCTCATCAGTGCATACTTGAGCAAAGGATTTAACTTTTCTAATGCTGTTTCCTCATTGGTAAACTCTGACTAATAAGCACTGGCCACTAGGACAGTTGTGAGGATTAAGACACAGTGTGTGTCATGCTCTTTGCATGGACCTGGACCCCAGTAAGTGTGCATCAGTTCATAAACCAGCTTCTGAGAATTTAAGAGATAGTATTTGGAGGCAAGTCTTGGAAGGCATCCTAAAAACTGACAGGAAGCTACAGTAATCCCTTGGAATATTAAGGGGCAAGAAGCTGGGGCAGGAGGTTATCTTTGGTTTGCTGGGTGGAGTCTCAACATGGTCAGAAAACAGATCTAGAAACCACAGTGTTTTATCATTTTGTACTTTCAGTAATAAATTCCTTTTTTACTTTTCTTTGGCTCTTGGCAAAACTCCCATGGAGGTCAGTTTGCCCCAGCTGTGCTAAGGCAAACAAAAGGAGGGGTGCAGGATATGTGGCAGATGACAACCAGAAGGCCTGGAGGGCTGGGAAATGGCAATGGGAACCCAAGTGAGGAAGTGCAAGGTGAGATGTGGGACTGGCATGGATGCAAAGATGGCAGCTTGCCTTCATCCACCCAAGATTCCTTCTAGAATCTTATTTTACCATAACCTGGAGGGCCTGTCACCCCAGCTGCCCATTAAATAATCAAGTGATTACTTGGTGGTGGGATTGGTGGATACCTTGACCATTTTGCTGGTAGAAAATTAGATCTTCCCACTGGCCTGTAGTTCCCTTTGCTGGTAACTTCATTCTCTCCTGGGTCCTTGTTTCTTCCCCATACTCTCTCGCACTCCAAGCTTCTGAGGAAAGGAGTGAGCTTTTGCCATGAGGAAAGTGGAGATGAAGTGAGGAAGAGTTCAGGGTCTAAACTGAAGGCTAAGTGGCCAGGTCCTCCAGGTGAGACTTATTTCCCCTTCTTCCTCTCATTTGCCCATACATCTGCATCTACACCTGAACTCCTGACGCTACCTTTTCTTGGGTCACACTGCTGTGCTGAGTGATCACTCAGCCTAGGATCCTGCAGAGTGGCAGCTGCATGTGAGTTGGCCTGATGCTGGTGCTTCCGCCATACCTTGTCTGTGGGCTGGCACACCTGCAGTTGGATTCCTTGGGGCTAAGAGGCACCAGGGACTGAAAGCAAAGTTGCTGGTGTCACCAACTGATTCCTCAAGGTGGACAACACATGGGGGCCCACCACTATCCTGCCAATTCCCTCTACCAGGGCTGATGCTTTCAGCTGCACGCAGGCTTATGTGCTGAGCTGAGTAAGCCACCCACCCGATCAGGATGGCGCCATAAGGATAGGTGTGCAAATGCCTGCATCAACTGGCATGGAGCTTGTGGACATCAAGGACCTGTAGCCAGTTGGGCAGTCTTTCCCAGATCTTTCACCCACTGCCTCCTGTACCCACTGCCCAGGGCCAGGAGGATCCCTACTGGTAGCTCTACCCTGATATCCAGTGCTCAAGGAAAGCAGGCTGGTTTAGGGCAGCACAGGTCTGGAGCACTTTCCACACCTGGTGCCTTCTGAACAGATATTGCCCATACTACAAACATGCCACCCAGGTCACATGCCCAAGGTCCCCTAGCTAGGGAGCAGAGGGCCAGGTACCTGTTCTTAAATCAGAGCAACCCTACCTTCTTACCTCCCCTGCCCCCAGGCCTGTCCATTCTTCCAAGCACCACACCTACAACTGGCTTATCTTGTGCATCTGACTTTTCTGCTCACAGCCCCATAGAGCAGCTCCCATTTGCCTATTTCCTTTCATTACATGAACTCAGGACTGTTGTACAAGATGGAACAACCTCTGTGCCCTCAAACCAGCCCAGCCGGAGGTACAGATGCCTGGCCCTTTCCACTTCCAGGTCCCCACCTTGACCAAGGCCATACCCTGACCTGCCTCTTCAAGAACAGACCAGCAGCTCGCCCCCTAGACAAAAATCACTTCCTCTTTAATTGCTGTTGAAGATTCACACCACCTGCTTCCGAGGAGATTGGGGGAAGCATCGCCCTTGCCCCCATCCTACTCCCCTCCCCTATTACCTGGTCTTTTGCAAAATATTTTTGCCAGGAAAAGAAAAGGAAAAAAAAAAAAAAGACCGGAAACCACTGACACAGACAACCCAAGGGCTGGGTTGAACGAGGGAGGCAGAGATAGGCCAGGTAAGTCCACCCCACCTCCCCCTTCTGAAGATGGGGCAAAGGGACCTGGAAACCTAGAAGCCACTGCACAGCCTCTCAGCCCTGGCTGGGAGGGAGCATGGAATTGAGGGACGGGTCTGGAGCTGCTCCAGTGGGAGGGAAGGGCTGGACAAAAGAATAATGGGGGAGAGGGTCCCATTGTAGGAGTGCCCCCTACCCCAGGTCACCATGGGCGCTGCACAGTCACAGGTACGCAGTCACGGTCACAGACACTCACAACCCAAGAGCACCCCCACCCCACCCCCTGCCCACCCTTGGCTTCCCCTCCCCCCAAAACGCCCTCCCCACGCCCTTGCCCACCCCACCCCCATGTTGGGGAACAAAGCAATAAATTACAAGGCCCTCTCAGCCCGCTTCTACTCCATCCCTTCTCCCTCCCTAGATAGTACGGGAGAGACCCAGGCTCTAGGATCCCCGCTTCCATCCAAGGGTAGGTGTAGGGGGACATCTTGATTTCCACTCCTCATGGTCCCTTTCACGGAAAGGGTTGGGGACCCCCCCCACACCTCCATGGGCAGCAGGGGTCCTGCCCCTCGCTGCCCTTCCCCCCTTCACTTGGCAGTGAGATCAGCGTGGAAGGGGTGGGGTCCCGGTATTGGTCCCACGTCCCAGGGCTAGCCCTCCAAGTACGAACCCCTCCCTCTGGCGTGGCATAGCCCCAGGAACCAGCCTGGGTTTGGGCTCCCGCCATTGGATTGTTGAACGCAGGCAGGACTGGATCTTTTTCCGCCCCTAGGGGGCGCGAGTGGTCATGTCCAAGCGCCCTGCAGCAGGTACTGCGGCGGGGGCGTCCCCTTCTGAAACACGGAGCGGGAAGACCCAGAGTAATCCGAGTGTGCAAACAGTGGAGAAGGGGGCTTGTTGAGCTGGGGTCTCCATGCCTCGTTGGGGAGAGGGAGGTGAGTTTGTGTCTTCTGGGAGGCGTGGGGGCTGTGCCCTCGTGGGGGTAGGAAGTGCTCCCGTGGGGCGGGGTGCGGATTGGAGAGGTGAGTTGGATGCATCTGTCCAACGATCCACCCGGTGTGGTCGTGCCCGGCTCGCGTGGGGGTGGGGGTGTCTCTCCCGGTGCTGAGCAACTATACCAGCGCGACCGGGGCGTCGGCGCGACCCACGCTGGCTGCGCTGCTCCGGCGCCGGGGGCTGGGCGTGGCGGTAATGCTAGGCGTGGTGGCCGCGCTGGGCGTGGTGGCTGTGCTGCTGCCCTCACCCGGGCAGCCGTGCTGGAGAAGGATGTCTGCACACAGCTGGCTCCCAGCCTGACGCGCGTAGAACAGCGCGGTGCGGCCCTGCGCGTCGCGGGCCGCCACGTCCGCGCCGTACTAGAAGACGAAAACGGCAGCGTGACCGCGTGTCCCGAGGGGAACCCGGCCTCCCCAAGACTTCCACGCCCACCTTCAGCGTCGCTCTCCCGCGCCGGGTGTTTTCCGAGATGGAATCCTCAGGACCCCTTTACCTACCCCCTCCCATTCACTTACCCACAACAGCAGTTGCGTGATGACAACGTGGGCGAGCTCAGCAGCCAGGTGAAGTGGGGAGCGGCGCTGCGGGTCTTCCACGCTGGTGTCGAGCGGCCCGTGTCGCGCATGGGCCAGAAGCAAGAGAACGGCGGCCACGTCCTGGGCCTGCACCGCGGCCCACAGCTGGTGGCCTAGCGGCCCCTCGGTAGTGCCCAGCGGCGCCAGGAACAGCAGCTGCTCATATTTGGCGCGAATCCAAGACTCACGCTCCTCCCTGCAAGACCAGGCATCAACTGAGAGAGTTCTAGGGACCTCTAAATGGCCAGGGGACTCGCTCCCAAGAGCCGCACGCCTTAGCACCGCTGCCCCCAACCCCCGCGCGCGCTGTTCCTTTACGCTTACCGAGAAGAGTCCCGCGTGGGCTTGGCGCGGCCCCGAGTGTCGCTCTCCCACACGCGGTTGGCCGTGTCGTTGCCAATGGCCGTCAGCACCAGGGTCAGCTCCCGCGGCCAGTCGTCCAAGTCCAGCGAGCGAACGCGGGACAGGTGTGTGCCCAGGTTCCGGTGAATGCCAGAACACTCGATGCAGATGAGTGCACCCAGGTTTAAACTGGCCCACGTGGGGTCTGGGGACAGAGTGCAGAGGTAGGCTCCCGATTGGGCCTTGATTGGAACCACACTCCCTGGCCCAGGGTACCACTTCCCAGTCCCCTCCACTGCGCCCTGGCACTCACTGGGGGCCCCACAGTCAACGCAGATGGAGTTTCCCTTGGCATTCCTGATCGCCTGGATGGCCACAGCTTCACTTTGACTGTCTGTGCGCAACTGCAGACGGGGTGAGATTAGTACTGATCCTCCCACAGAGCAATTCCTCCCCCCTCTCCACTCCATCTCATCTCCGTTCAGCCACCACAAACCATTACCTTGACCTTGCTGCTCTCGCAGCATTGCAGACTGGCTAGGATCTGACTCTCAATAGCCTGGACCCAGGCATCCCGCTCCTCAAAGCTGGCTGCCTCAAAGTGCCACGTCTGACCAGTGCTGGATACGATCAGGAACTCAAAATTTTCCTCTGGGTTATGGACGGATGGGGTCATGAGGGACAGAGTTCAGGCAAGGGCCTTCCCCAACCCTTCCTCCCTGATGTCCATCCGGAGCCCCTGGGAGTGGGGCAGTGGGGAAAGGGGAAGCAGAGGGTGGGGGGAAAGCAGGAAGCCCGAGCACATGCAGGGAGAGGCAGGGGCACCCCCACCCCTCTGCACCCCAGCTGAGCGCCCCTCCAGGCTCCCCACTTGTTACCTGCTTTATAAATATTTCTTAAACTACCAAAGGATTTTAGTTTCCACATTTTGCGCTTGGCTGGTTTCCCGAAGCGGAGGAGATAGAGATAGAATGGAGAGCAGACAGAGAAAGAGAGACCAAGAAAGGAGGAAAAGAGAGGCAGATGGAGAGATGGAGAGAGACGGTGACAGAGAGTGCCAGAGACAAAGCAGGACAGACAGATGGGGAGAGAAAGCAGAACTAAAGTCAGTGGCCCCAGAGCAGAGTGGAGCGGAAGCCAAGAGCCATGAGAGTAGGCAGATCTGGAACCAGGGTCTGAGCACCTGGCAGAGAGCAGGGGCAGTGGGAACAGTTATGATCAGAGAGGAGCCGGGTCTCTGCAGGGGTGGGGAAGGTCAGGATCTGCATGAACACAGGGGAAGGGGACAGAAGCTGGGCCACAGGCTAGGATGAGAAATCCCTGGGATTCAGGAGGAGACTGTGGGGCTAGGGGAAGGGTCCCTGGGAGAAAGAAATAGAGATCACTGTTGTTGAGGAGCTGGCGATTGCTGAATGTTACTGAGAACAGGGGCCAGGTGGCCAGAGTTCAGGAGCTGGGGACTGGGGACACTGAGTTCAGGGGTTGAGTTACCAGGGTTAGGGCGCAAGGGGCACAGGGGCTGGAGTTGTCAGTGGAGATTAGGGCAGCAACAGGAACTAAAGAATCATTAGGAAAGGAAACAGAACAGGCTAGAGGCTCTGGGGAAAGGCACCGGCTGGGGAACAGGGGAAGGGGCCAGGGGATGTCCATCCATTTCCCACTAAATCATGTGCAATGCAATGATGATTCAGCATTCATCTCAGGCACTTTGCCTCCTGTTGCAGGAGCCAGGCCAGGGATCTGATGTTGGGCATGAGGGTTCAGGGTAGAGTGGAACCCCCACCAGAGCCTCACCTTCAGCTTGCACAGCCGAGCCTTCAGTCTTCGATGGTGTTGTCAATTTTTTCCTCCTCTGCTTCTTCACCATGGGAGATGGAGGGGGTTCCCGACTCAGAGGGCTCAGGTCTCCAGATGGGGTACAGTCTTAGGAAGGGGGACACAGCTGCCTCAGTTGCCCCCTGCACAGGTTTCCTGATTTCTTGATAGCCCTTCTCCTCCCCTGAACTAGCTTTGTCATTATAGAGTATCCCTCCTCAGCTGTCCCTCTCCAGGAGGTCCCCCTGGATCATTCCTAGGGAGGTGGGCAGATAAGTGGTTTAGCATTAGACCTGTACTCAGTTCCTGGCTCTGTCACTAGTACTGGCCTTGGGACCCTGAGCAAGTCACTTAATCTTCTGAGCCTCAGTTTCTTCATCCCTAAAATGGGGACAATAATCTTGACCTGATAAGGTTGTTGTGAGGAACATCTGCTACAATGTTACTTACTACTTAAATATATATTTATATACATGGATATGTATTTCTGAACATTCTAAACACTGGTATATGCTATCTATATATGCTAGATAATGTTCTCAGTTGTTTAATCCTTGATGAAATCCTGTGAGTGGAAACTGTATCTCCACTTTACAGATAAGGAAATTTAGGCATGGAGAGGTCAAGTAACTTGCCCATGTGGCAGCCAGGATTTGGGCTCAGGCAGACTGGCTCTAGAGCCTACTTGTCCTAACCATCATGGTAGACATGATGTGTGAGTTTGGTGCCAGGCACCCAGCAAACACTCCATGTGTTCACTCAAGCATTTATTCCAGCTCCAAGCCTCCACCCCAATTTCACTTCCCACCCACATCCCACTGGGATCTGGAAGACAGTGGATGAATGGTGTTCCCACTGACCAGTGCTGAGGGCTCGAGCCAAATTCCGATCTGGCTTCAGCAGGTGCTTGGATGACTGGTCTGGTGGTAGCTGCAGGGAACTGGGGCTGGGACTGGGGCTTGGCATGGGAGTAGTGGCTTCTGAGGGAAGGAAAAGATGAGACTTCAGTTCATCTGTCTCCCAGCCTCCACCCTTATGTGGTACCTCTTTATCACCCACCTTCCCACTGACCCATTGCCAGCTCCCACTTCCCTCCTGCTCCTGTTTTCTCTTCTCTGGCTTCTCTCCTGCCTCTTTGTCATAAGCCCCACTTACCAGGGCCTTCACCCATCTGGACAGTGCTCATGTCCTTGACTAGCCCGTTGATGCTGGCTGAAGGTCCAAAAGCAGAGATGGCTCTTGGGGGTCGCTTGCCTGGGACTTTGACTGTTGTTCGTAGCAAGTCCATTTCCTTGCCGTGGGTACTATGGATGTAATCCTGGAGGAGTATGGAGTTGAGAGTGTAGGGAAGGTTGGGGTCTTTGGTGATGCTGGGAAACAGTCCATAGTAAGGGATGGCAATGGGGCCCTGGGAGCTAGCTGACTGGGCTGGGATGAGCCTCTAAGGAATGGCCCTAGAAATGTGCCATCAGACTTGGCCCAGGATTATCTCCTCCAGAAAGCATTCCCTGAATGGCCAGGGACAGGGCCTTCCTGGTGCTCTCCCAGGTTCCTGGGGAGGTGAATTTACCTTCACAACCCCAGTATGGGCAGATGGTGAGCTCTTAATATGCTTGCTAAACCTAAGAGCGTAGAACTAGAACTTCCCAGAAATTATGTTAATACTTGTCAAAGGCACAGACAGGTAGAGCTGGAAGGACATCCAAGGTTGGCCTGTGGCCCACTCTTTGCCACTCACATTAATGCTGGGGTGATAGAGTAGGAAGCCATTACTGGACAGGGTCACATATTTCTTCTTCCATTCTTTGTTCAAGGAGTTGCCACTCCGCTTTAGTAGGAAGCTCTGAAGTACAGAAAGACATGTATGGGAGAAAAGCCAGCTAAGACTAGCTACCCCAGCCTTCCCCCAGTCCCCAAACCACCTACCTGTTTGATGGGGATGGCTCGCCCACTCCCTGTTGTCTCTCCCCGACTATCCAAGCTCCGCTTCTCAGAGTCACTACCCCGACGATTCTGATATGGTTTTTGGAATCAATCAGATGGATAGAAGGACAGAGAAGACAAATGAGTGCCCAACAAAGAGGACTATGGAGTAGGGATGAAGGGAAACAAACAGAGGACAGCAGGATAGCAGGTCTGCATGTTCAGTACCGCAAAAAGGCTGGTCCTTCGCTTGGCTGCACGATGCAGGGACCCTGGAGTGCTCAGTCCAGCCACTGCAGCTGCCTCAGCTCGGAGCTCCCGGTGGCCAACATTGGGTGAGGATGGGAGGGAAGAAGAGTAGTCGCTAGTGTGGCCCCCGTTACTAGCCTGGGAATATAGAGAGGAGTCAGCAGCGATGAGCTGCCCCCCCTCCCACCTCCTCAGTTATGAGGAATTGGGGACATTCCTTGATCTCATCACTATTTATTTATGTTATCAGTAATAAAAATGCTTACTAACATTGTTATAGTGCTTTAAGTTTTGCAGAGATTGGCTTCACACATATTATGCTATATGATCTTCCAAAATAATCTTTAGCAGTTAGGTGACTTGCCCAAGGGCATTGCAAATGTTATCTTAAACCTGGTCAGTTTTCAGTCCAATGTACTTTCTGCAAACAGTATCACTGCCATTTCCACCTGTTGCCCTCCCTCAACCTCCTGTATTCTTTATCAGTCTTTGGATCCCCATCCCTTCCTCTTGTGTTTCTGACACCCCGACTCACCTGCCCAGCTACAGGGGTGGAGGCAGCTGAGTGGCTTGGGGAACTAGGCAGGGACTTGCAGGCAGCCAGAAGCTGCTGCTGTTTTCGCAAGGTCACTACCTTCTGGGCCACTGAAGGGAGGGAGAGAGGGAGGTGTGAGCAGGGCAGATACCCAAGTCCACTCTTCCATGCCCACCTTTGGGAAATTCCCAGGAGTCGGGTGCTGGTGGCTCAAATCTATAATCCTAGCAGCTTGGGATCAGGAGGATGCAGGTTCAAGATCAGCCTAGGGAAATAGTTTGCAAGACCCCATCTTCAAAATAACCAGAGCAAAATGGGCTCTGCTCAAACAGTAGAGCACACCTGCATTGCAAGAGCAAAGCCCTGAGCTCAAGCCAGAGAGAGAGAGGGAGAGAGAGAGAGAGAGAGAGAGAGAGAGAGAGAGAGGAGAGAGACAGACAGAGAGAGAGAGAGATTCCCAGGTGATAACAAAGGTCCCAACTTCCTTGTCACTGTGTCCTCCATGCCACCTGTGGCCCAGCCAGTTCTCAAGCCCAGAAAGCCTTTGTGACGATCAAGCGATCAAGCAAACCTTCCCTGGCCTACCTTATCTATCCTCCCTCCCACAGAGCTAATTTTGTGTCACTCACTGGAAAACATAGAGACCTGGATGCATAGAACATCCCAGACCCCTAGCTCCCTGCTTTTCACATATTCTAGGGATCGCCATACTCACCCTCCTGGAAGACCCGATCCACGTTGAGTCCATAGGTTGCACACGTCTCATAGTAGCTGCAGCGTTTCATGTCTGCACACAGAGCCCTGGCACGAGCATCACCCACCACACGAGGAGAGGAAGCACTGATTCTGTCTGAGGGAACATGAAAGGAGCAGGATTGGATGTGTGTGTGTGTGTGTGTGTGTGTGTGTGTGTGTGTGTGTGAGGTTGGGCTTCTCCCCACTTTTCATGATTCCTTTTCCTGTGTGCTCCAGGCTCAGGCTGGGTCCACAACAGATGGAGGTGGGAAAACATCTAATTTCAAGTTAGTGTATAAGCTCTTTCTCTGTGCTGGCCAGGCTCACACATCAGCTACATGTAAGGAGGCTGGGTGACCTGGGTGAGCTCTGTGTGTGTGTCTTTTAAAAGAGCACTATAGAAGTGAGTGGTGCTTCCTGACAAGGTCTGAGCTTGCTGACAATGGCTGAGACTCATGAGTGATAATTACCTTGTCCTGAAAATCCACTGAACACTGACCTGAGTGAAAGGACACCTGACATATGAGCTAGAAAAAAGTTGAACACCCATGGGTAACAGGTGGACTGTATAGTGAGAAACCGGGAGGCAAGCAACAAGTGGAGGCATACACCTGCAGCATTGGCAGCCAGACAGAAAGTCCTGCCAGCTGGATGCAAGTGGCACTGGAAAAGCTCTTCCTGTCCTGGTCTGGTAGAGAGTCTGAGGGCCTCAGAGTCACTGCTTTGAGAACTAAAAGGTTTTCTGTTCTCCTTTTTTCTCTAGCATTTCCTTTGTTGTTTTTCTTTATTTCTAAGATAAGTTTCTTTAAAAAGGTATCAGACTGACCTGACATGTAGCATGGGGAAAATGGGAAAGACTTTCTAATCCATTCTAGGACTTGAGACTCTTTGTGTGCCCCATGGTAGTGGCATCAGGAAATGGTAGTGTGAGAACAGAAGGTAAGTAACATCTCAGGAGAGAAATCGAGATAACTACTATGGCTGTCCTTTCCTCCCTGGTACTTTCTCTGCTCAGATCTCTGCATTTTTGTTTAGTTTCATGACTCCCTTATTTGGAGATCATGCTCCCTTCCAGAGGGTTACTGGAGTCTAATTAGTCATCTCTACATCTCACCAAGCTCTCACCCATGTTGGGGAATATCGCAGTGGCAGCCTCCCCTGAAAGCAGTGCTTCACCAGCCCCTCCTTACCTTGTGTCCCCACCAGTGCCAGGGCCAGGCCTCCTCGCCCCTCTCCTCGAAGGGAGCTCAGCTGCCCGTGGAGACGGCTCACAGCCTGGAAACTGCTCTCATCCTCCAGGCTAAAGACGAAGATCACAGCATCTGCCCAGCCTGAGAACTTGTGGGGATGAAAGGGCAAATAAAGAATTAGACAGGTCCACTCCTCTGGACACTAACCAGAGAGAGACCAGGGAAGCCAGAAATCTCTCCCTTGTCCTGTCTACCCATCCCACTACCTTCACCCCTCACCTTGGCATCAGGTGCCCCAGCTTCCTCTCGGATCAGCACCAAATGAGTCTGCCCATCCACCAACATCTCTTTCTTGTACTGCTCACCTGCCCAGAAGAATCAAAAGGTTTAATAGGTCTGAGGTGACCAGTCACCAAATCTTTCCATATTCTCTATACTTAAGTTATTGTGGTCCCATCTTCCCTCTGCTCTCCATACCTCCTGGACCCCCACCCCCATCCTTAGCTTACTGTGGTTCCTGAGAACTCACTCTCACTCTTCTCCAGCACCTGGTATGAACCGGTCAGGAATCGGTGGATGAGTGATGACTTCCCACTCCTGGTGTCACCCAGCACACCCTAAGGCCGAGGTTGGAGAGCAGAGAGTGGGAATTAAGAGAGAGCAAGATGCTTCTGTGTGCACATGCCAGAGAACCCAAAGGAACTGACAGTGTCAAATCACAGTCAGTCAGGAGAGGCAGTTGGGATGAGTAGGGCATAGTGTGGTAAGAAATTATCCCAAACTTGAAGTGGACCATAAGCTGTCCAGTTCCAGATGTTTTGGTGTTGTCTAGGAGTCATGGGACCTGTGGGGGGGGCATATCTCAAGAGTGGGCATTCCTTGGAAAGTTTTACCCAATTTTAAGCAATAGACTATGAAGGGCCAAAAGGGTAGATGCCTGGAAGAGGATCCTGGACAAACAGAAGATAGCACATGAAGATGAGCAGAAAAATCATGTATTAAGCCCCACAATAGTGCTATGAAGGTAGTGTCTCAAGAGCAGAGGTAAACTTCCTGGTCCTCACAGAGAGAAGGAAAGGGAGAGGTGAAGAGAAAAAGAGGTGAGAATGCAGTAGGAGAGGTCAGCCTTCCCTGCAGGCCAGGGGCCTGGGTTACCTACCAGGCGCAGTTCAGGAATGGAGCGGCTCAAAGTCCATTCCTGGCTATTGACCACAGCCTCTGTAAAGGGAGAGGGGCAGTAAGAGGGGAGGGTGCAGCCCAGTAGGACACCAGATTTTCTGCCACACTCCTCTCTTGGTGACGTCCTTAACTCCCAGGACCCTGCCTGCACTGGAGAAGTGTGTGGAACACATAGTTCTGACAGTGGTCCCCAGTCCTCCCATCCCAGCCGCTCTTCCCACAGCTGTTGCCACCACTCAGTGGTTGCTAAGCAACAGAGCTAGCAAGACAAAAATACTTCAGTTGGCACCTCCCTTAAAACACATCCCCAAATGTGGGTCCCTGCCCCAGACCGGGAGACAGGACTCTGTCACTGGTGGGTTCTTCCCCCTAGAAAGAGAACCAACCGAGGGGCTCCTCCCAGAAGGACAGATTCCCAAGGCAGATACAGTGAGGCGGTGCTGAGCATAGAAGGCAGTGCATCTTTCTCAATCTCCATTTCACAGGAGAGAAACTGAAGTGAGGGCTTTTCTTCCCCCTTTTCAAGGTCAACAAGCAAGGTATTCCTGACCCCTCCCCACATCCCAAGGGATAGACAGCTTGGATTTTCCTATGCTTCTGTCTCCCACAGCCTCCCACAAGCGCCCTCCAAAATAACTGTGAGGAAGGGCTCCATCCCCTGGCTGAGACAAGCCACTGGCCTGGGGAGAAAGGACACTCCTTCCGCCCGCCGGGTCCAGCCCCCGCGCCTGACACTGGCCGGACGTTCCCGGGGCGCCGCAGCTGCGGCGGGAACTATGGGATCCGGAGCCATCTGCTCCCACCCGCTCTGCAGCCAAACCCGGGGGGCCGCCCCCGCTTTCAGACCCGCCTCCCCTCCGGGGAGTGTGAGCCGAACTGAGTCCCCCTGCCTATCTTCCTCCAGTTTCGGGAATTAAAAAAAAAAAAAGTACCTTCCCTGTACCGTCCCCCAAGTCTCCTGGGGTAAGAATTGTCTTTGCAGCAGTTCTGCCCCCCTGACTCACTCTGGGGTCAGCCCCCGGCGGGTTTCGACGCCGCTGTGGGGCGGGGGTGGGTAGTGGGGAAAGTGAGGCTTCCTGTCAGCCCCCTCTCAGTTCACATTTAAATATTCAGCACGTTCCAGCCCCCGCGCACTCGCGGACCGCCCAATCCACCTTCACTGCATGGAAAACACCATTAGCTTGCTCTCCACCCAGGAGACCTGTCCCTGGCGAGCAACTGCCTGCAAGGTCATTGTCACGCCACCTGCCCCAAGTGCTACGGGGAACTGGGGTTTCCACGTCCCCTTCACCCTACAACATCCCTCTAGGCAAAGCAAGGAAGGCTCCGTCTCCCTGCTTCCAGCTGAGGCTGGAAGAGGGGTCTGAGATTGCTCTGGGAGTAATTTCCTACAGGTATTGACCAAGGGCATAATTTTCTAGAAAGCTCTGAGTCTCCCCAATCCCTCCAAAATCGAGTCATCTCTCATGTCGCGCAGTGTAGCTACTCACCGCGCTTCAGGGTCTCTTATTCTTTGCCCCCGTCCTTCGGAGAGAAGCGAGCCTGGCTTGTCCGCCCACCCAAGAGAAAAGCTTCCCTAGTTTCCTGCACATCTCTTCCCCAACCCGAAATGAGCATTCCAGGTGCCCTCCCTTCCTTGTTCTCAGGCCCTGACCCTACTCACTAGGGGAGGCGCGGAGCTCTGCGCCCAGCAGCTCCCTGGACCCGCTGCCAGAAGACAAGCCTGGGGGTCCGGGAAGGGGCCCGGAGCCAGGAGGCCCTCCTGTACTCTTGGTGAAGATACCGCTGATAAACTTGAGCATCTTGCGGTCACGAGTAGATGCTCGGCCCCCCTCCCGGCCTCGTTTCAGCCCAGGGGCTGGAGGCTCCAGAGTGATAGGAGGTGCAGGCCCTGGGGACTGCATGGAAGCGGCGGTGACAGCAGCGGCCGGAGCCGGGATTGCTGGGACGGTTAGCGGAGGAGGAGAGCCGGCAGGCGGTCCTGGGTGCAAGTCACTGTTGTCCAAGGTCTTACTCTTGCCTTTCCGAGGAGACAGCTTTCCTCGGGATCCAGCCCCAGCCCCGACCCCACCAGAGGTCGCGGCTGCAGCGCCCCCTCCCCCGGAAGCGGCGGCAACGGCAGAAGCTCCAGTCCCAGCGCTGCTCTTTGACCCCTTGACCCTGGGCTTGCCCTCGCTTTCGGGCCATGACAGGCGACTACTCGCGCCCTTGCCCCCGCCGGCTTTGGCTCCACTAGTGGTCACGGTCTTGCAAGGCTTGGGAGCAGGTGGAGGAGGCGCCACCTTGAGCCTCCTGCTGCCAGTGCCAGGGTGCGGGGAAGACGAGCCCGGGACGCCGCCGCCCGGCCGGCCTTCAGGTTCCGGGCCCCCCCAGCTCGGGCTGCTGAGTAGAGGGCGCCGGGAGGAGGGGGGGGCGCCCCCGGGCTTGGGGTCGGGGCTCAGCCCCCCGGAGAGGGGGGGTCCCGGAGGGGCGGCCCAGAGGGAAAGGCGGCGGCCGGGAACCGGGGAGACCGGGCGAACCGGACTGGCTGGGGACAGGGCGGGGGGCTCCGCGCCCCCCATTCCCGCGCTGCTCGTGCTGATCCACAGCGCATCCTGCCGGTGGAAGAGACGCTCGTGCCGCTTCTTGCCCGGCTCCTCTGCGCCTCGAGGGCTACCAGGATCCCCGGTCTCGGAGCCTCTGGCTCCGGGGGCGCCGGCCGCGGCTGCAGACGGAGAAGGCGGTGGCGGAGGTACCGACTCGAGCTTGACCAGGGTCAGCGAGATGAGGTAGGTCGTTGTCCGGCGCTGAAGCGCGCCCGCGCCCCGGCTCATGGGGCCCCGAGACCCCCGAGCTGGGGAGGGGAGGGGACTCCCCCGGACTGTCTCAGGGGGGCCCAGCCATGGGGCCGCCCTGCTCGCTGCCCCCAGCCCCCGGCCCCCGCTGAGCCCCCGGCCCGGCTCCGCTGTCGCCGCCGCCTCCGCCGCCTCCGCTTGCGCCCCCCTCCCATCACATGGGGCGCCCCCTCCCCATGCTCCCCGCCCTGCACCCCCACCCCCTTGGAGCCCCGGGACCTTGGTGCTGCTCCAGGGAGGCGCGCCGGACCGTGCACCCCGGCCTGGGTGGGGGCTCTGAGATGGGCGGAGGAGGGTGGGGAGGACAGTAGTGGGGGCAATAGGGGGAGAGGGAGGAAAAGGGGGCAGAAAAGGGGACTGGAGACTGAGGCAGAGAACCGGTGCGGGGGAGGCAGGGGCGGGGAATGGGACTCTAGGGACAGGGGCCGCGGATGCGGTTGGACAGGGGGTCTTGAGGGTGGGAAGCTAGTGGGGCTGGCTGTGCGGGGGATTCGCAGGAGCGCGGGGAGGATGCTGGGGATGGAGATATAAGAGGCGGAGGGGGAGGAGGAGGGAATGGGAGGGGGTGGGAACCCAAGGGTCTGGGGTCTGGGAGGGGAGGGGCGTGAGATCCTGGCGAAGAGTCCGGAGGCCTCGCCCGGGCTCGGCTGTGTCCGGATGCGCGCTGTGTCCTGGCGCTCCCCTCACATTGAGGAGGAGGCGGCCCCCGGGTCCCCCCACCCTAGCTCCCCCCAACCTTTCCACCAGCACCGCTGTCTGCTAGGGCGGTGCAAAATCCAGGACTGGATTTCCCTCCCAAATCCTGGGCTGGATTTCCCTCCCAAATCCTGGGCTGGATTTCCTGGGACTTGGACTCACCTCCTCCAACAACCTAGCCCCCTCCTCTCAGCACATCCAAGGTTAGGAAGCGTGACTGTGGTGGGTGTGGCATTTAGGAACCAGTGTAAAATTGATCTACTGGGTGAACAGGCGTCGGGAACAGAGCGAACTCGGGGTTACTGCCAATTCTGGGGCAGCAAAGTGGAAAAGTGGGGAACCTTGAAATCCTTTTCCCAGGACTCCTCTTCTCCCGCTTCTGGGGTACTTGGATGCTTTCCGTTTCTCATCACCCAGTTCCTTCTTCTACCCCTACTCCATACTTAGTACTTTCACCAGCCGACTGTCCCAAAGTGAACTTGAAAAGTATTCCCCAGGGATGAGGACAAACATGGAATTTACCAGGATAAGGAAAGGAGGAGGGTCTGTGCAAGAAACCTGAGGGCTTCGGAGCCTAGGGTGAGTCAAAGACCCCACCTCAAGGTGGAGGGAGAAGAAATACATCTACCAGCTGTCACACACACACACCCCCAACCAAAATGCATCAAGTCTCCATAGCAACCGTGGCTCCAAGGGTGCCTCAGAAGCAGCAGGGATAAGCAGAGAAGCAGGATCAGTATGTAGAGTGGGTGGGAGACCGGCCAGGGGCTGTTGGGTTAATAAAGTACTCCACTCACACCTGGTTACCCACCTCTGAGGGATTTTGCTCCCCAAATAAAAGGATCCCTCAGTTTAAGTAGCGGGACCCTGTCACTTCTAGGTTTCCATTCAGTCTCCTGAGGTTTATGGGGCAGGCTCTTAGCAGGTTAAAAAGGAGGTAGGTAGAGCGACTGGACACCATTTACTCTGTGTCCCCACACCTCTAGCAGCCTTCTATCCTCCAGCCTGAGTGAGAAGCATGAGGAGTTAGGCCTATGGGGAAGAGACCCCATTGGGGTAGCATAGCGTGGGCCGGGAGGGAGAAAGTCTTTCCAACGCCTTGGAGACCCCTCCCCAGGATTTGGAGAGTCTCAAAGGTCCCTTGATTTGACGTCCCACCCTCCTGACGCAGCCGAGACTATAATAAGTGCTCCCGTGGGCGGCTCTTGGAGGCAGGAGCCGGCGGCATGCTCGGCCTGGTGGGGGGGGCGGGGGCTGAACCAGGATGCTGGGAACCCTTTGTTCTCTGTGGCCTGTACCCAGTTCATCCTAAGTCCTGTCTTGGAGGTCAGCAGCTTCTTCCCTACTCCTTGAAGAACCAAGATGACACCACCCCCCAGGACAAGACCCTAGTCTTATGAAGGAGGGGGTGAAGGAGAATTGTTAGTTCTGCCTTAATCTTCCTGCCTTTGATGGCCTCCGTTTTCCTTCACTTTCAATGGAAAGAAAATTCCTACTTCCCTAGAGAAACAGTAAAACAAATCACTTATAAAGAGTGGAGTCTTGGGCTGGGGGTGCAGCTCAGTGATAGAGTAGTTGCCTAGCATGCAGGAGGCCCTGGCAGCCCTGGGTTTCAACCCCAGCACCACAAAAACGAACAAACAAAAAAAGTCTTCTTTTTTTTTTTATTGGTAGTACTGGGGTTTAAACTCAGGGCCTTATGTTTGCTAGGCAGGTGCTCTACCACTTGAACCACTCTGCCAGCCCTCTTTTGTGTTGGGCATTTTCAAGACAGGGTCTCAGGAACTACTTGCCCAGGTTGGCCTGGAACTACAAGTTCTCCTGATCTCTGCCTCCTGAGTAACAGATTACAAGTGTGAGCTACCAGCACCTGGCTAAGGGGAGCTTTTCTATCTGGTCTAAACCTCTCACTCTTTTTAAAAACAAAGGTGGGCTTAGAGTTCTGGGAGGCCACTAAGGCTGTCACTGAAGCTGTCAGGTGTAGTTCCTTTCAGCGTGTGGGATGGGAGCTGAGAAGGGCACTTAGCTTTATAAGAGGAACAAGCAGAGCAAGGTATGGAAAGTGCATCAGGCCGACCTACTAGTACCCCAAGCCAACCAATCCTCCCCCAAGTTATGCTCTGGTGGTCTCTCCTGTGAGGGGTCTGGCAAGAGGTGTCCCTGATGGAAAGAATAGTCTCCTGATCTCCCACATACACACACACCTTGGGGATGCAGCTAAGAGTGGAGAGGACTGCAGTGACTAGAAGAGATCAGGATATGATGAAGATGTGCTTCTACCAAACACTCCTCATGAACAAAGAAACCTGCTTTTGTGAGTTCTTGGCTATCTCTGAGGTGAATGAGATACAGCAAGCTAGAAACAATGTCTAGTTCTACCAGTTCCTTAGTGATGGGCCTTGTGGATGGAGAGAAGCTGTTCCTGAAAGGGCCCCACCACAGGATTAAAGGCTGGGGTGGGCAGGAGGATGTGGCGGATGGTGTTGCCATGGCAGCACTTCCTCTCTGTGTTGTCATCACATACTCTAATGGCCCTAAGGAGGTAGAGCGGAAGGTGTGTGTGTAGGGGGGGCAGGAACAGGAGCACGGGCAAGAAAGGGGACCATGGCAAGTCCTGGGGACTGCTCTGTACTTCAGCTGTGCAGAACATGGTGTTTAAGTGTTAGTGTGCCTGGAGGCCCGACATTCTCTGCATGGGGTATTTCTGTGTGTGTGTGTGTGTGTGTGTGTGTGTGTGTGTTTCTCTACAGCTGGAGAATAAGAGGTCGCTGATCCTTAGTAGGTCCTGGGAATGAACATATTATCCAGTCTCAGAACCTTCTGCCCCAGACTGCTTCCTGTTCTGGACTCCCCAGGCAAGGGACCACATCTACCATGGGTTTGTCACAGCTTGTCTTCCCCATGCTCACCCACTTCTCCATTGCCAAGAAGGTCAGCTCAACAGTGACCTGTATTTTGTTCTCCTGGGAGAAGGATCAGAGTTGGGGAAAGAAGAAGAATGATACCTCCCATGTCTTTTTCTATTGTCCCCAAATGTATTCTTCCTCAGAGTCCCAGCTCCCTCTTGGGGACTAGGAAGTAGCTGTTTGAGAAATATTTGACACAGCTAACCTTTTCATACCCCTGGTCTCCAAACATCCAAGTTAAGGCTGGTGCTTCTCTTACCTCGTATGCTCTCCAGTGAGGCCTGGATGCTGTCCCGAAGATCAGGGTCACCCACTCTCTCTGCTAGCTTCCTGAGGCGGCTTAGAGCCTGCTTGGCCACCTCATGTCGTCTGACTTCTGCTCTCACTGTGGCTACAGCCAACTGCCTCTGGGCATACATGTTGCCCAGACTTGTCTTTCCAGACTAACAGCGACCTCTGGCCCTGAAGCCCATGGCCCACAGCCCCCAAACTCCAGAAGGCCCCCTCTGCAGCGCCCCAGAACTCCCCGCCTCTGCCCGCCCTTCCGTCTGGCGGCCTCACTTCCTGACTGGTGAGTTTCAAACCCACAGCCTAGGACAGCACCACCTTCTGCACCTCCCACCCCCTCTAGTGTTGGCCCATCAGACTTGCCACCCAGCCCCTGCTATGATTCCCTAGCCAGGTGGAGGGACAGACCTTAACAAGCTTCTCAGGCCCTTCTGGGGGAGGTGGCTAATTAAGATGGGTGTTGGTTCTGGCAGAATGTGGCCAGCCAGTTCTCAGATGCAATCCCATAACTCTTGGGGATTTGCAAAGTTGTGTTGTATCACATTCACATACACTTGGTCTGTCACCTCATAGCCCTGCATTCTAGTGTGCAGTTGTACTCACCAACCACTCTACACATTCAACAAGCTCTGCCTACTTATATCTTGCAGTGTCAACTACCCACCATTATCACTTCCTGGTCAAGAATCCCAATAGTTGTGGGGAGAATGAGTTATAAAGGGGGAAAATAACCTATAACCAGATAAAATTACCATTTTTCTATATTCAATTACCTGCATAATAATTGACATGTGTATAACATTTAATAGTTCACAACACACTTTCATATGTATTATCCTCATGACAAGCCCAAGGGGTAAGATTATTTAGCCCTATTATGCAGAAAAGGAAAATGAGGCGCAAGCCAGCAAGGAGTGAAACCAAGATATGGATCTAGGTCTTTGATTACAGTTTTAATACACATACTCAACCAAGATACTTGCCAGCCAGTTCCTCTTCCCCCTAATGCCATTGTCCTGCTTGAGTCAGGATCTGAGAGAGAAGAGGGTGGATGAGGAATGAAAGAAGAAGAAGGGAGATGGGGGTAGGATGAGGGGTACTTTGACCTAATTGCTTTGTTTCACATCTTGAACTTCTCCGGCCCTTCTACATTTCTATTCCCTTGCATAGCTTCTTGATGGCGATTTATGAAAGATGAGAGATTAATTTTTATTCGTGTACTTGGAAATAAGGGAATTAAGGTTGGGATTATCTACTGAACTCTAAAATGGCCTAGATAATAATAACTAACATTGAGTGTTACTATGTGCCAAGTATTAAGCATTCTATATATGCTAACTCATTTAATCCTCACAACAGTCCTGAAGTTGTTAAAGGTATATTATTAGAGGCAAGCGTATTGCAGTGTATTCCCATTTTACAGATGAGGAAATAGGCAGAGTTTACCTGGTTGAAGTTTATACAGCAAAGTTGGAATTCATGCAATCTTATTCTAGTAGTAAGGCTATCCTGTGTAGACAGCTACAGAATCTAAGTACAAACTTAAGTCATTCTGTGGGGTTGACGGGATGTTTTTCTTTTTTTGTTCCCACTAAGACTGTTTCTTCTCCTGGGGGAGGAAGGGAATATGCTTTCCCCATCCCTATGACAAGGAAGTGTGTCAAAACACTTATGCAATAATGAAGGTATTGACCAACCCCTATGCCCACCTCTGGAGTGAAAATGTGGAGAGGACTTCTTCCTCTCTTATTTATTCATATCCCAGACTCCTCCTTTGTGTCATTTTTGCTGACCCTGGATCAGGATGCTCGTTATGCACCTGTGGCTTTGTCACAAACAGGGATTGTATACGCAAGGCGAGGCCGCTGTTTTCCGTTGGAATGTCTGGCACATCTACAACCCCTTAGGAGGGAATGTGCTACAGAACATGCATACTAGTAGACACACTTACAAACGTGTGTGTATTTTTGCTGGGTGTTGCTATGCCCAACCCGGGGCCTCGTGGCGGGACTAAAACAGCTCAATATTTGGCTTTTTGAGTGTTCCATGTATGATGCAATAACAAACCGGTGGCGTCATCATGAGGTCACTGCGGGACAAGGGAAAAGAGGCGGGGAAGGGCCCGCCTTCGAGGGGCGGAGCTCCCTCGCTCAGCTCTCGAGGCCCCCCTTTTCTCTCTGTTCATCTGAGTGTTTCCAGAGCCTCTTCCTTCGGATTACCCTCACTCAACAGAAAGCTCGGTTTTCGATCTCGGCCTTTGAAGATGAGGCTCTGGTGGGTCGGAGAATGTGTAGAAGCACTGCCCCCAGTTTTAAGTTTCATCCAATGAAGAAGCTGAGGGAGGGACTGGCAGGCGGGTCTGTGACGTAATGCAGATTGATTGGCATTGAGGCCATCGATGTTCTGGATTAGCCACGAGTTTCGCCAATCCAGAGGCAGGGGTGGGACGGGGCAGGCGCAGAGACTTGGTTTGGCTGGCCTCGATTTAAAGAGACAGAAGGTGTCGGGGTCCTGGAAGACTGTCCCCAATACCCTCCCCCCAAGTCTTTGGGACCACTGTGGGTCCTCAGAGCTGGGGAGATGGTTTGCGGCGGCTTTGCCTGCTCCAAGAATGCGCTGTGCGCTCTCAACGTGGTCTACATGGTAAGGTTTTAGAAGTGGGGAAGCTTCAGGATGGAAAGGCCAGTGAAGAGAATCTCTAGGGGTCTTCAGTGGGGAGAGGGTTGTACTGGGGGGGCTCGGGGAAGATTCTCAGGAACTTCCGATGAAGAGGGGATTCCTGGGGACTTCCGTGGAACAGGAGAGACTTCCGGTGATGAAGGGGCTTATCTAGGGGTGGGGAGGCGTGAGCTGAAGGCTCTAAGCACAGGGTCTCATTCCTCACTTCTCAGATGTAGTTTGTTCTCAAAACAGAGGCAGTGGACGACGTCTGTATATTGAGACCCTTCCTCCCCACCCCCATCCCATTCTGCCCTCCTTTGCGAAAGCGCCTGGAGATGCTCCTGGATCCAATAGCACACCCTTTACCCTATTCACACACAGCTCATTTATCCTACTGCCCCAGTCCCTTTGTAATGCCTTTGGCTGTCTGCACACCAGAATTCTTTGAGATGTACTCTGCTTTCTGTTTCTTGTAGCTGGTGGGCTTGTTGCTCATTGGAGTAGCTGCTTGGGGTAAGGGCCTGGGTCTAGTGTCCAGCATCCACATCATCGGAGGAGTCATTGCTGTGGGAGTCTTCCTTCTCCTCATCGCAGTGGCTGGACTGGTGGGTGCTGTCAACCACCACCAAGTCCTGCTATTCTTTGTATCCTGACCTGAAGTTACGGGAGAACCTGGGCTCTTGGGAGGGCTTTGTCTAGGAATTAGAATAGGGAAGGGACTTCAGGGATAGTGGAGACATGTCTCCTTAACCTGACCTATGCAATGATCCACAAAACAAAACTTTTTTTTTGAACTTGATAAGGTTGTGTAATTTCTATTAACAAAAATGAAACAAAAGAATCTAGATTTTTTTTTTTCCCATAACTTCCTCTCAGTATATGATCATCCTTGGTTTGGTCTTCATCTTCCAGTTTGGAATCTCTTGCTCATGTCTGGCTATTAACCGAAGCAAACAGGTAAGAGAATACCCTTTCAAATATTTGCTTGCCTTTTTTTCCCCCTTTAGTTTCTCACCCTTACTTCTGGGAACTTTATTACCCCAAACCACCGTTAGGTCTATTACTTCCAGGCTCACACCATTTGCTTCCTCAGGGATGTATGGTTTAATTCTCCATGAGGACCTAAAGGGAGGTCCTTAAAAAGTAGACATTTACCATTGCCTGTTAATTGTGGCATACCATATGTTTCTAACAATGCCATCTTTGCAATATTAGGGAAATTGAGGCAATTGAACTGAGATCAGAGTGTAGGGAGATTAACTTCCATGTGTCTGTGTCCTCTAGACAGATGTCATCAATGCTTCTTGGTGGGTCATGAGCAACAATACCCGGCATGAACTGGAACGTAGTTTTGACTGTTGTGGCTTGTTCAATCTTACAACTCTGCACCAAGATGACACTTCTTGCAATGCAGTGAGTTGGGGGATGGGGGAACACAGCAGGGAAAAAGGTAGAAAACTAGATAAGGACAACGTCATTGCCTCTCTCTAGCAGCTCTTTTGAATTGGGATGTGTGTTGGAGGGAGGATAGAGGCTGGGGATTTAGCCAAGTGGGATTTCAGTCTGTATGATACTGGTCAGATATTAATTTCTAGGGATATTCACTCTAGGTATTTGGATAGGAAATGTGACTTTGTATTCTGCACATACATCCTCAGATCTGCAAGAGCAAGAGCTCTATATGCCAGTTGTGTGGAGAGAAGTTTCTCAAGCATTCAGATGAAGCCTTGAAAATCCTAGGAGGTGTTGGACTCTTCTTTAGCTTTACAGAGGTAACATTCTCCGGTTCTCTCATGTATACTCCTTCTCTTGTTAATCCTCAAGGTTCAAATTGATTTGTGCTTCTCTTTCCCTTTGTTCCTATAGATCCTTGGTGTTTGGCTAGCAATGAGATTTCGGAATCAGAAGGATCCTCGAGCCAACCCCAGTGCCTTTCTATAAGACTTTGAGTCCTTCTGACATTTCTTCTGCTCTCTCTCAGCTTTTTACTCCTCCCAGTGAAAACCTAGGTCTGTGCCTAGGCTCTTTGCCACATCTCCTAAAACTGAATGAATGGCTAAGCTTTATGCTTTGACCTGTTTGGTGGGAATGATTACAGGGAATAGAAAGAAAAACTTTCTCCCTCTCTCCAAGGGAGATATGGACAGTTCCTGGGAATGCATGGCGGGGGGGGGGGGGGGGCGGGGTTTGGAGTTATTCTTAGCTGTTTTCCTTCTTCACTCTTCAATATGATGAACCACTCAACACACCTTAGCCTGGCTCCTAGAGTACATCAGGGAAAGAGCCAAGAAAACCACCAAGAACTCTTTGGAGGAGGGTGGGGCACAGGGTTTGCTGCACATTGAACCCAGGGCCTCACACATGCTAGGCAAGTGCCACCACTCAGCTACATTCCCAGTCCCACCAAGAACTCTAGTAATAGCCAGGTCCTGGTGTGAGGAAATTCAGTAAATATAAAAATAAAAGCTATTTTAACTCCATATTCAAAAGAAAGTTCCTTTCCAATCTTTGTCAGTCAAGGGGCTCTACTGCCTACCTAGGCCATGTTTTAACTTAAAAAGAGAGAATCTTTAAAGTCTTACAGAGAAGTTCCTTCTTTCAAGTGGGTTCCCAAATCTCCCATGGCAAAGCCAATTAGAGAAACATTAAAAAAAAAAAAGACCGCATTTCTTTGTCTTGTTTTGTTTTCCTGTATAAAAAGGACCCCGATTTTAAGGACAGGGAGGGGAAGGAGGGGATATACCCTTAGTGTAGAGAAAGAGGAGGACAGGAGGATAATCTTCAAAGGGTGGATAGGGAATGTCATTAAGGCAACAAAATGTTCTCTGTAAAAAGCTGGAGGAGTTGCCACAGTTTCAGGGGAAGGCAGAGGTCGCCTTCTCAGTGGGGTTCTCTCCACTCAAGTGTCCAGAAGGGGGAAATGGCACCCACTCCACTGCTCACTCCGGATCACCTTCTTCCTTATGTAGATAAGAGTGCTGCAGGGCTCGGAAGGCAGAAATTCTCTTGTGTGGGTTAAAAGTCAGCATTTCCTAAGGGGAGAGACAAAGGTCAAAAAACCATGGGGCAGATGGGGGGGAAGACTGCTGTCTACCCCCAACATACCTAGGATGGGCTCTCTATTTTTCCATATCCTGGTCTGTGGCTGTTCAATCACAGTAGGAATAAAAAACTGTAGCCCACTTACCAACCAGGTCTTATGAACCACAATGGTCTGGGCCCCATTATGACCCCATTTCTCAGCCCCATCCCACCTCATGCCCATGTCATTACCAGCAGCAGCTGTGCTCCAGACTCTTCCATCTCAGGCACCACTGACTGCACTGGATGAGGTCCTCTGGGGGCAAAGGCTCCTCTGGGTAGAGATACATCTCGAGGCCAGTCATCCTCTGGGGGCAGTCCAATCAGACTGTGTGGACAGGAGAACTCTGGTCAGGAGGATCATCCTCCAGTTTCCCATCCCCAAGGGCAGAGCCAGTTGCCATCCAGGGCTCAGCAGAAACAGGACTCAGAATGAAAAATTTCTTTCCTCTTTCTTGGGCACTTACTCAAAGATTTTCCCTAACTGGTCAGCTTCAGAGTTTCCACAGAAGAGAGGCCTAAGGTGAGGAAGAATACAAGGTATCAGTCCCTTTCAAAGACAGTGGAATGACTATTGCTAAGTGGTTTACAGAGAATGGAAACTAAAGGGATGTGCAGTTCCTAATTCGAGGACATTTCAGAGTTTTGGATTATAGGTAGGAGATTATAGGTGATCAGTAACACTCAAGTTAAAGAATGGGCAATGTGGGCTGGGGTCATAGCTTGGGGAGAACACTTGCCTAGCATGCACAAGGACCTGGGTTGGATCCCCAGCACCACAAAAAAAGAGTAAGACATAGACATGGTTTATAAACCTAGAATAAGGAATTGCATGTCTGGGGTTATAGCTCAATGGTAGAATACTGGCCTAACATATGTGAGGCTGAGTCAATCTCCAGCACCACAACAACAACAAAAAAGCCTGGAGGGGAGTGGACTCAAGATGGTTTAAGGTTTTGAGTGCCATACTTTCGACGAAACATCTCTGCAAAGATACAGCCAACACTCCACATGTCCACAGGTGTTGCATATGTAGACTGTAGAAGAACTTCAGGAGCACGGTACCAGAGTGTAACAACCTAAAGGGAACAGAAGTGGGTGAGTTCCCACCAGGTTACCCTGAGCCCCAACTGCTTGCCTGAAGGCACAAAGCAAAAGACTTCTTAACTGCTATGGAAAACCACTCTTACCCCCCAACCCATTTGGGCTACCAGCTTTGTACTGACCACAGGTGTAAGGGCCATCTGGTAGCTGTAGATTCTGGCCAAGCCAAAGTCAGCCAATTTGACTGTCCCACCACTCGTCACCAGAATGTTCTCTGGCTTCAGGTCTCGGTGGACGATGCAATTGGCATGAAGAAAATCTAGACCTCTTAGAAACTGGCGCATCAGATCCTGGTTTGGAAGGGAGAGATACAGACTCACAGTGGAAATAGGTACCATACTTAAAATTCCTACAAGTTCACTACAAAGGTCTCAATGAACCTCTCATCTACCTATCCCACTTACCTTGATGGTCTCAGCTGGCAAGCCTGGTGGGGGTGCCTTGTCCAGATATGTCCTTAGGTCTTGGTCTACATGCTCAAATACTAGGGTCACCTTGATCTCCCGGTCAGTTCGGGAAGTGGCACAGACGTCCATCAGCCTGGCCAAAATAAATGGTCAATCCCTGGTCAGTTCCCTTTGATGCAACATGGCCTCCTGTATTTCCTCAGGGTCCCCACTCTCCTAACCACACACCCCATTATGGGTTCTTTTCCCCTTTGCTCCTCACCCTCCACCTTCTCACCGGACAACATTGGGGTGCTCAAAAGCCTCCAGCCGCCTCAGTAAGGCCACCTCACGAACTGTGCTGATGGGAAGGCCCCCTCCGGCTCCTCCTCCATTGGGGACTCTCACACTCTTGAGGGCCACAAAGTGGCCACTGTGGGGATCACGGGCCTTGTACACCGTCCCATACGCACCGACACCAATTTCAGCCACAGGCTCATATCGAGAGGTAGCCATTCTCAGATCGGGGAGACCCTACAATCACAAAGACTTCCACTACCAAAATTTCCTTCCACGATTAGGACGCTATGAGCCTGCATCAACAAAGTGACTCCCACAAAGACAGCACAAACACACGATCACTGGCATCCCACCCTCTTCCCAACCATCCAGGGGCCGCCCCTCAGGTAACACAATGACTGCCACCAAATCCTCCAGCCACGTGATGCTCTAGAAGAAAAAATTACTTTTTTTCCTTTGCGGCCATCGTGCCGGACACAAAGGATATCACATAAGACACACGCCTTGCATCCAAGACTCCATAACTCAGTCCCTAAAATTACAGCTGCCCCGCCACATCTCGACAACCACAAAGGCCCCACTTCCCGCCCTTGGGCGACCCTTCCATGAGCCTGCAAGGCGCACGCGTGGGAGGCCGCGGGGGGCGGGAACTGATCCCCATTCCTGGGTAGAGGCTGCACTTACTTCACGCCCAACCAGGCCCGTTATCGGGGCTCCGGAGCCGTTCCCTGCGGCGCCATACACCCGAGCTCGGTCCCAGGCAGCAGGACGCTAAGGGACGGACCATAGACACAAGCCACAGGCTAGAGAGGCCCCCTTACCCCCACCCTCACCATGTGACCATCTGCCAAAGAGGCGCGCGGAAACCGGGAGGGCGGGGCGAACGCCGGACGTTCCGAACACGTGACCTCTACCCAGGCGCAGATGGGAGGGGGGTGGTGAAGGGAAGAGGGCGGAGGGCTGATGGCAGCCACGTGATCTGTTGCTATCACACGTGACCGCTTGACATTGCTCTGAGGAGCAGAGGCGTGGTTACGCAGCGGAGCCGATGACTGGCTGTGGAGGGGGGGCGCGTGGGGGTGAGAGAGGGTGGAGCCCGAGGCGGTGCCATGACGACCTGGGCCACCCAGATCCCAAGTCGCGGTTGAAGGCCGATCCCCGGCGCTTCTCCAGTCTCGCTACACTTTTTTCTGTGTCGCTGTGTGGGTGAGGGCTCCGGGTGAGGGTAGGGGATTCCGGTATCAGAAGTGATGCTGCTGTCACCTTTTCCACCGCCACGGGAAAGCATATTCTTATTTGTGTCCGTTTGCTCATGCAACGAAATTTTATCAAGTGCTTTGCTTTTGGTTTGTATGTGATGTTTTTGTTTTGGTTTTGATGTCTGTACTAGCCTTTTGAAGTAGTGATAAAGCCGTGTGGCTAAAATAGGGAGCAGACGGTGCCCATTTGAGGTCAAAATGAGGATTAAAAAATGGACGGAAAGAGTACTATAGTAATTCAACAGGAAGATTGGCAAGGGAATGCCCAACCCTCTTCCCAGCTTCTAAACCTCCCTGGGAGTGTTAAAGAAAGACTGAGAAGTTCTTGATGAACAGGAATACTTGACCAAAAGTTTTTTTCCAGTACTAACATTCTGAGATTTTGTGACGTGTGTATAATGTGTCATATATGAACGGATAGATACAAGGGTGAACACGTGCAAGGAAGTCACCACCACCTGAGATCACCACCTTGCATTGAATGACTAGAGCCCCTCTGCAAACCTTGTGACTCCTCATTGGGGTTACATCCCCTCTTTTTCGCCATTGCAGCTGTATTTAGCCTTATTGCTGCCCAGAACAGTTTTTCCAAAGTGGCTTTGGTCCACAGAAACCTAGGTAAACTGAGGTAACTTTCCCTGTCTTATTGGCTCCAACTTTATTATTTCCCAGACCTTGGGGATATGACAGTAAGGGACCACTGTCCCATTGTGAAAATTTGTCCAAAATCTGAAGCCCTTTTAAATTTGTTGGTGCTGAATATTGAGCCCAAGGCCTCGTGCATGCTAAGTACACCCTCTATCACTGAGTTACACACCCCCCTTGAAAATATGAAATAGTTTTATTACTTGCTTGCCACACCTTTCACCTTAACTTCTATCCAACTGGCTGAGAATATGAGTTCGGACTTGAAGATTAATATAAATCATGATTCAGGACAAAATGGAAGATAGACTTCCTCCTTTTTTGGTTTTCATGCTGGATGGACCATTGGAGACTAGTATGAAAAATCTGAACTGGCTAACAGGCTGGAGAGATTGGTGTTTTGCTGGCTACCTTGCTAGGGCTGGTAGGACTGTAAGCCTTCTGGAAAGCATGAGCCTGTCAACCTCCGTACTTACTCATCACTAAACTTCACCTTCCACATGAGCACACCGGTAGCTTACTGTCATTAAACAGGAATGGTCCTCCTTTGTCTGCTTCAGTCCCAGCTCCTTTTTTTGCTTCATTCATTTGTCCATTCAAAACACCTGAATGCTTTATTAAAAACATTCGTCCCTCCTCTCACCTTCTATTGAGGAGCCTTAATTTGGCAATCTGTACCTGGCTCCATCCCCTCCATTCTCCTGTTAATTACTCTTTTACTAATTAATTTTTCCCAGTATATTTGACCCAGTGGGCTCCCCTGGAATCCCTTTTCCTTCAGCTTTGCAAAAGGGATGAAAGGGACGGTGTAAGTGTAAGGCAGAAAAAAAAAATGTGATGGACCTAGGGACAACTGACTCTCAGGGTCAAGGCTCCCATAAAAACAAAGAGCTGTGTGTTCATAGTAGTAGAGGTGAGGGCAGGAGGGTACCAGGAAAGACACTCCTATCGTCCCTTTAACATTATCTCCCTTTGCTCACTCACCTCCCTCACACATTTCAATCAAACGCTCTCATTGTCGCACAATCGGATTCCATTACTTACACACTCACCTCTCTTTCGCAGTCCCACGCCCATCACACTTTATAGTCTTTTGTGTAAGTGTTCATTGCTTGAGTCCATCCCTTGCCAACTTACATCCCTCACACCTCGGACCCTCGTACAGCTTTTTCTTTGCACACTCCCACTGTGCACAAGCCTCTCTCCCCCGGTACACCTGCACCCTTGACCACTCACCTTCCATCCTCACCCCCTCATCCCCACCCAATACACACACCTACCTATTCTTCTACCCGACTGCACACTCCCCTTCCTTGGCCACTCCCCTCTCTCCACCCTCCCCGGGCTCGCACACTCGCCCCGCCCCTGGGGACACCTGCTCGTGCAGGGCAGGGCGGGGATGCGCAGCCGCGGCCCCTTCTCTCTCCCTCCCTGCCCCGCCCCTCCCTCCATCCCTCACCGGCTCCCCGGCTCCTGCCCCGCCCGCCCGCCGCTCCGGGGGGGTCTCCGCCGCCGCCGCCGCCGCCGCCGCCGCCGCCGGAAGGAGCCGCCATTTGCCACCACCGAGCGCACGGGCCGAGCCGAGCTGGATCCGGGAGCCGGAGCGGGACTGGGGCCGGGAGGACGGCAATGGGGGGCGGCCCCGCCGCAGGAGGTCCTGGGCGCGTAACCCCCGGGGCTCGGCCGGCTCCGGACCCGGACCCGCGGGGCGCGGCACCCTGAGTCCCCCTCCCCGCCCCCTGCCCCGGCCATGGCTGCCCACCCCGCCGCCCCTGGGCCGCCAGCCTTCTCGGCCCCGCGAGCCCCGGAGCCTCGGCGGCGGCATCAGTGAGAGGCGCTTGCAGGCCCCAAGACCCCAGTCGGGTTCGCCTCTCCAGCGCGCGCCCCCTTCCCGGCCTTGTCCTCTCCCCTCCCCCCGCCGCCCGACAGCCCCCTTGCACGCTGCCCCCCGCCCCCCGGCGCCTGGACGATGCTCAAGTCTCGGCTCCGCATGTTCCTGAACGAGCTGAAGCTGCTGGTGCTGACGGGCGGGGGGCGGCCCCGGGCCGAGCCGCAGCCCCGGGGGGGCGGGGGAGGCGGCTGCGGCTGGGCGCCCTTCGCCGGCTGCTCCGCCCGGGATGGTGAAGGCGACGAGGAGGAGTACTACGGGTCGGAACCGCGGGCCCGGGGCCTGGCCGGTGACAAGGAGCCACGGGCCGGACCCCCGCCGCCGCCTGCGCCGCCACCGCCGCCCCCAGGAGCGCTGGACGCCCTGTCGCTCAGCAGCAGCCTGGACAGTGGGCTCCGAACCCCCCAGTGCCGGATCTGCTTCCAGGGCCCGGAGCAGGTCAGGCCGGGGTACCCGGCCGGGCGGGGAGGGGTGGGGGCGCGCACCTGGGGCATCCGCGGAGACCGCGAGCGAGGGGCGGGCCTGAGGAGGCTGGGCGGGCCCCAGGACCTGGAGTGGGTTTCGGGTGAGGTTGGGCGGCTGGCTGGAGACTCCTAGAGAATAGCGTTAGGGTTGAGGGGTCTGGGGTCCCCAGGAAGGGATGGGGATTTCTCCTGGGAGGGCTCGGAATCCCTCTCACCCATTAACGGGAACAGCCTTTCTCCCCTACTTCCCTCACCCCAGAGTCGCCATTGGCTGAGAGGACCTATTCTCTCGAGGTGGGCAGAAAGGAGAGTGCATGTGTTTCCACCTTGAGGGGAGAGACCCGGCCAGCATCCTGCCTTACTCAGTATTTCTCCTGGTGGGGTACTTTTCATCATTTCCCAGTCGGCAACTTTCTACCTAATTCTAAAGAGCCGCCTTTGTTAAATTTTATAAGCAGAGTTGTCCCGGGATAGTGCTAGAGGATGTCTCTGTGTACTGAGAAATGATTCCTTTGCTAACGGGGAACATATTCCATTCTCACCCCCAGGATTTCTCCCCTTTTTATTACCTGAAAGTTGAGAACAGAATCCATCCAAGTCTCCATTTGTACTCCCCATCATTGCGATGGGGCGGGGAAAGGAAGGCATGGGTCAGAAGCTCTTGAGCTTCCCTTCCTTCTGGCTCCTAGGGGAAAAAACCTTCCCTTTGGGAGGTTTTTAAAGACCACTGTCTCTAAGTTCTAGGGGAAGACCTGGTCTTTCCCCCACCCCCCATCCTTCATCCCTTTGGCATGGGAAGTTTGCCTTGAGCTCTAACTTTCTTGTTTTATAATGCAGCCTTAGCCTCTTTCTTTGTTTTGGGTGAAAGGCTTGAGGGTTTTTTGTTTTGTTTTGTTTTGTTTTTTGTTTTGCGGTACTAGGGCTTTAAACGCAGAGCCTGCACCTTGAGTCACTCCACCAGCCCTTTTTTGTGATGCGTTTTTTTTTTTTTTCAGATAGGGTCTGAAAAAATATTTACCTAGGCTGGTTTCAAACTGCGATCCTCCTGATCTCTGCCTTCTAAATAGCTAGGATTACAGGCATGAGCCACCGCCAACCGGCTAAAAGACTGGAGGTTTTTTTGTTTGTTTTTAAGTAGGAGAATGACTTACCTGAAGAAGAGTTTTCCCTCCAGGAGCACAGTGAGGGGTCCAGGTGGTAATGACTGACAGGGGCCCTCCCCACTCTTCCTCTAGGGGGAACTCTTGAGTCCCTGCCGCTGCGACGGCTCAGTGCGCTGCACACATCAGCCGTGCCTCATCCGCTGGATCAGTGAAAGGGGCTCCTGGAGCTGTGAACTCTGCTACTTCAAGTACCAGGTCCTGGCTATCAGCACCAAGAACCCACTGCAGGTGAGGTGCAAGCGGAGGACTCAGAGTGGGTGAGGGCCTTTCAGACATCAGACTGGAGGACTTTCCAGGGATCCTATTTCATCTTATTTACTCTTTTCCAGAATTTACTTGTCCTTCTATTATGGCAGTTCCCAGTCTATAAATCCTCCATTTGTTCTGAAAGACATTTTTAGGTGTCACTTGTATTCCATGTCCTGTTCTAGGTACTGGAACAATGGAAAAGGAAAAGATGATAATATTGTTGATAATAGCAAACCTAGTGTTTTCTGTGTGTCAAGTTTTTGGTGTATATTAACTCTTTCAATCATAACAATCCTGTTAGTTAGATACCATTATTATGCTCATTTTACTGATGAGGACACTGACACATAAAGAGATGTAAAAATTTGCTCAAGGTTACTCAACCAGTAAGTGATGGAGTTAAGGTTTGGAATTCAAACCTATATGCTTTGGCTTCAGAGGACTCAGCCAATCCTGCCTTTCTAAAATGAGGCAGACAAATGGTGTTAGACAAGTGCCACATTTTAGGTTGATCAGGGCACAGAGAAGACAGATGTTACTCTTGCCTGAAAGGTTTAGGGAAGGCTCCAGGAGCCTTCTCTTTTTCAGGGTGCACATCGACTGCCCTCCATCCCTTTCTGTGACTTTTTGGAGCCTTTTCTCCCACACAGTGGCAGGCCATCTCCCTGACGGTCATCGAGAAGGTCCAGATTGCTGCCATAGTTCTGGGTTCACTCTTCCTTGTTGCCAGCATCTCCTGGCTCATCTGGTCCTCACTCAGCCCTTCAGCCAAGTGGCAACGGCAGGATCTGCTCTTTCAGATCTGCTATGGCATGTATGGCTTCATGGATGTTGTCTGCATAGGTAAGGGCACTTTTCTCCCCCTTACCTGCTCAGTATCTCTCTTATTCACTTAACTTCCCTGCCCATCTCTTCAGTTTCATGGCCACACTCTATGCCATTGGGGGCCTTTAATGCTGTCCTGGTACTCCTCCCTTTCTGCTTCTCCTGGTTTCTTTTCACTGCAGGAACGCATGCGTAAGACCTCTGGCATAGGTCTGGGCAGTAGATGACCCTGGACTTCTCTCTCTCTTGCTCAGGCCTCATTGTCCATGAAGGCTCTTCTGTTTACCGCATCTTCAAGCGCTGGCAGGCAGTAAACCAGCAATGGAAGGTCCTGAATTATGACAAGACCAAGGACATAGGAGGAGATGCAGGAGGAGGGACGGCAGGGAAGCCGGGCCCTAGGACCTCACGGACGGGCCCCCCTGCTGGGGCTACCAGCCGTCCCCCAGCTGCCCAGCGCATGCGGACGCTCTTGCCTCAGCGCTGTGGTTACACAATCCTGCATCTTCTTGGACAGCTACGGCCACCAGATGCCCGTTCCAGCTCCCATTCAGGCCGAGAGGTTGTAATGAGAGTCACCACGGTCTGACCTGGACTCCAGGAGCAGGGATCTTAAGTCAATGAATCAGCCAGAGATGAGCTCTCATGGCTGCTGGAGGTACCACCTAGACAAGGGTTTGGGGTACAGTACCCCCACCAATGAGGATCTCTGTGGGCAGCCTCAAGCTGGAGACATTGTCTGGCCTCTACTGCCCACTGGGTAGAGACACCTGGATAACATTCCAGCCTTCATTGACAGCTCTTCACACTCATCCTGAGATGACCAGTGGGAAGGCAAGGAGAGCAGCTTTTCTTCCTGGAGAGAACCATCTTTACCTCAGTTCCTAGGGCCTCCAACCCCCTGAATCCACCATGGTGACTTGGTGAAGGGGGACCAATGCCAGAGAAAAGGGGCTGTAGACCCCCCATTCCCCACCCCATGGCCACAGGGCATCTGGCAATAAGACTAGTATACATTGACTTCCCGTTCCCTGCATGAGGGCGGGGGACTTCCCCCTGCTCCACCCCCCCATTGCATGGGGGAAGGGCATAAAGAATCATTTATATGCACGTGAAGACTCCTTTCTCATCCAGGGCTTTTCTGGAGGGCTGCAAGGTGTGGGAAGGTTTCTCTGCACAGGTTGCAAATCCCAAATGCAGCAGTGGGTTCTGAGTTGGAGGCATGACTCCCACTTGCTGGTGAATAATTCACATTGGCTGCTAGGTGGCAGTGCTCAGAGTATCTGAGGAGGGATAGACCTGCCACCTGTGAGTTGTATGATTTAGAAAAAAATCTCAATGCTATGGTTTTCCTGTCTACCTCACAGAGTTGGAATGAGGATAAACAAGGAGCAGGTTGGATGCCATTGAAAGGAAAATCGATAAAGGCACAAAAAGATTTCTAGACTAGTTAATGGTCTATTTAATTCAAACAGCTGGGATAACAAATTCTGAAGTGTGTTTTTCATCAGGAGTTGCATAGAACCTGGGAATTTTGTGTTGAGCGATAATAGTTATGGAAATATGAGAGGAAGTAGACATTGCAAATGTGAAGGCTGATGGATATTTGGAGGAATGAGAACTCCTGACCCTCTTAAACATTGGGACCTGAGGTTTTGGAAAAGGCTCGAGCCATCCAATCCATCTTGTTCTGAGAGCATCTGAGTTCTGTTAGTCCCTCCCATGTACTGTGCTCCACCATAAAAATATTGTGCAGTGAATATGGGATAATTTGAGTGAGATGAAGAGACCTCCCCCTAACGTGATGAGATTAGCCCCAATTTAAGCTGTTTTTAAGGCAGTTCAGGCTCACACATCTGAGACTGGTGTGCCCAGCTAGAGGTATTAAGCAGAAGACATTGTGCTTAAAGGTAGCAGCATTTAGGGCTGTTGTTTTTAGAGAGAATTGAGGACTGGTTGAAATGTGGGTCAGAGGGCTGGGTGGCAGTATGGGGGGATTATAGCTCAGTGGTAGAATGCTTACCTAACAGGCATAAAGTCCTGGGTTCAATCCCTAGCACTGCCAAAAAAAAAAAAAAAGTGGGTCAGCTTGAAGCCTGGTTCCTTTCTCCAGAGGCTTGGGGGCTATGAATTATATGAATGATGTCTTTTAAGTGAGCCATTCTTCAGCAATTAAAATAATTCCTTCATATATTGCTAGTGTCAGATACAGAGGCCTTACTTATTATTGGTCCTGCTCTTAAGGAAGGTGCTGTTCTGCCTCCTCCCTTGGGAGGGTTTGGAGAAGATGTTTCTCTTCTAAAGACCCAGGTATCCTTGCACAGAAAACCTTGCTCCTGAAGGGGTCTTGGCTGCTGTCCATGGTGCTGGCATCCAATTTTGCTTGGGAATGTAGGAACCAAAGCTGAACTGGGGTCTGACTTACTTCCAGGTTCTAAGGAGATCAGAGTAAACAGGGGACTGAGGCTGAGCCCTCCATCTTCCCAATGGGAAACTGTTTCCCAAAAAACTTATCCCTCTATACTCCTCAATTCGGGAGTCAGAAGAATTAGACTTTATTGACTTGCCATTCACAAAAGAGCTGGTGGGAACCAGATGAGAGACAGCAAATCATAGTGACTGTTAATACATATACTGGCAGGCAGACACATGGAGTTTCTATGTCAAGCCTGGGCTGTCACCTGTGATGGCTCATGGAAGCTGACTCATATTCAAGAACATAGACACACACACAGTCTCTATTTCACTGTGGGTCCTAAAGCCAGACATGGTGAGACAGTATTTTTTACTTTCCTTTAGCACCAAAGGAGGTCTTGGGATGGGGTTGAGACCAGTCACCAGAATGATCTCTCCTTCCCTTTTTTTTTAAATTTAGAGACCCTTGTTTAAGAAAGGGGTCATGAGCACCACTGCTAAGAAATGCACCTTCTCAAGTGGGCATTTCTGTTTGCTCACCAGGGAGTATGGGTGGGTAAATTCTAATTGATCCCAGGGGAATGGATCTGACAGCAGGCTGGGCTTCATTATTCCTTAAAGCTCTAATCTACTAAGAATCAGGTCATTTAAGTTCAAGGTGAGTTTGATGATAGACAATACAGGTGGAGACTTGCTGTACAGTAGAGAAAGAGAGAAGGGGCAGTAAATATACAAAAACCTTGGTTTCTGTACAAGGCTTTGAGCATGCCTTGCCTTTCTGTGTATCTTGCATGATTTGATTTCCCACAGACGGCCTAGTGGTCAGGGAGCCATGTCCAGGACAGGGGGCAGAGGTGGTGTGGAGGATAAACAAGTATGAAGTGAAATCTTTATCTACACCCAGCTAATTGGAATAGGGGGAGGAACATGGAAAGGGGACAAGTTCTGACATGGGGAGGGTAACCTGGGATGTGGTTTATTTATTTATTTATTTGGATGAAGATGAGTTAATCTGTATACATCGCAAAGCGAGTACTGTGCCCAGCTTCTGGGGGGTCCAGAGAGTGCTAACTCAGGGAAATAGGCTCCCTCTGTCCACCCCCCTTCTCCTGCCTTGATGCCCCAGGGCTCTTGGCCATGTCACACACTCGGCTTCCATCCTGTCTGATCTGCTTCCCTGTCCATATCCCTGTCTTTCTCTGAAGGAAATTATCTTGGTGTAACTTTTCCAGAGAGGGTAGAGTGGCCATTCGAAGATGCTCTTCAATTTTATCAGTTCAGGTTACAAAATCATTTCTCTTCCCAAAGACCCAGTCACCTCTGCCTATGTCTGCAAATCCCTACTTCCTGACCCATTCCTTTTCACACACACAAACACACACACACACACACACATACACACACCCTTAATCTCTTCTAGGAGCCAGACTAGACTTGGCTGCTCTCACTACAGACAGAAACATGTCTAGGTTTGTTTTAAACCACTATTCCAGGCGTCCAGATCTCCCATAGTTAGGGGAGTCGCTCCCAGAATCTGAGACAGCAAAGTGGGAGATGGGGGTCAGGATCATGCTGGGAGTGAAACAAAAGTGAGCCAAAAAGTCAATGATGAAACATTTTTTTTAATTTCAAAATATGAATATTTTTCAATTTCAATATTAAAAAAAAAGACAGAAGCCTGGGCAGGGACAGGCGGAAGGATGGGAACAAAGTGGTGGGGCAAGTCCATTTAAGAGTAGCTAGAAGTCAGGCTTGGTGGTACACACTTGTAATCCCAGAACTCAGGAGGCTGAGGCAAGAGGATCACAAATTCAAGGCCAGCCTGGGTTGCACAACAAGTTTGGGGCCAGCCTACTTACATAGACCCTGTCTCAAAAAGAAAACCAAACCAAAAAACAATACAAACAACCAACAGAACAAAACCAAAAAATACAAACAAACAAAAAACAACAGTAAGAGTGATCAGAGAGCCAAAGAGTTTTTTTTTAAGTTGTAAGCCAGGCTAGGGAAGATTTACTTTGGTAGGAGCAAAGATGGGGGGGAGCGGGGGAAGCACATGGGCTGGGGGAATGGCTCAAGTGGTAGAATGCTGGCCTAGCAAGCACAAGGCTCTGAGTTCAAACCCCAGTACTGGAAGAAAAAAAAAATGGGGAAGGGGTGGTAGGCAGAATGTGGTAAGCTGATGCTGCTTGTTCCTTCTGCCACATGGTTCAGATTCAGTCTGAAATGTGTATGATGTCACCTAGGCAGGGACAGGATAAATAAATCAAACAGGATTGGGTATGGTGGTACATGCCTATAATCCTAGCATTTGGGAGGCTGAGGCAAGAGGATTAGAATTCAAGGCCAATCTGGGCTACATAAAGACCTTTTTTCAAAAAAACAAAATAAAAAAGCAACCAAATAAGGTCTAATCCCTCCTCTCAGCTCACATGCTTAAGTGGGAGAACCAACCACGTGCAGACCAGATGTACAGTTTCTTAGCTCATGCCATGGTAAATGCTTAGCCAGCAGTATGGATGAACACCATGGAAACACCAAAAGAGCAGTGTCTCAGGTCACCCAGCCTGATGAATTACCATCTGAGTTGAGGAGAAGTACTGAATAGTAGGAGAGCATGGTTCTCTCGGGATCTACTGAGTCATGCCAAGTACATACTTCATACATGGGTCAGGGCTGCTTCATTCTATCCAGTTTGCTCAGACAGACATGCCTGGGGGAAAGCCCGATTTTGAGAGAGTCCTTCTGCAGGACTATCTGTCCACAAACTGTAGATTGATGCTTCTTTCAGGTACCAGGACAGTCCGGGTCATGGGTCTGATTGGGGGAGCACCTGGCTCAGGCAGAACTTCAAAATGGGTCAAGATCTGGAAAAGGAAAATGAAGGCTATCATTATGGGGATCTGTAATGGCAGGACTGATTGGTAAAGAGCATTGTTAGTATTAGAATGGCCAATAAGGGGCTTCTTGGTTAATAAGGGCAAGGGATTATGGAAAGGGAAAAGATAATCCAAATACCCTTGCTTTTTCGCTTCAGGCCTGTAATGGGATTGTCATATTTCCAAGGATTACATCTGCTGGATCTTATGTTCTCCTGTGTTTGTCAGAAGACACAAGTACACAGGGTTTTTTTGTTTTTGTTTTGTTTTTTTGCTTACTGGAGTTTGAATTCAGGGCCTACACCTTGAGCCACTCCATCAGCCCTTTTTGTGATGGGTTTTTTCCAGATAGGGTCTAACAAACTATTTTCCCGGGCTGTCTTTGAACCTCGATCCTCCTGATCTCTGTCTACTGAGTAGCTAGAATTAGACATGAGCCACTGGTGCTGGGCAAAAACATATAGTTTTAGAGGGCTTGAATCTTTCTAGTCTGGGAATAGTAAAAGGTCTAGATCACTTACCTGGGCCAAAACCATTTGCAACTCAAGCTCTGCCAGGCGTCTCCCCATGCAGCTGCGCTTGCCAAAGCCAAAGGGAAGAGATGCAAATGGATGGGGGGCTGGGCCCTCCCCCAGCCAGCGAGCTGGATGAAAAGAATTTGGCTCTGGGAACTGGGCAGGGTCCCTTGAAGTGGCATAATGACATAGAGAGACCAGCGTCTGGTGGGGGAGGAACACGAACTTGTCAGTTTGGTAGACAGATATGGTAGTGTGTACCTGTAATCCCAGCACTTGAGAGATGGAGGCAGGTGGATAATGAGTTCAAGGCCAACCTGGACTACCTAACAAGACCATGTGTCTTGTCAGTTTGGGCCCAGAGGATTAGGACAAAGGCAGACCTTGGTTGGTGATGGGGAAGTATTCTGGAGTTACTTTTGAAATTATTTCTCTGCTATCCCATTATAACCTAAAGGGCTGGAAGGGCTCTTGGGGAGTATCTGAGAACCAGGCTGGGGCCAAAGATAGTAAGAAATGGCTCAGCAAAAGGAGCTCATAGACTGTACTCACATTTTTGGGGATAATATAATCACCCACACAAATGTCTTTGTCTGGGACACGGGAGTTTCCAGGTACCACAGGGTACAATCTAGGTTGCAAAGCAAAAGATGGAGGTGAGGCTGGGGCCTATACCTCCTCCTTTTCATCACCTCCAACTTTTGGCCAGGAGTACCATTTTCCTTTTCCCTAGCTCCCTGGTTTCATTTGCTATCTGCTTCCCAGCCCTCCCCCAGAATTTTTGCTAGTTCCCCATTTTGTCCCCCTCACCTTAGCACTTCCTTGACCACAGCCTTCAACAGAGGTAGCTGAGACAGAGCGGTGGCTTGAGGATGGGCACAGGAGCCAGAGCCCAGAGCAGCTGTGATCTCAGAGTAGAGTGCAACCTGGACTTCAGGGTGCTGGGAGAGTTCATATAGAGCCCAGGAGAGTGTGTTGGCCACCTGAAGGGACAAGTGAAAGCACCTGAGATGTTAGGAATGGGGACCCAGAAGCAGGTGCGCAGAATACAAGGCAATGTGGGGCCAAGATGGAGCTAAGCCAAACTGATCTAGTGGTCACAGTGGATCCCATGAAGCAGGAAAGTGGCCCCAGAAGCTGGGGAGGCTAAACTCTGTAAGAGCAGCTCACAGAATGGAAGGAGAACCTCACCGTGTCCACTCCAGCTAATAGCAACTCTGTCACATTCCCCACGATGGACTGAACAGGCAATTTCTCCCGGAAAAGGAAGTGGGTCAGGTGTGGCCCAGACAACATGTCCTCCTCAGGCTTTCCCTGGTTCCTCATGGCTATCTCGGCCTCACGCCGCTCCACGTGCTGCTGGGCTGCATCAAAAGAAGGCACCCTGATGCCTCACAACCCTGGACACAGCCTTATATCCCCCCATTGCCACCTCACTTCTGTGCCTTACCAAAGGTAAACATCTGGTCCCAGTCTCGGCAGAGGCGGGCCCAGGGTCCAGGCACAAGGCGGTGCAGCCAGTTGGGCATAGCCATGGTCAACAGCGTGGACACAAACACAGACCCCACCGCGCGGATGAAGGTTTCCGTGTCCCGAGGTACTTCAGATTCCAGGCAACCCAGGCGCGAACCCAGCAGTACGGCAGCTATGCCTGGCCGGGAGGGGGCGCTGTTAGGCACTGGGAGATGTGGCTAGGTGCAGTCAACACCTGCCCCTAATTCTGTTTTGGGACTCACCTTCTAGTCCGAACTTGTAAAACTCTCCCGCCACGTCCCGAACCAGAGCCGGTGGCCCGGTGCCACGTCCCCGCTGGTGCCTCAGCCGTCGCACAAGGTCACGGACCACGTTGTCCAGGCTCCTGGTATAGCCACTGGCCGCTTGAGGCCGGAGGAGGAGCGGGGCAAGGAGACTGCGAAGCCTCTGCCATTCTTCGCCTTCCCTGCGGGGGTGAAGAGAGAGCGCAACCAGGAGGTGGGGAAGGGGGGCGCACACTCGCGCGCGCGTGTGTATGTGTGTGTAGCTGCCTCGTGGGGGCTGGCTGTGATGGAGAAGGAACACGTTTGGCTGCCGTGACCAGGAGAAGCACTGTGTCTGCTCCCTACGGGTACAGAAACGTGCCCCTACCTGCGCCCATCTTCCATCTGCCCCGGATGGGGGTGGAGGTGGGGGGCGGGGCTGGATTCCCGGGTAACCTGAGAATTCGAATTCCATTCGAGTGCTGGTACTTGTGCCTATTCCGCGGGTTTCCTGGGGTTCCCAGGGTTGTGGTCTCAAAGGATAAGGAGGTGGGTAGGGGGCGAGGGCGGGGCTCAACCCGAGTTTGAATGGAACGGACTGGAGAACGCGGAGATGCCAAAGAAGACTGGGAGAGACTGCCGACGTCCCTCCAAGCCACGGGGTAGATTGCCGTGGATATGAACTTTTGGGGCAGAGAAGACTCACGCGGTGAGTAGTCCGCAAGGCCACTGGTGGCGGCGACGGTGCTCCGCCCAGGACGAGAAGCTGCAGCGTTCCGGTAGAGGCCCCTCCTGTCGCAACACCTGCTCGATGAGTGCAGGGGCAGACACATACACGGTGCGTACCGTCCCGAAGCTGGCCAACCACACCGGGCCGAAGCGCGCAGCGCCCTGCACCTGTGAGAATCCACACAGCGGACTTTAGACACCTGGTCAGAGGATTTCAGCTTGGCTTGTGCCAATGGCTAGACTGGGGAAGGGGAAGCTTTTAGAGTACCTGTCTAGTGTATGGCCCTGATGCTGCAAACTCGTCTTTTTTCCATCCCATCAAAGTTTGAGTGTGACAAGCAAAACGAGAAACTGCATAAAACATTCAGGACTTCTCTTTGGTTATCTGGGTCGAGCCTAGGCAGAGCTATCACTAAAGGTCCTCCACCTGGGCTGTCCAACTCAGGACGTGTCCCAGTAAATCAAAGCAGTGCTTAGCTTTAAGCCAAACTGCACGGAGGTTATCATGCGCTTCCTCCTCCCGCGCACTTGTCCTGGACCTACGGGATCTCCAGACGTCAGAACGGAACTGGGTGTTGGGATGGCCTCCGAGCAATTGCGCCACCTCCCCTGGTCCCAACGTGCCTTTTCCAAAATTCTCACTGGTACTCTCTTGCATTCTGCACTAATCTGCCCTTTCTGGCTCTGAGAGCCAGTTCCCCCAGCTCTTAGTTCTCCTCCTACCTGCAGCTCGTGTAGCCTGGATAGCCCCCCTTTGCAGAAAAGTTCAGCCAGGAAACTAGGCACGGAGGGTCCTGGGATGTCTGCCAAACTCTTGGGTGCTGAGTTGGAGCCTCGGGAATCCTGTGAAGCGCCCAGCTCCTGAGGCCAGCGAATTCGATGGAACACTCTGGAGGCCAGCTTGAGGGTCTGGGTCATGGTTCCCTTCAGAAAGCCTGGGAAACAGAGCGTTTCTCCAGAGCATCTTGCCTACTTTCCTGAACCCCTATTTAACCCTTGATAGGGGAGGTGCCTATGCCTCCTCTTCAAGCTCCTCAGCCAATCCCCTTTCTTGAGTGGTCCTCAGTGGTCAGCACCCAGAAACTGTAGGCGGGACTGGGGCTGACTCTGGGTCCTTTGGGACTCAAGTTGCCTAATGACCTTGGTGGGGGTGGGGTGGGTGTCGAGAGACAGGACAAATAAAATCTGTTTCTACTCCTGGGCTAGTGCCCTGGTCTGGCAGCCCAAAGGTCTCTTTCTGGGACAGACTACTTGATATGAATTACAGGGTCAATCCCTCCTTTCCCCACCACTTCAACCAGGGAGCCAGGATTCCCCATCCTCCAACTCCTCCAGGAATCCAGGAAGAGGTACATTTGTAATTATCCCTACTTTCTTGGCTCATTGAGCATCACTGTCTCTGTGAGCAGAATTTTCTGGCACTAACTATATCTCCCTGTCCTTCTGTACCTAACATGTTAATACAGGGCAGATGACAGTGAGTTAAAAATAGCGGCAGACACTGTTATCTTTGGTTCTTGGGGAAGGGGGTTTATTAGGTCAACAAGCCCCCAACTTCCAGCCATGAGATTTGGGGCCTGAGGAACAGAAGTGAAGGAACTTTTTGCAAAACAGAAGTTTGGAGATTTTCTCTGGGCCATTGGATGGACGAGGGGCTAAGTGCATGCTCTGAAGTCCTAGTTTACTCCGTCTCCTCTGAGTTTCAGAATCTTCCAGTTTAGCTCCCTGCTCCTCACTCCTCACTACCCTTCCCACCCATATCAGGCCCTGTGCCAGTATGTCAGTTCTGAAGTTTTGGAATCAAAGGGCAACATGGAAAAAAGAGAGAGTCTCCGCTCCCTCACCTTGTAGGGACACTCCACATACAGCAATAATTAAAGGAGCAGATTGCCCAGGCAAGTCTTAGGCAGGAGAGGATGGGAGGAGGCACGTGATATACACCCCAGCCTTTTCTAAGAAACAGCATCACGGGCACGTGCGTGCACACACATTATCCCCAGGACTGCAAAGTAAACACAAGTGGACAGTAATTTGAGCCGAGCAGACAGTTTAGATGGTAGAGTATTGCATTCCTCACTTCAGCTGAGAGACCCAACAAGGAGAAGGGAGTATTAAGGGAGAACAAGACCCCACCCCCTTCCAAAGGCCCCCTCTGGTCCAAGGTCCTTTAACCTTCCCAGTCAGCTTCTTTTGCTTTTTGCTGGCAGTGGAAAGGCAAGAGGTCGAGGGAAGCAAGGGGCAGGTGTGACACAGTCAGCACCCCCAACTTTTTGATGAGAGATCACGTCCTCCCAGCCTCACCAGTCTCAGCTGGGAGGGCCCAGGGGGCTTGATCTTTCTAGTCCCTGGAAGATGGGATCCAGCTAAGGTAAGGTAAGTAGTCAGTGACCAGGCAGGGTAGGATCGGGGGTCACTGCCTGGAGGGTGGGATCCTGTATTCTTCTAAAGATGGCTGGGAAATTCTTTCCTCCATTGCGTAGAACTTTCTTTCCTTCCTCAGTGGAGGTGCCTAGATGTCCCACAATGGGGTCTTCACTCTAGAAGAAAGGATCCAGCATGTTCTTGCCCACCTTTCAAATGGTCCTGAGCCCCTACACCCCCACCCCATCCTTTTGTCCTAAGCTGGGTTCAGAGAGTTCAGGACCACTCTGGAAGGGATCTGCATCTCTGCAATTTTCCCTAAACCTTTTACTTACCAGCTCCTCCAGAGGCACACGCTCAAAAAGGGGGTGCCCTTCGAAATGGGTGCACATCCACTGGTGTAGCTCCAGCACATCAGTTATGGTATATAGCAGCCCCTGCATAGGTAAAATCACCCTGGGCAGAGCTGCACTCAACTCAGCAAGATGATGAGAGTGATGGTGTAAGTGCCTAAATGCACCACCAATCAATCCTTAGTGAAGGGCCCAGGGTAGGCCAACCAACCTATCCTCACCAACTCACCCCAACTCTCAGCACGTAGGCATATTCTGCCAGCAGTGTAGGACTGATGATTCGCCACTTGTGCTTTGTCCGCTTGAAATGTGGGTCAGGGAAGAGGAAGAACATCTTTGTCAGCTGTGAGACAGACATGTACCAACAGGATTGTGAGTGCCTGACCTTCATGTTATACCTGCTTACCAACCTTTCCCACCAGGGCTGCTTCCCACCTGGCCCTTGCGGAAGAAGTTAGGAAGGTGCTTCATGGCATTACTACGGAGACAGGCGATATTCTGGAAGCCACCTCCAGGAGCTGCACGTAGGGCCCGAATCCGGTCTTGAACATAGTCTGAGACCTTCACCCGAATCTCAAGACCCAGAATCAGGGTGTCTGGGAACAGTGGTGACAATGCCACTGGACACAGAAATAGCAATGGGATATCAATCACATACTTGCAGGAAGCCCAAATGGTCAACACAGGAAAGAAAGCCTCAATTTGTAACTACCAAAGCCAGAATTAGGATCAGAGGTATCTATATGGATAGTTCCCTGCTGGAGAAGAGGCAGGAAAGGTAGAAAAATTGTCATTAGGACTAGAAAGGAAGGGCTGAGACCTACATGTACAATTTTCAACTGCTTTAGAACTTTCACAGTGATTACACACATAGTCTCATTTACTCCTTATCACACTCTGAAGTAGACTGTGAAGATGAGGAAACTGAAAGTCAGAAATGCTCAAGAGGATTGGGGGTGTGGTTCAAGTGGTAGAGTGCCTGCATGAAGCCATGAATTCAGATCCCAGTACCATTAAAAAAAAAGTGCTTGAGATCATAGAACTAAAAAGGAAGAAAGCTGGAATTCGAACCAAGATTTTCTGCCTGTAAGTGCCTGTCAGGCTGTATGGGAAGATCTAAATCTAGGGAAGTAGCTTGGTATACATGCCTGGAACAACACAGACAATACAGAGGAACCCAAAAACATGACAGTAGAGCAGAAAGAATGTGTTCTGGTAAGGGAGGAGGCAGGAGAGGGGAGGTGGTGGAATCCCTGAGAAGACAGTTCAGGATCACTGGCTACAGTGGCTAATCTCTGATGCTTGTGCTGACCAGCTCACTGACCCAGCACAGGGCAGGTAAAATGGCTCATGTAGGGACTAGAGCCAGACAGAACAACCCAAGTTCTGGAAGGCATTTGAAGCAGCCCCCTCCCTTCTCCAGGGCAAAGACCACAGACCTAGAGTAGAGGGAAGGTGGATCTTTCCACACTGATGTCACCAGTGTCTGGCATGAAGGGGAAAGGTCAACTATGGCCCCCACTGAACCTGCTGAGGTGGCAGAACCTAGGCCTCTCTTTGCCCCAGAGAAAGGGCCAGAGTGTTACCTAACAGGCCACCATAGCCACAGCCTATGTCTGCAAACTCCACTTGGGCTTCAGATCGCTTTTCTTTCTTATTCTTTGGGCCATCATGGCTTTGATTTTGAGTGAGTGGAGCGAAGAACTCAGGGTATAGCTCAGACCAGTCCATCTCCTCTGGCTTCACAGGGCTATTGGAGAGAAGACATGAGAAATGTGAAAAGGTTGGTCATACACTGCAGAATTGCTATTGTTTGTGTGTGGGTGGGTGGGGGGTGGGTGAGGGTGGGAGGCAGATGGGTAACAGTGGGCCCTGTGGCCTTTAGGACCAGTGTGAGTCACAGGTCCATCATAAGGCCCATGATTACTGACCTGCCAATCTCCACTTTGGAGTTAATGTGATCTTAGCGGGAAGCTCTTCTTTTTGGGGTACAAGTACCCTTTCTTCCAGAGACTGGTTGCCTAAGGCATAGTTTTTTGTTTTTTTGGGTTTTTTTGGTTTTTGTTTTATTGGGACTGGGGTTTTTAACTCAGGGTTTTGCCCTTGCAAAGCAGGTGCTCAACCAGTTGAGCCACACTTCCAGTTCATTTTGCTCTGATCATTTGAGATGGGGTCTCCAGAACTATTTGCCCCTGCTGGCCTAGAACAGCGATCCTCCTGATCTCAGCCTCCCAAGTAGCTAGGATTACAGGTGTGAGCCACAGGTGCCCAGCTGGGATCCTATTTTGCTTTGGTATTTTGTGGGAGAAGGATGGAGTAAGGAGTGGGCAGCAATGGGTATACGTTTCTCTTTTTATGAAATCCAACAAACAAAATCAAAAGATGGGAATGACAACCTGCCTCTTCACTCTAGTTTCAGTAATAATTTCTTTCTCTTCCCAGATTTGGAACTGCTACCAAGTCTTAGGCTAGAACACTACGCCCCCTCCCAACTGGCCAACTCCGCCCTCTGCCGAATCTCCCAGACCCACCCCAAGCTGACGTTACCCTGCCAAGCCTCCCGTGGGTACAAGTCCTCCCTCCGGTCCCAGCACAATATCTGTCCCAGGCTCCTTTCCCTTCCCGTGCCCGGCTCGCTCACTAGCGCAGCGTGTGGTCTGCCATAGGGTTGGAGTGGGCGCGTTGCCGGTAGTAGCGCTTCTGAGGCTGCTGGGCCTCGGCTCCCGCCTCGTTGCCAGCCTCGGCTCCCGCCATGATGCCAGATCCCGGGTTTCCACCAGACCCACGTGGAAACGAAGGCGCGCGGCGCACGATAATGACGCATCTCCAAGCTGCGCGTAGGTACCGCCTCTTAAGGGCCCAGGAGCAACTTCTGCGCGTTTGGTCACGGAGGACCGCAGGCGGAGAATGCAGCAGGGACCCTCCGCATGGTCTGTGTGTCACTGGGCTGGCAAGGCTCGACCCAGGCACCCAGCCTCTTCCCTTAGCTTTTTTTGCCTGCTCTGGGTTATCACGTTAGTTGTAGGCACCTGTGCGCCCCACAGATGAGAGGGACTTGGGGGCCCCCACCTTCTATAGTGGAATCCAGCATCGTTCCTCTCTCCCCTGGTCTCAAGCCAAGTCTGCGGTGTCTGTTCTGTAAGGTCCTACGTGGGTCTTGTCGGGTGTGCGCTAGGGACAGGGCAGGGGGACAGCCCCTCCAGGAAGTCCAACTAGAGGAAGGAGGGGAAACTCGGGAAGGCGGGGCTCAGTGCCACGGGGAAGCGGAGACGGCCAGCAGCCCCCAACCTATAACCCGCCACAGACCCGAGATCCGACCACTGGCCGTGGTGCCCGGGCACGCTCTCGCGCGGGATGGCGAACTCCTGCCCGGATCCTGAATCAGAGTTAGAATCGGTGTTCCCTCGGGAAGTCGGGCTCTTCACCGACTCTTACTCGGAAAAGAGCCGGTTCTGCTTCTGTGGGCACGAGCTAAGCATCACGCAGAACTTTGGGTCCAGTCTCGGGGTGGCGGCAAGCGTATGGGATGCGGTGAGGAATGGGCTACTTGGGATGAGGGTCCCTGGGAGGTCTAGACGCCTAACCCCGCCTCTCCCATATGGAAGCCACGTCAGTCTTTCTTCCCCTCCCCCCCCATAGGCTGTAAGTCTGTGCAACTATTTCGAGAGTCAAAATGTGGATTTTCGAGGCAAGAAGGTGATCGAACTGGGCGCGGGGACGGGCATCGTGGGAATCTTGGCAGCGCTGCAGGGTGCGTGAGCTGGCATTGCGGCGGGAGGGGTGAGGGAGAGGGAGTGGGAGTGTGGCGAAATTGTAACTACGTGGATTCCTGGGAGAGGGGAGTGCTTCAAGCTCAGCCTAGTTCCTTTCTTTTAACAAACATTCCCCTTCCCCAATTTTCTGTATAGCATTCAGCGCTAATTGGCTTTCAAAACTCCCAGGATGGTTGATTTGGGGACAGGAAATAAAAATCAGGCAGGGCTTGTAAAAGGGAGTTGCTTCTATCTTTTTGCTCTTCTGTGAGTTCACCGAGAATCCTGTCATTTAAAATCCCCTTTGGATTGGGCATGGTCTTCTGCCAAAAATGCATATAGTGGGTATCCTGTACAGGGAGCAACCTGCTGATACTAAGACTCGTGAATGCTTTTATAACTTCGTTGAATATATGTTAGGCGTTTTTTTTTTCTTTTTTCTTTTTGATAGGACCTCATTATGTAGCCCAGAATGGCCTTGAACTCAAAATTCGAAATCCTCCTGCCTCCAATTCCCAAGTGCTGGGATTACAGCTGTGTACCACTATACCCAGCTAGATCCTTTAGGTTTTTATTGCTAGGATAAATAAAGGTAAAAGTTTTGGTGGGTTACATTGTGCCTTTTGGGAAGTGGGGATAGTAATTAAGCACCTCAACAGACTTGGGAAAGAAAGGGTAGCAAAATTATGCTTTAGTTTCATAAAGACTCAGAAACTAAAAAGGTCCTTAATTTATAAATATAAGGGGCAGACCAAGCCCCACACTGAAAACACTCATTTATAAACACTATTAACAACAACAAAAAAAGAAAGAACAAAAAAACTCCTAAAAACACTTAAGAAGTCTTGTAAACAAGCAGGTCCTTGTTCACAGGGACAGAACTAGGCGACATTAAGGGAAGTCTTTCCACAGGCATGCGGTCATCTATTCATTCAGTCAACATGTATTCCAAGTCCTCTATGTGCCAAGAGTCATGCTAGGCATGTGGGATTTGAACAAAAAGTACTTCCTCTCCCTAAGAAGCTTGTGGTCTGGTAGGGAAAATGGAGGAAGATGCTATGGTACAGTACTATGATGTAGAACCAGTGGGTATGCTTGGGCCATGTCTACCTTGACCCCTTGGGAATCCAGCAAGGCGAAGCTCTGTCAGGCAAGAAGGAGATGAACTGGGTGAACACAGAGACTCATGAAGAAAGGATAGAGTGCAAACAGCAACTTTTCCATGAAGGATGGGAGAATGAGCATCAGCTAGTTATATTACAAGGGGAGAAAAGGCATGTATATGAATGAGAACACTTATCCTCACTCGTTCCCAAACTGGCTGCATCTCCTTTGTCCCCTGTTGAGTTTCTAAGTCAGAAGTCTGGGTGTAAATTTCTTGCCTTCTCTCTTCACGTCCCAGAAATCATCCTGTCCTCATATGGCCTTAGCACTTCCACAATTATCTACTCTTCTTTCTACACGTTTAGTTTAGGCTACTACCATTTTTGGCCTGAATTTTTATGAGTCTTCATGCTTCCCCAAGGGGAAGTTTAACATTCCCAAACTATATCTTGTCGTTGTCTCCCACCAAACCTGTTTCTCCCTCAGACCTCCCCATCTTGGTGAATCAAACCACCATCTACCCAATGGGAAACCTAGACTTCACCTTTGACATTTCCCTGTTTCTCACCCAATATTCCTATTGATTTTATCTCCTAAAGATCTCTTGAATTTTCTCCTTTTTCCATCTCCACTGACAGCTCCCCAGCCTAAGCCAGCACCCAGTTGCTTGGACTGTGATAATTAGTTAAACTGCTGGTCTTCCTGCTTTGACTCCTTGCCCTGGCCTAGACCTCTGCCCACTCGCTCAGTAGTCAGAATGACCTTTTCAGAATGCATCTATAATCACACCCCACTTCTACTCAAATCTTTCGATGGCTTCCTATTTTTGTTTTGCTTTTGTTTTTGTTTTTTGGGGGATTTTTTGGTAGGACTGTGGTTTTGAACTCAGGGCTTCACACTTGCAAAGCTGGCACTCTACCACTTGGGGCCACACTTCCAATTCATTTTACTCTGGTTATTTTGGAGATGGAGGTCTTGTGAGCTATTTGCCAAGGCTGGCCTCAAACTGCGGTGGTCCTGATCTCAGCCTCCCAAGTAGCTAGGATTACAGGCATGAGTCACCACGCCCAGTCAATGGCTTCTTATTGTTTTTATAGTAGAGCCAACATCTTTAGCATGGCGGCCAATGCCCTGCCTCCCTCTCCAGCCTCTTTCTGTGCCTCTCTCCCTCCTGTCCTTTTTGTGCTACTTACTACCCTTCTGTCAAACTCACTTTGATCTTCCCTTCCTTAGGGACTTCCTTTGCACTTTCTGTTTGAAACCCTGTTACCACATGGTTAACACATATGCAGTCTTCATTCTCAGCTCAAATATTACTTCCAAAGCTTCTTTGATACTCCCATCCTAGTCTGGCTTAGGCCCTCCTAGTACATACACAGCTATACTAACTGGTCTCATTTTAAAGTTAGTATCACTGAGGTCAGGTGGGTTCTAAGTACCACCCAACTAGCCTATTACAATTCCCTTATCTGTTTATTCTTCCACTCTCCTAAACGTGTCACTGCAATTTGAACTCAGGACCTCACACTTGCTAAGTAAGTGTTCTACCACTTGAGCCACACCCTCAGCACCTTCTTGTTCTTCAAATATATGATGCCTCCTCTGCTCTCAGTAATCTCACTTGATTACTTTGTTTCCTATTTTCTTATTGGTTCCATTTTCTCAGAAAATGTCCGTTCACATGTTCCTATTACATCTAACCTAACTGTCTGTATGCACTGCCTCTATCTTGTTATCATGGATAGACAAACTAGTGATGGTCAAACTCTCCACTGTCACAAGATCCCAAGCCTTCCCACCTGTTCAAAGACACTGTTCAGATGGACACTTGTGGCTTATGCCTGTAATCCTAGCTACTCGAGAGGTAGAGATAGGGGGATTAACATTTGAGAGACCCTATCTTGAAAATATTCCAACACAAAAAAGGGCTGGTGGAGTGGCTCAAGTGGTAGAGCACCTGCCTAGCAAGTATGAAGCCCTGAGTTCAGGCCTCAGCACTACACACACACACACACACACACACACACACAATTCAAGCACCTCCCTCTTGTCTGTCTGTCTCTCTCCACACACACACACACACACACACAGACACACTCATTACATGTGCATGAATATGCTTTAATTCCTCCAATCTCAGGAAAAAAATCTCTGATCCTATTTCTTCATCTAGTTCCTAGCCATTTTCTCTGTTCTCCTTTAAAAGAAAACTCAAAAAGTTAAAGTCCACTGCCTCTAGTTTCTCTCATTTTTTTTCTCAATCCATTCTAGTTAGACTTCCATTCCACCATGTCCCCTTTCTAGTTAAGATTATGAGCTTTCTGGGGTAACACACTATTGGTTTCTGCCTACCTCACTGGCACACTTTTCCATTGTCTTTGTTGATTCCTTTTCATCTTCACAACTGAATATTTGAGAGCCTCAGAGCTCAGGAGTAGCTCTCTGACCCTTTCTTTCTTCTGTCTACACTCCCTCCTGAGCAGTCCATTACTCTGTAGGTTGGTATGTCCTTTTCATGCTGATAGATGTGATTCTCCCATTTCTATTTCAAGACTTGTTTGCATAGTGCAATGCCTACTTCCTATCTTCATGTAGTTGTCTGATGGGCATCTCAAACTTAGTGTGTCCAGAAATGAAATCGGGATCCTCTTTCAAAGCCTGCTCCTCTTGTAGCCCTCCTCATTTAAATGAACTATAATTGGGTCTTCCCTCCCCTCCTCCTTCCTCCCTTCTCTCCTGCTCTCTTCCCTCCCTCCCTCAACATCTGATCACTTCTTGGTCATTGCTACTACTTTGGTTCAAACTGACATCTCTCCTCTGAGTCATTGCAGCTACCTCCCAATTAGTCTCTTTGTTTCTGACCCTGCCCTTCTGCAGTCTTTTCTAATTGCAGCAAAGTGCTTCTCTTAAGTCATTGTATGCAATTCTTCCATTTAAATTTTTTCCATGGCTTCCCACATCACATAGACTACAAGCCAGATTTTCCAGTCTCCTTACAAGGTCCTGCTTATGATACTGTTCCTATTATTATTTCTCTCACTCACTCTGCCCTAGCCACTGGTCTTCCTGCTGTTTCTCACACCTGTCAGGTACAGTCCTACCTCGAGATCTTTGTTTGCTGGTCTGTTGTTTCGTAGACTTCACCCTGAGAGAGTCATGTGGTTTGTTCCATTGCTGCCTTTAGGTCTTTGCCCAGATATAATCTGCTTAGTGAAGCTTTTCCCTGATTATCCAATTTAAAATTATGTTCCTGTGTGGTGGTGCAATACTGTAATCCTAGCTATTCAGGAGATGTAGGCTGGCTCAGGCAAAACAAGACCCTATCTGAACAACAAACTAAAAGCAAGAGGACTTGGGCATAGCTCAAGAGGTAAAGCACTTGCCTAGCAAGTACAAGGACCTGAGTTCAATCCCCAGTTCTGCCAAAAAAAAAAAAAATTAATTTCCCTACCCTGCCCCTCAAGCAATTCATATTTCCTTCATTGTTTCATGCTTCACCATAGTATATGTTATCATTTGATGTATGGTATGTTTTAATTCATTTATTTTGTTAACATTTGTTTCTTGTCACAATTTTTTTTTTTTTGAGACAGGATCAAGCTATGTAGCCCGGGCTGGTCTCCAACTCAAGATTCTACTGCTGCCACCTCCTAAGTGTTGAGATTATAGGTGTGCCACCACACGTGGCTCTTGCCACCATCCTGGAAGCTCCATGGGGGAGATTTTTATCTCACTGCTGTTTTCTCAGTTCCTGGCATAGGCACGTGACAAAAATGAATGAATGAATGAATTATTAGTACTTCCTGTTTCTCTTTCTATTGTATTCATCATGATTATGATTAGTTTCTTTGCAGTACCCAGTATGCTACTCTAGAATGAAACTCGAAGTTGAGATTTTGTTTTGCTCATCAGTGTATCCCTAGCACTTAGTAGGTGCTCATTACATATATTTATTGCATGAATGATGCTTTCTGAAATGCTAATCTGATCATCCTATGCCTGCTTCTACTCTTAAAAATGATCCTCTTCCTTCTAAAAGCTGGATTTCTTTCCCATGTCATAATCGTCTTGTTTCATGCTTTGACACTTATCTCCCCATTCCCACATCCTCTAGGATACAGCCTTCCTTGAATACTTCATACTCTATCCTTGCCAGGCCTTCGTACTCAGTATTCTCTGCTCAGAAAGCCCCACTTGACTAACTCCTCCTGGCCTTTAGGGCTCAGCCGATGTCACATCTTCTGGGAAACCTTCCAGGCTTCTGAAGGCAGATTTGTGTCGGGTGTGGGTACACAGCCCATCTCCAGCTTAGTCTTGCCCAGGCTTCTGCTAACATCTGATTGTTGTGTATTGGGCAGAGTAGTTGAAGATTAGCTCAGGGAGAATGTTGATGTTGTAGAATGTGGAGTAATGAGGATGGCAGTGGGTGGTTAGGAGGTTAGGACAACTTCAAGTCAAAGTGTGGACTTTGGGCTTTCAGGACATTGACCTTTAGGCCTTGAGGTCTCTGAACCTTCCAGGCAGGAGCCAAGAGCCCTTGGTTGGTCCCTCTGACTTGCGTTTCTCCTCCTTGTGCTCTCCCTCAGGGGGGGATGTTACCATCACTGACCTTCCTCTGGCTCTAGAACAGATCCAGGGCAACGTCCACGCTAATGTGCCAGCTGGAGGCCGGGCCCAGGTCTGCGCCTTGTCCTGGGGGATTGACCAACATGTCTTCCCTGGAAACTATGACTTGGTGCTGGGGTCAGATATCGTGTACCTGGAGCCCACCTTCCCACTGCTGCTGGGAACTCTCCAACACCTGTGCGGGCCCCATGGCACCATCTATCTGGCCTCTAAGATGAGAAAGGAGCATGGAACAGAGAGCTTCTTTCAACATCTCCTGCCCCAGCACTTCCAACTGGAGTTGGCCCAGCGGAATGAGGATGAGAATGTCAACATCTATAGGGCCAGACACAGGGAAGCGAGACCTGCTTGATGTTACCCCTTCTGTTTTCAACCCCTTATCCCAATGAAGGAACTGCAAAGCTCCAAAGCCTTATCTCCAAAAGGACCAACAGGATGTATTTCCCTGAACTCTCTTTCCTCTTTCCATCTTTGTTCCCCCAGATACCCTTGGGCAGATGCAGGAAGGCACCTATTTGTTAAGAATCCTAGAGAGCTCTAAAAATACAGGTATTAGAGCACAAAGAAGAGTCCCAGCTCTTATTTTCATAGGAGGAGAATGGGCAGGCATTCAGGGTGTTTAGGGGTAAGGGAAGTTAATGGGTATAACAGCAGTGGTTACAGAGATTGTCTCAGAGCAATTCCATTTGTAATGTTGTTTCTTTATACAGAAACAACTTTGAAAAACTCTATGGAATTTTTTTAAAGGGAAAATGAGCATTATTGATCTCTTCTGCATCCAAAGAATGCAGCTTTTGCCAGGGAGCTGAGAAGGAAGAAGCCTCAGATCACCTGTTTTCTTGTTCTCAGGGATAAGAGTCTGGAAGAACCATGGCTATGACGGGGTCAAGTCCTCCCAGTCCCGAAGCTAGGAATAGGTAGCAGAGCTGTCCTTTGGAAAGTAGCAGTTTTTTCTTCTCCTCCTTCTCCTTCTTCTGGTGCTAGGGATGAACCCAGGAGGACCTCACATGTGCAGAGGTAGGCAAGAGCTCTACCTCTGAGCTACATAATCAGACATTTATCCTTTTCAAAGTTGAAGCCCTGATCACAAAACATCATGCTGTGAAGAACACTGAGTTTAGTGCTAGGTTCTTCTGATCTTTGTTTTTTCTCTCCAAGCTCCATTAGTCTTTCCTTCCTAACTTGTTTTGCCCTCACTTGTCTCTTCCCACTGCATCAGCTCTGGTTAGGGCTCTTTACTTACTTACTGCTCAGAAGCAAGAGATGCAAGCATAAACTGCTTGGCATTCAACTTATTTCTATGTGATCCCAAATTACCTTTCTGTATCACTTCCTACTTCTTTCCTGCATGTATTGGACCTCTAGCCAGATTACAAAAGATGTGCAGTTTGTTCCCTAAGCTGACACAAAGGTTTCCTGACCTATTCCATTCTTTGACTCTCTGCCTGGAAGGGCTATTGCCACCTGTCAAAACTCTTAATTACTCTGTCGTTTTTTTCAAAACAAAACAAAATTTTCCCTGAGCCTCCTGTTTGAATGTGATTTCTTTCCCCCTGACACCCTTTAACTCTTTTCTCATCTTACAGGAATTTACCTTCTTTTGACTGATGCTGATATCTTGGAGGGTAGGACTGTGTTTTATTCATCTCTGAAGCTAGTACAGTTCCTATCACACAAATGTTCAGTAGACATTTTGCTAACTTGACAAATATTTATTGGGTTTGTTGAAGGGTTTCCACCCCTACCTGTCTAGGTGACCTTGGGTAATTTCCTGAACCCACCCACCTACCTCACAAGTTTGTTGTGAGTCATAAATGGATAATGAATATGAAAGTTCATTGAGAATAAAGAAACATAAAGTATTATCCACACATCTTGATTGTTATTTTATGACAACTTTATCTCTTGGTTTTTCTTATTTTACCTGTTGGAGGTAATTACTGAGTATTGAACCCAGAGCCTTCAGCTTGCTAGGCAAACCCTTTAGCAGTTGAGCCAGGCCCTCGGCCTTTGGTTTTGGTTTTTGTTTCTGATAAAGGGTCTCCATAACCTTGCCCCAGCTGTCCTCAAATTCTCCATCTTCCTACCAGTGCCTCCCAAGTATCTGGCATTGCTGGGTGAGATGTAGCTTTAATAAACCAAGCAGAGGCGGTGACTATATCCCTCCAGCCAGCAGATGGCGCCATCTCGCTCAAGGCGTTCTGGTGGAGCATTTTGGCCCTTCTGCCACGCCGTCGGCTGTCGCCTCACCTGTGCGCCAGCCGGCGGGAGCGCACCGCAGTCGGAGCGATGTCGCTGCTGCTGTCCCTACGTCTCTGCGTGGTCGCGCGGACCGAGAGCCGACTGGTGAGCGCTCCGGTCCCAGGGCCGGCCTGCCTTCCTCGCAGAGCGCCTTGAACGCACCCTTCTTTTTTTGACCTGGTTCGACACCATTCGACCCTCCCCCAGAGACCCTTAGTTCTTCGCGGTGCAGTCCCCCGGGTGCTGGCCTTTCCCATGTTTCCCGAATCCTGGCCTCCTCCCTGCCTCCCTGAGGATGTGGCTCTTCCCCCCGCCCCGTCCCACACACCTCTCTTCACCTCCCCCTTCTCCCAGCTCCTAGCTGCTTCCGACTTCCCATTCCTTTTTTCCGACTCCTCCAGGCAGGGTCTCTTCTGCTTCCATCGCCCCAGCCATGGCACAAGTTTCACGCGGGGCCCCAGCTATCTTCCTCCAGCAAAGAGCTCCTGATGAAGCTGCGGCGGAGGACAGGCTTCTCTTTTGTAAACTGCAAGAAGGCCCTGGAAACCTGTGACGGGGATCTCAAACAGGTGCGAAGGGATGATGCAGGGCGAGCCACTGGGGCCTGACCTCAGCTCTGGGGAGGTCACGCTGGTGAGCACAGCGCCAGAGCCCGACATGAAGTTCTGAGCCTCAGCGGTTAATTTTGTCTTACATGGAAGCAGTTAACTCAGGATCCCAGGGTTAACCAGCCTTATTCCATTACATCATTACTGTGGTGTTTTCTACTGCTTGGAGCTGAAAAGGTTTATGTGACATTTGGCGTTAGACCCACCAGGACTCAAATTATGGAGCTTTCACACTAATACTGTGACCTTGGAGAATTCAATTAGGCTTTCAGAGTTGTGTCATTGTCTGTTATTTGGAAATACTACTGTCTACCCTATAGGTGGTTGTGAAGATTAAACTTATCCAAAGCACCAGTTACCACAATACCTGGTTTAGTGGTAGACTGCCAGTAAATGATAGATTACTTGAGTTTTTATTATAGAATTTAGGGCAAGCAGGAAGATAAGTTCATGTGAACATATTTTAAATAACCATTCAGTTCTAAATTCTGTGACTTTGTCTTCTGCTCTTTTTCTTTCCAATTTATAGGCAGAGATCTGGCTCCACAAGCAGGCCCAGAAGGAGGGCTGGAGCAAAGCGGCTAAGCTCCATGGGAGGAAGACGAAAGAAGGCCTTATTGGGCTGCTACAGGAAGAAAACACAGCTGTATTAGTAGAGGTGAACTGTTGGGAATTCCACATTCCAGGAACAGCTGTGTCTTGGGTGTAAGGCTTGTGGTAGACCCCTTTGCATCCTTAAGGAAGAAAACTGTTTGTGAATCTTGAAAGGTAGTTGGAGTTAAACTCATGAAACTGTAGTAAATTAACTATGAATTCATTTAGATACAGAAATGCCAGGTTGTGTTGTTGAGAAATGGCTTAGCAGTCTAGAACATTACTCCTAAAAATGAGTCTAGTGCTATCTTGCTCCTTGTCACTGACTGTTTCCTGGAACAGTTAGGTTTTTTTTTTTTTTTTGTGGGATTGGGTTTTGAGCTCAGGGTTTCATGCTTGCCAAAAAGGTGTTCTGCCACTTGAGTCACAACTCCAGTCCATTTTGCTCTGGTTATTTTGAAGATGGGGGTCTCAATAAGTATTTGCCTGGGCTGGCCTTGAACTTCAATCCTTCTGATCTCAGCCTTCCAAGTAGTTAGGATTACTGGAACAACTCGTACCTGGCTCTGGAACAGTTAGATTTTAAAGTTAGTAATTAGTTGATGGTAAAGAAAAGCTGCTTTAGAGGAGGTTTGGAAGTTGTAATTGGTGAAGAAGTAGATGTGGATTAGTTTAGAGTAAAAAAAGGATAAACACAGTGATAGCTAATGTCACTTGAAGTTGGAGGAGGCTGGAGAATAAGGTGATTATGGCATGCAACCACAGGCAAGAGATGAACTTTTAGTGACTCCCTCAGGACATTACAGAACCCTCTTCTGAATATGCAGATTATTGCTAACTCCCTGGTATAGAAGAATCTGGCCTCAAGGAAAAGAGGGACTGTTACTTTAAAAGTCTGGGGTCATTTATTTCTGTTGAGTCTGCAGCTTATTCCATCCATATCTTGTTTTCTTCCCTACCTTAATACACTTTGGAAACTCTTAGTAAACAGCTTATACAGCAACATCTATTTATTCCCACAGGTGAACTGTGAGACAGATTTTGTTTCCAGAAATTTAAAATTTCAACAATTGGTCCAGCAAGTAGCCCTGGGAACCATGTTGCATTGTCAGAGCATAAAGGATCAACTCTCCACATACAGTAAAGTGAGTTTGGAGGTTGTCTCTAGCATGCTGAATTTGTCCCCCCTTAGGGTCTTTGCCATTCCTTTGTTTTTGGTATTTGGGGATCCCACCCAGGGCCATGTGCCTTACCCCTGAGCTACACCCCTAGCTTCTGCCATTCTTTTTTTTCAGATACTCTATTGCTTCACATAGCTGCTTAAATGTTCTCTCTTTGGGAAGGAATACCTTTCTTCTGTTGTTCTATCTTCTTGTTCTGCCTCATTAAATTTTTTTATTATCATGCCTATAATTAATTACATTTTTATTTATTTGCAGAATGTGAGCTTCATAAGGCAGGATGTTTGTCTTTTTCTGTTGTATCTCTGGTGAAAGATAGTGGGTGCAGCATTTAGTTGAAGCTCAATAAATCTTTGTTGAATAATTGAATGCCAGTGTGGTGAACAAAACCATCTGAGGTTTCCTGTTCAGAAATCTGTAATGGCCTGGGGAAAGAGTTTCCAAGCAGTGAAAAAAGGCACAATTTGGTGGGGGTAAGCAGATTCTCATCCATAGAAGGAATTATATCAGTCTGCTTTTGATTCAGCCTATTGTCAAGGCAAAAATGAATTAATTGCTTACGACACTTTGTAACCACTTTGATCCTCTTATTTTTTCTTCTCTTGATATTGCTAAGTAAGTGGTAATTGTTACCATTTTGTAGTCATAGTATATGGAAGATTGTGTTGAGAGTATTTTGTGGTGAGGATGCTGGGGATCGAACCCAGGGCTTCACACATCCTGAGCAGGTACCCAGTCACTGAGCTACACCTCTAGCTCTCAGTTTAGATTGTATTGTGTAGATGAATTGCTTGAATTATTCTTTTTAATTTTTTTCTTTTTTGGTGCTGGGGATTGAACTAGGGTCTCATATATCCTAGGTAAGCACTCTACCACTAAATTGCACCCCCAGGCTTAAATTCTAATCTTAATTTTGCCAAAAATCTATTTTTAACCAGGAAGCAGGAGTTTATTTTCCTGGAGTCCTGTTTTATTATCTGTAACAAGAGACTTTGGCCTCCTTTTGTTTTTATTTTGGCCATACTGTGGTTTGAACTCAGGGCTTTGCTCTTGCTGGTGCTGTGCTTCTTGAACCACACCTCTAACCCTGCTTTATCTCTCTCTATATTATCACCATCATGTTTTTAAAAAAATCCTTTTGTGAGTTTTGTAGACATCAGGACTTTTTTGGGGGGGCAGTACTGGGGTTGAACTAAGGGCCTTATACTTGCTAGGCAGGCGCTCCACTCCTTGAGCCACTCTGCCACCCTGTTTTGTTTTGGGTATTTTCAAGATAGAGTCTTGAGAACTATTTGCCTGGGACTGGCTTCAAACCACAATCCTCTTGATCTCTGCCTCCTGGGTAGCTAGGATTACAGGTGTGAGCCACTGGCACTTGGTGACATTAGCACTCTTGAACTTGGCCTTGAGCCATGTCCCCAGCCCTTCTTTCATTATCTTTTCAGGTAGGGTCTTCATTTTGTGCTCTGGCCAGCCTGGACCATGATTATACTATTTACATATCCCAAGTAACTGGGACATCAGGAACGTACTACCACACCCAGCTTTTTTGGTTGAGATGGGGTTCTCATTAACTTTTTACCTAGGCTGCCCTTGAACTGTGATCCTCCTGCTCTCCATCTCCAGAGTAGCTGGGATTACAGGTGTAAGCAACTATGCCCATTGACATCAGGACTCTATTCTGTCAGCATGTATCTCCTAAAAACAAAGACATTCTCTTATATAACCATAGTACAGTGATCGAATTTAGGATTTTAACATTGATACAATATTTTTATTTATATGATATACATTATGTATTCTAATTTGCCAACTAACAATTTTTTTTCTCTAGAATCCATTCCAGTATCATGTTCATTTGGTTGTCATGTCTGTGTAGTCCCCTTTCTTTGTTCCTCAAGACTTTGGGAGAGTACCAGGGCAGTTTTGTACAATGTCTTTTAATTTAGGTTTGCCTGATGTTTCTTCATAATTAGACTCAGAAAATACTGGTTTTGTAGAAATATTAAATAGTATTTTTCTCAGATCATCATGTGAGAAGGCACATGATGACTGTGGGGTCCATTATTGTCAGTGTTAACTTTAATCTCTTGGTTAAGGTAGTATCTGTCAGATTTCTCTACTGTAAAGTTGCCGCATTCCTCTTTGTGATTAATAAGTGATCTGTATGAGAGATTTCTTTGAGACTGTATAAATACACAGTTCTTCAAAAGACTTTGCTAATGCTAGTTTTAGTATCCATTGATAATTGTTGCCAAGGTGAGTTATTAAGATAGCTGCATAATAGGTTTTTTTTTCTTTAATTTCTTCTACCTGCATTGATCAGTTGGCACTATACTGTTAGTTTTCTTTCCCCTTTGTTTAATGATTTATGTAGTACCAACGTTGACTCATGGATTCTTACTTTATAAAATAGGTTATAATTAATTATTTGACTCGTTATTTGTTCCGACCAATATAAGCCAAGCCTGTGCAAGCAGGCTGTAATGTCCTTTTGATATGTTCTTATCGTTTCTTTTTGGCATAAGACATTCTACATTTATGTTGCTCCAGCCATGGAACTGGCCACTTCTTCAGGGAGTCCAGGTCCTTTAAGTAGGGTTATGATTTTTAGAAACTAAGATGTGGACATTAGGTATGCTCATTTCTACTGAGATTTTATTGTTTCTGTTCTTTCAGCAGAAAGAACAGCTTTTCAGCTAGTGTGTATGTTTTATTTATAAACCAGACCTGTAAGGTTCCTTCTTTCCCCATGGTCTATTTGACTCTTTCCTTCATCATAGTAAGAAAGCTGATTCCTAGCAAACTTCAGTGTTTACTTATTTACTCAGTGTTTATAAAATACTCAAAATTGTTTGAGAGTCTCTGCGCCTAATTACTGTAAATGATAGACCTACTAAAGAGTTTAAAATTTCTTTGTAGTTCTTTTTGTCTTTACATTGAAGTTATATAGTGAGAGGAGACTATATTGAAAACTACTTGATTAGTGGTTTTTTTTGTCTTTTGTAAAGTTATGTTAATCATTGACATATAGTTAAGAGTCTTTCTGTGTGGTTAATTTTTGTTTTCCTTCCAAATCTTGTTGATTTTACTTATGTATTTATTTGTGGTTCTAGGAATCTAACCCAGGTCCTTGTGCATGCCAGGCAAATACTGTACCACTGAGCTACATGCCCTGTGCTAGTTTTTCTGTTTTTGTTTTTCGGCTGTACTGGGGTTTGAACTGTGGGCTTTGCACTGTCTATCACTTGAGCCAAGTTTCCAGCCCAAGCCCTTGGTTTTTTGAGACAGGTTCTCATTTATGTAGCCCAACTGGCCTGGAACTCAGGATCTTCTTGCTTTAGCCTTCCGAGAGCTGGGATTACAAGTGAGTGCCACCATGCCTGGCTTAATTTTATGGTTGAATGTGGAAAAAGTTCTAAAAGTTAAGTATCTTATATATATATATATATATATATATATATATATATAAAGAAGTATACTCATAGAAGCCTTAATTCCTCTTCTATTCCAGTCTCATCCACTCCTGTAGATAGCCAGCCTTGCTGGATTAAAGTTGCACTTTCAGTATTTCTTTTTGCAAAAATAATCAGATAAATACAGATATTTCTTGTACAAATGATAATGTGTATACGTACTTTTAATTCTCCTTTTTCAGTTGGTGATATGTCATGGAAATAACTCTGGAGCAGCTCACAGATCTACCAGCTGCACAGTATTCTATTGTTGGCGGCGCCATGTTTTACTTAACTAGCCTTCTTCTGTGTTTGGGCATTTAGATTGTTTCCAAACTTTTATGATTAGAAATAATTGCTCAATGAATGATTTTGTGCATATGTACTTTTCTTCTTTTGGAAGTATTTCATCAAAGTCCTAGAAACAAAATTGCAGAGTCAAAGGATAAACATGTAGTTTTGTTAGATATAGTTCAAATCTCCTCCATTGGATTTGCACCATTCTGCATTCTCACCAACAATTTGTAAGTCTCCCAGTTATTATTTTATGGTTGTATGAAAATATTATCTGTGGGTTATAGGAAATTCTAAAAAATTAGGCTAGAGGATAGAAGTGGAATGGAATTGGAAATGGTGTAGTAATAGAATAAAATATTAATAAAAATTAAGCTATTATTGATTTTTAACATCCTTGGCTAGAGAAAATATCTATACTTAGATGTCTTCATCACTTTCTTATAAATAAGCTATTTTTGCATATTCTCTGGATAATTTCAGTAGTGCAGAACTGGCTTATGTTTGTTTTCTTATACACTTAGGGCTTCCTGAATTCTTCTGAGCTTTCTGGACTTCCAGCTGGGCCTGACAGAGAAGGCTGTCTCAAGGATCACTTGGCCTTAGCAATTGGTGAGTTATTTGCTAGATTTTTGGAAACCAGAAATAAAGGTCTGGATTTCTTGGTATTCTGAGTTTCCTCCAAATCTAGTTTGAGAATTGCAAGCTTATGTGCCCACAGAGGCCATATCATGTTAATCTGAGAAGTGGGTTGTGTGGTAGGTGTTGGGGAGCAATAGGCATCCTGCAGGGCCTTTTCTTGGCTGAAGGAAGCCTTGTCACCAACCTCTAGACTATTGTTATATTGGGCATCATCAAAATTTCTAAATTCCTTGAAAGAATTTAGGTTTATATATAAAAATCTCATGAGTTTTCAACTCATTTGCAACTGTTGCAACTGCAACTAGTTAAAATTATTATTATTCTTTTTTTTGAGACAGTGTCTCACTATATAACTCAGGCTCACTTGGAACTCACTAAACTGGGCTCAAACTCTCCATCCTTCTGCCTGTGCCTCCCGAATGCTGGAATTGTAGTCATGTAGCACCACACCATTCTTTAAAATTATTTTCTTCACTGTGATGACCAAAGAAAGCATGTTCTTAGGCAGAATGACTTTTGACTTCCAGTTGACTACCTCTGTATATGGCATAGAGAAAATAGTAAACCAATCTAGGAAAAGTTAGGGTCATCATTTTTAGGAATTTGTCTCTCTTTTCAAAAAATCTGCCTTGAATGTGTGAAGGTTCATTCTTTTAGAACCCACTGGTTATGGGAACCACATCTGGGTCATTGTTGGGAGACTTAAGTGGGGATTTTGCTTTCTTTCTACGTGTCCTGATGGAGGGAGAGAAGCAGGGCTAGGTTTAGAGTTGCTGGGTATTTTCTGCCCATCGGAAGTTTCCAGTCAAGGCATCAATTCTGTTTTTATCAGTCATCTCATAATATCTGTGATATTTTAGTGAGTCATGGATCAGAAACCAGCTAGCCAGCTTTATTAAGAAATGTGACTTACTAAGAAATCCTGGAAGAACTGGGTGTTTCAGCACTGTCAACTTCTGGGAATTAACTACTGGGTAGATGTTTTGAGCTATTTTAAAATTTTAGTCTCTGAATTTTCCTTTTTTATAACTTTCAGATATAACTGTAGCTAACCCAGGCATATTTATCTATATCTCTTTATCTTCCTGCCCCTTCCTAATTTTGGCTTTTTTTGGGCTCCTGTTAGAAGGGAATGGCATACTGAGCAAAAGGAGAAAGCTGAAATTTTTTTTGGGTTCTCATAAACAACTTTGAAAATGTTTTCCTTTTATTTTTGATGAAAGGCAGTTGAAACTCTCAGATGTGGATTTGAGAGCTTGGGGGACTTTTATTTGTAGACCTTTTCTTGATATAGTGGATGATTGGGAGTTCACTGTGTCAAGTTATGGTGGATTTGGGAAAGATGGTAATTTTGTGAGAAAAAAATACCTAGTTGCTTTGGAGTCAGAGCTGAGTTTTAATTCCAGCTCCACTATGCATTACTAGGTGAGCAATGCCCTCTAAGCCTAAGTTTAAGGTATTCATAACAGCTAACATATGAGTGCTCACTGTGTGCCTGATACTATAATAAAGTTGTTCACATATACCACCTTTTTTTATTTCTCCTAATAACCTTAATAGGTAGGGGGTATTATCTCCATTTTATAGATGAGGAAACTAAGACTTGGAAAATTAGTAAATGGGGTTGTGTCATTAAGTTTCTTGCCCAAGGGCATATAAGCAGGAAGGGGAAGAACTGAGATGTGAGTCTGTGACACTAGCCTCTGTTTTAAGTACTAGCGTGCTTGGCACATAGTTGGTGCTCATTAAAGTACTCTTCAATCCTTCCACCCCGTCTCCTCTTTAAACAGAAACTGAAAACTGTGCTTCCGTCTTTCTACCTATCCATGCAAGTGTAGTCCTCTTCTGTGCTTATGTTGGTATCACTGTAGGCATCATATTCTGGTTGGTGTTATGGTTCTTTCTTTTTTCTTTTTATAGGGAAGCTGGGAGAAAACATGACTCTTAAACGAGCTGCCTGGGTGAAGGTGCCGTCTGGGTTCTACATTGGCTCCTACGTCCATGGAGCAATGCATAGCCCTTCACTCCACAACCTGGTGCTGGGGAAGTATGGGGCCTTGGTCATCTGCGAGACTTCTGAGCAGCAAGTGAACCTGCAAGACCTTGGCCGCCGCTTGGGGCAGCATGTAGTGGGCATGGCCCCTCTCTCTGTTGGCTCCCTGGACGATGAGCCTGGGGGAGAGGCAGAGACCAAGATGCTGGCCCAGCCATACTTACTGGATCCCTCCATCACATTGGGACAGTATGTGCAGCCCCAGGGGGTGTCTGTAGTGGACTTTGTGCGATTTGAATGTGGAGAAAGTGAAGAGGCAGTAGAGGCCGAATAGGTACCAGAGACTTTTTGGTCCAGGAGGAAATATTTATTTTTAGTTCTGGACATCATTACAAAAAGAAGTTATTTCCTAAGCCTCTTCAAACTTGTTTTTTCATTTGAGTTTATAATGAAATTATATACTCATAGGTATAGTTATTAGTTATATAATAAAGAGAGTAGAATTTTTTCCTTATTTGCATAATTCTGGTTTTAGTTTTGTTGTATGTTCCTTGTGATGGGTTTTAAGAAAGAACAGGTGAGTCTTGCTGTGGCTTGGTGAACAGACCACAACAACCATTGTGCTGCTCAGTTTAGTGTGGTGTTGCTGAAATTTCTAACTAACATGGTCCTTCATGATGGAAGTCTCTTGTCCTGCTTTGATTTTGTGACACTTTGGACTATGCTTCTTCCCTGGAACTTCTCCAGCTACATTACTTCCTTTGGAATTGTTGATTCACAGTACAATTGTCTGGAAAATGTGAGTTCATTTGTTGAAGTCTGTAGCGTGCTTTGAAAGCATTCTGCAGTGCTATATGTACTGGTTCTGGTCTCATTTATTGAAATTAATAATAACACATGGCTTTAATTGTCTTTTGGGGTAGATACTGAGGTTTCATGAACAGCTATAAGACCCTTACTTTTTTTTGAGATACTAGAGATTGAACTGAGGGGCCTGGTGCATGATAGGCAAGCACTCTACCATTAAGGTATATCCCCAGGCCTTGTAAGGCAGATCCTGATTGTCTTGTGCCAGAGACAGGAATTACAGTGGTCCTGTTGACCAGAGAGCTCACTCAGCATTGCCTCTTTACTTCCCCAGTACTGAAACCTTGCTCCCAACATAAGGTACAATTACCATAACACCAAGCACCAGGTACTGAAAAGAACTCTCATTTGCTCATCTAGCCATCTTTATTTGAGAAGTTAAAAAATGCTGTGGCACATAATAGATCTGGGCATTTGGATTTTGGGTTACATAGGTTTTAGAAATATTAAACTTTAAAGCAAATATATGTCCTGAAACATACTAAATTAGTAAGCTTAGTTTTTGGGTTCTCTATCTTTTGACTTTTCTATATTCATGCAGCTTTTAGTGCTTTCTGCTAAAATTTTTGCTGAAAGGCCACAAAAACCAAAAAGTGGGTACTTTAACATTTTTAAGTATTTAACAACCAAGGATTGCAAGAATGAGGAAAAAATGGAGAATGTGCTATGATTTTCAGACTTGATTGTATCTAATTCAGTAGCTGAATATCAGGCAGAAATTGGTAGATAAATTCTTTCCTGATATTGGCACTATCTGCTCTCTTCTGTGCTCTTGCAAGAGGCATATGCCTTCTTGTCTTAGAAGAGTCCCTTTTCTTTCTTCAGTTGTAGCTGTTTCCAGCCAGGCAGAGCAGCAAACTGCCCTCTTGTGATGCCAAATACAGACATGAAGTCCTTCTCAGAAAGGTAATTCTAAAAGAGAAAATAAAGTTTCTAGTTAGAAAGAAGACATGGCATGTATTAATGACAACAGAGGTAAGGAGAATGAGCAAGAGGGCAGCCTAGGTAGACCCTTGAAGGAGGAAGTAGAATGACTTCTCAGGGAGGTGATAATAGACCTAAACTATGCACAGCAAATTTGTTCTTGAGGCCATGGAATCCCATTTTGGTCTGTGGAAGAAACTGGTTTCACTGCTTTTGCAGTCCTGGCTTCTTGCCAGAAAGACAGTAAACGGGTTATATATTATTGGTGAATTATAGACATTTAAGTTTTAGAGAGTGGGGGAGTAAATTGAATGATACTTTTTCTTCATATTCTTAACTGCCATTTTTATCCAGAGCTTTTTTTGGTGGGGGCATATTGGGATTTGAACTCAGGACCTCATGCTTACCAGGCAGGTGCTGTATCACTTGAGCCATTCTACCAGCCCTTTTTTTGTGTTGGGTATTTTTGGGATAGAGTCTTGCAAACTACTTGCCTGGGCTGGTTTTGAACCGTGATCCTCCTAATCTCTGCCTCTTGAGTAGCTTAAATTACATGTGTGAGCCACCAGTACCCAGATATCTAGAACTTTAATTTTTTTTTCTGGTGGGGGGATAGGGGGTGTGTGTAACTGGAGATTAAATTCAGGGCCTGGTGAATGCTTTACTACTGAAGTCTATCCCCAGCCCCCTAGAACTTTTCAGGTGGATCTTGCTGAAAATATAAAATTCTTAACATTTATTTATTGATGTGATGTACATTTTGTACCCAATTAAAGATTATTAGCATGTGGTTTATAGTCCAGGTAATTAAGACATGGTTAAATAAGACATTGCATGAAATCCGGAGCCCTTTCCCAAATCAGTTCTTTCAAGGGTAAATAAATTAGTTCACTCAACATAGATATGTTAATTCATCCATCCAAAACTAAAGGAGTGTCTACTATCTGCTAGGCACCGTTTTAGGTGCTGAAAAGCTGAGAACATGCTGATGGACAGGATAGACTATGGATGTTATTAGAGGGGAAGACAGACAATGAACAAATCAGTGTGAGGTAACGGATGATCAGGGAAAGCCTATCTGGGGAGGTGACATTGGAGCTAAGACCTAAATGGTAAGAAGGAGCTGACTCTGATGTTCCTGAATGTTCATGCAAGGTTGTTATAAGCATGTTTAAAGAAAGAAAAGGGTGAAGGGTAGTAAGTTAAAGAGAGTAGTGATACGTGAGATACAATCCTAGAGGGGACAAGGGCCAGATTGTGTAGATATTTGGATTCTTTTATCAGCATAGTGGGAAGCCATTTGAGGTGTTTTAAACAGGGCAGTGCAATCTGCTTTTAAAAGATCCCTTTGGAGCTGAGCACATTGGCTCACACTTGTAATCATAGCTATTTGGGAGGCTGAGATCAGGAGGATTGAAGTTTGATCCCAACCTGGACAAATAGTTCATGAGACCCCCAGCTCCAAAATAACAGCAAAAATGGATTGGAGGTGTGGCTCAAATGCTAAGCACCTGCTTTGCAAGCAAGAAGCCCTGAGTTCAACCCCAGTACCCCCCACCCAAAAAAAAGATCCCTTTGGTTATTAATAATAATAATGATTATATTGGAAATAGATTATAGGGTTGGGGTGGAAATAAGTTGATACACTAGTCCATAGTGGCTGGACTAGATTAGACTAGCAGCAAAGATGAAGAGGAGTGGACAGAGACTACCTGATGGATTCATGTAGAAGGTGAGAAAAAAAATACCAAGAAGGAGCCCTCAGTTTTTGGTTTGAGCCACTGGGTCAATATCCATTCAGTGCCTAAAATGTGCCAGAACTATTTGGTCTTTTATTGAGATGGGTGCTTTAAGTGATGGGGAGTTCCACTTCTGTCAGATGCAGTTCCTTTGGCCACTCACCTCCTTTTTGGCAGGGTTCACATCCTCTGGCAGCTCCTGATTCTGATTCTTCAATAGAACTTCTATAGGGTAATATTTTGGTTCCCTATCATCAGAATTCAAGGAGAGAATTGCATTCTTCATGTCCTACATAAGAATATAGACAACAGGAAAAGACTGTTCAGTGATTTTATGTGACCTGCATGTGTATAATATTTACATTTTAGGTTATATCACTTCACCTTTTGTAATCATTTTTCAGAACAGTGCATGTCAAAATCATCTGTAAATTGAAAATATTCAGATTTTGGGGTTCTTAGGAAAACTTATTCAGTAAATCTAAGGTGAGTCTTTATAGCCAGTTTGGCATATGTGGTGCACTTGTCTCTTTCATTGTCATTACTTGCAGTGCTAGGGATTGAACCCAAGGGTTTAAGCATGGTAATAAGCAAGTACTATGCCACTGAGCTATAACTCCAGCCCTATATGTCTTTTATATATTGTGGTTACATACCTTTTCTTGGCACTTTTATTTAGGCCCTATATTTAAAAGCCTTTAAATGTCTTCAGATTGAAGTCATACTTTTCTTAAATACAGTTTGTTTTTGTTTTTTGAGATGGTCTCTATGCAGCCAGGTTAGCCTCCAACTTGCTATGTAATCCAGCCTGCAAACTCTCAGCTCTCCTACCTCTGCCTCAAGTTCTAGAACCACCATACCTGGCTTCTTCTTTTTTTTTGGTGGTACTGGGGTTTGAACTCAGGACTTCACACTTGCAAAGCAGGCACTCCACAGCTTGAGCCATACCTCCAGTCCATTTTGCTCTGGTTATTTTGGAGATGAGATCTTGCAAACTATTTGCTCAGGCTGACCTGGAACTGTGATCTTCCTGATCTCATCCTTCCAAGTGGCTAGTATTGCAGGTGTGAGCCACCGGCATCTGGTTATGCTTGACTTAAATACAGTTTAAAGATACTATATCACCATTAGCTTTGGAATCTGACTTTGAAGGATACAAAGGACAACACTGCTAGATGGTTTGGACACCTGGTGCCATGCATTCATGCTGATGTAAAAAGCTGTTGGATTCCTGGCTTGAGGCTCCACTCCTTTTAGTTGTAAAAACGGGTAAATGGCCTAAGTTTTTATGGACTTTACTACCAGAAACTGATAAAAATATCATTTGGGTTAGAAGCTCTTTCTGAAGAGTACTGCCCATAACTATAATCTCTCCTGAATGATAAAGAGAGTTAGACAATAAAATTGCGTTTTGTTTTTTTGAGACAGGGTCTTGCTATGTAACCCAGGCTGGCCTCAAACTCATAATTTTCCTGCTTTTGCTTCTCAGATGCTTGAGATCTGCTTTTCTAAATTGATTTTTTAAATCTTGGGGTTGAGGGTGCAGCTCAGTGGTAGAGTGCTTAGCATGCTTGCTTCGTGGGTTCAATTCCCAGTACCAAAACCAAAACTAAACAAAACTCCCTTTATATCAAAATAGTCAAACAAGAGTAGTACTAAGAAGAACATAGTAGAGTATTGCCTATGTGGAATCTGTAGTATTTGCTATGTACTATTTTTTTTTTAAGTGGTACTGGGGTTTGAATTTAGGGCCTCATGCTTGCTAAGCAGGTGCTCTACCACTTGAGCCACTCCATCAGCCCTTGCTCGCTCTTCTTGGCTATGGGGCTTCTCTAAGAATAAACCCAACTCACAGCAGTGATTTGCATGATAGCAGCAGCATCTCCCAGCTCCTCCTTTAACTGTTCATATGACTTTCCTGCCTGAGAAGAGAAAGAACAGGATGAGGTATTGCTGATAGTGGAGGAACTACCTGGTCTATATCATCAAAAGTAAAAGAGCTGAAGAGGAAATGTAAAAGAGCTGAAAATCAGAGGCCTTTGAAAGGTAGGGAAAAATGAAAATTCCCCTTTCTGGCCCATGTAGCGTAGAAAGGTCCTTTTCTCATAGTGTCCAAGTCTGAACTCCAGGTCTTGTGCTTGCTAGGCAGGCATTCTATCAATTGAGCCATGCCCCTAGCCTGAGAATTTTTCAAAAAAATTTTTTGGTGTTTGAAGTCAGGGCCTCACACTTGCTAGACAGGCTCTCTACCACTTTAGTCACTTTGCCAAACCTTCTGTGTTGGGTATTTTTGAGATATGATCTGATTTTTTTTGCCCAGGCTGACCTTGAACCATAGTACTCTTGATCTCTGCTTCCCTAGTAGCTAGGATTACAGGCATGAGCCACCAGTGCCTGGCTTGCAAGGTTCTTACAAGATTGAAGAAAGAGCAGTTGATAAGGAGTCAGACAACCTGGCTTCTTCCTATCGGTTAACTGTGACTGTCGACAAATAACTTGACCTCTTAAGTTTCCCCATCTATAATAACCTGCACTGGTTGTCAGATGGTGGTAAAGATCAAAAAGATAATGTGTGTGGATGCACTTTATAAACTATTAATTCACACTGCCTACTACTAAGACTACCTGTGAATGATCTAGCTGGACCTATTGGCTATGAGGATGATGGGGAAAAGAACAAAAGTAAAAGGCAGGGAGTGGAATGGGAGAAATGAGGTTCTGGTTTTACTTCGCTCTTGAGTCAGTACCCCAACTCCTGCCTGAGCTTTGAGGCCTGACTTGCCTGGCTGTAAGAACATCTTCCCCAGTCCCTTCATTCTTACACTCCAGATGTGAGGATCCCAGGCCAGGAACCAGCCTGTGAAGATGGGAGGCTCAAACCCCTGTTTGATGATCAGAATCGGTGTGTCAGTGTCTCGGCCACTAGGGTGAGTGTGCAGGTATTCCTGGGCAGTTGCAAGTGCGTTCTTCTTCTCTGTAGCATTGGCCTCAACTCCAATCCATAAGAACACCTGTTGTACAGATTTAGTATTTGATAATGCACTTGTGCTAAGGTAGTCCTAGGTCATGTACACTGCTCATCATTCCCCCTCAGCAATTCACAACCTCAGAAAATGTTCTCAGCCTAATTTGTTCAGCAGAGAAAGGTTTTCCCAGAACCAGCTTGATATTTTTTATTTTAATTGCCACTTGTATCTCCCAAATCTCCATCTCCAAACCTGAGCTCTATCTAAAGTTCAGCTTCCTGAATTTAACTTCTTGCAAAACACCTCCTCTTGATGTACATCAAATAAAACCCTCCTTAAATGTAGCTCTTCTTTTTAAAATGTGTATCTGAATTTCCATTCTTGGTAAGTGGCAAAGGGGTGGCATCCATTCAGTCACCTAAGGCAGAGTCATGTCCATAACTCTCCATACCCAGTGAGTCACTAAGGAGGGCTGGCCAACTTGGCTTTTTAGGGCATTGGTCCAATCTGTCACCATCCCTCTATCCCTATTCTACTGTCCTCATGTGGGCCCATAGCAGCTCTTCCTTGACCCCATTACTCTTTTCCTACACTTGCAGGAATAATCTAAAAGCACAATGACCATGTCACTCACCTACTTAAACATCAGAATAAACTTTCTGACATTGTAGGCCAGGCTAATATCTACTTCTTCAGCTTTATCTCTAGGGTGCTTAACTGTCTTATGTTCTGATAGCACTTCGTGTTGTACTTTTCTGTGTACTCTTTTCTTTGCCCAGAAGGTCTTCTCCATCCTTCCCTCCCACCCCCCACCAAGCCCTTTGCTATTTGAGTCACGCCCCCTGCCCTTTCTCCATTCAGTTTTGCCAAATTATGTGTACTCATATTTTGGTATTCAGCCTTGGAGTCATCTCTTCCAGAAAGTCTTCTTAGAGTCCCTAAACTGTGTTGAGTGCCCTTAATTGGTGCTTCTGAGGCACCTTGTGGATACCTCATCATAGTGCAATATTCCTCTGGGTAGATTCTCCTACCAGCCTAAAAACTCTGAGAGCAGGAGCTCTTTGCCTTGGTGACATCCACTTGGCACAGTGACTAGCATGGAGGTGATGCTCGGAGTATTTTTGCTAAGCTGAACTGTTGAGAAAGGGTTGCCTTGAAGCTATCCCTTTCACATTCCTTGGTTCCTTAAAAGGCCCACATTCTCTGGATTTGTAATCTGCTTCTGTTAATCCCAAAATACAGAAGGGCAGGATGATTGGATGGCTTGGTTTTCCCAAAGCAAGGTGAAAAAATTCCTGGGGTGGTGAGTTTCAAACATTCTGTTCTCTGACCATGGCAAAAAAGCAGTCACTTCCTTTGACAAATGTTTGACATCTAGGCTCATTCTGGTGGAAATGCTACACAAAAAAAATAGCTTGAACTGTGGGGACCTTGTCATTTGTTCTGAGTTCTACGGCTGTGTCTTACCTGGTCCCACGTGTCCAGGAGCATCACATCACCTGGGTTCAGGTCATCCTGGGTGAAGTCTGTGATCTCAGTGACAATGAAGCGGCCAGTCTTATTGGAACATTCAAAGAGACGGGACTGGACATCTAGTGTTTCCTGCTGTAGTCTGCAGTACAGTCCATGTAGAGGAACAGAGCCACAGAGAAATTGTTTTTAAAACTGAAAGGGATCTTAGGGTTTGTGTCCTTCACAGGCCTGAAGGGAGGGGGAGTTAAGAAGAGGGGGATGCTGTGTTCCCATACCTTTTGTCATTGGCATAGGGTGTTTTCCCTCCCAGTAGGTCCCAGAATTCAGCTGACTCCTGGCCCTCAGCCACAGTGTCCTCGGTGCCATCACAGAGAAGCCCGGCTAGCTCCTTAGCCATGGCCCGCTCATCCCCACTAGACCCCTGAGTAGGGCAAGGAGATCACAGATGTTAGTCACACATGCTGCTGAAACTAGTAACTCAGTGTAGCGGGATCAGCTATTGAGTCATAGTGCCTCCAGATGGAGAGGTAGACTTGTTCTATTGTTAGGAAAGAGGGGAAAGAAGACAGAGTAACTGGAAAAGAATAGGACTAGACTCTGAAACCCAGAATAAATGGTGATAAGAGTCATCTTTGTTTCAGCCTTAGCTGGAGTTTTAGCACCTGCTTTTGATTCTTTTTTTTTTTTGAGGAAAAATTAATCACATATAGTAACATTGACTCTCTTTGATATGCAGTCCATGAGGCTTAACAAACAGACGTGTTACCACAGAGAAGATACAGAATAGTTTCCTTTTTAGTCCTCCCCCAAATTCTTTGGGGTTACCCCTTTGGAGTCAAACCCTACCTGAATCTTTAACCTCTGCAACACTAATCTGTTCTCATCCCTCATCAATATAGTTTCACCTTTTCCAGAACAGCATAGTGGAATCATACAATGTTTAGTTCTTGAGTCTCGCTCTGGCTTCTTTCACTTAGCATGAATTGGAGACTCACCCAATGTTGTGTGTATATCAGTGGTGCATTCCTTTTTATTGCTAAGTAGTATTCCATTGTATGGGTGCATCGCTGTTTGTTTACTCATTTTCTAGTTGCATTGTTGATTTAAAAAAATTTTTTTGGTAGGACTGGGGTTTGAACTCAGGGCTTCACACTTGCAGAGCAGGTGCTCTACTACTTGAGCCACACTTCCAGTCCATTTTGCTCTGCACGCTCACAAACTATTTGCCCAGGTTGGCCTAGAACCATGATCCTCCTGATCTCAGCCTTCCAAGTAGCTGGGATTACAGGCATGAGCCAGCGATGCCTGGCCTGGATTGTTTCTAATTAGGGTGTTTATGAATAAAGGTGCTGCATACATTTTTGTACAGCTTTTATTTGAAACTAGCTTTTTATTTCACTTGGGTAAATACTCAGGAGTAGGGTTGCCTCTAAATGTATGTTTATAAGAAACTGTCAAACTGTTTTCTAAAAGCTGTTCCATTTTGCAGCCCTACTAGCAATGCATGGAGGTTCTTATTGCTCTGCATCCTTGCACACATTTTATATTCATGTTTTTAGCCATCTTAATCAGTGTGGACTGGTGTCTCATTGTAGTTTTAATTTGCATTTCTGTAGTGTGATATTGAGCATCTTTTTCTAGTCAGTTCCCTTTCAGGATATTTATAAATACCACAGGCTGGTCTCAAACTTGAGATCCTCCTTCTCAGCCTCTTAAGGAACTGGGGTTACAAGTGTGTACCATTAAGCCCTGCTTTAATTATTTTTTATAAAACAGTTTTTAATATTTTTAAAGGCACTAATAGAGTATGAATTGACATCACATTTTTCATGTTTTGCTCTGTTAGCACCTGACCTGTTACAAGCCACCATACTCATGTGAGAAGATTAGCTTATCCAGCCTTCATGCATGTAGAAGTTCATGGGATGTCTCCTGGGGTGAGCAGGGCCATCAGTGAGTTTCTGGGAGGCCAATTGTAGGATGCTTCCTTTGAGGATTGTTTAGGAAAAAGCCACCTCTTTTTGAGGCCAATGCCAGTCTACTCTTTAGTTCCTTGAACTTACTGACCAGGGGTGTCCAGGGCTGGGCTGCAAGGGGTTCATCTGACCACTGGGCTTAGTCATCCTACCTTGCCATACCACAGATAGTGCTCCGCCTGGGTTCGCAGCAGAAAGACGTCATTAGAGTTTAGGGAGGAGGCAAAGGCTGGCACCTCTACTGCCTTGGTGTTTGATTTGTCACTTCCTTGAATTTGGAAGAGTCTCACTGGAGGGTCAGGCTCAGCATTTCCTTTCCTGGAAGTCCCACCCTACAAAGAAGAAAAGCAGAGTGATCTATAAGGACCATGTGAGCACTTGGTTGGCCATGGTGGGGAACATGGATGTACTTGATACCATCTTTGCCCTTCAGGATCTCCTAAGCCAAGTGGAAAGGGTTAAGATGAGCTGGGATTATGGCACCAGTAATAGTAGGGTTTTTTTTGTTTTGTTTTTTGACAAGATCTTATATAGCTCAGGCTGGCCTAGAACTCACTGTGTAATCCAGGCTGGTCTCAAACTCATGATCCCTGCCTTAGTCTTCTAGGTGCTGGAATTACAGTGTGTGCCACCATGCCTGACCTAATGTTATTTTTCATTTTGAGAATTTTTTCATATGCCAGGCTCTGTGTCTAGTGCCTTACTATTACTACATTGATCCTTCTAAAAATTCTGTGCAGTAGGTACTATTATTCCAGTGTAGATGAGGAAACTGATATTTAGAAACCTGGCTACTAAATGGTAAGACTAGGACTTGACTCCAAATTTATGGGATATCTAACATGTGACCTTATGCATTGCCTGGTAGTGCTTTAGACAGGGCCAAGAGAAGTGGCCCTTAAACTTGAAGAGGCGCATATGGTGAAGGGATGACATCTGTGAGCTCTAATGAGGAGACCCACCCAGCTGACTGGAGGGGAGGGTGCTGGTTGAATAGCTGGGGTAAGGCTCCTGTATAGGTAATTTGGGTCCGATTACCAAAGACCTTAAGTATTTATTAGACAGTGGTATGGACTTGAAGCCCTAGGCATTTGGGATTTCCTTGAATGTCTTAGACTAACCCTCTTCTCTGTCTCTGTGTCTAGCCTACCCCACCCCTCCTCAGTTCTCCCATAGCCCCTAATAGATGGCTAGCTCTGAGCATTTCTGAAGGTCCTCACCTCATAGATAACCAGCTTTCCTTTGAACATGGCCATGAAGTGGCGTGGCTCCTTCCCCATGCTGACCCGAACCTGCACAGGGGCCCCGCCAAACTGCTGATCCACCTCCACTGCCTGGTAGGCTGAGGCTGCCAACTCATCCTGTGAGGCATGGCGGCCCTGTAGTGGTGACAGGGGAGTGAGTTCTTCCTTCCCCCTCCAGCCCAGTGGCCAGCGGAAGTATCCACATCCAAGGCTGAGAACCTGTGCCAGGCCTACCTGCCATATGTACAAGATGTGATGTGGCTTCCCATTCACCTCGTATGTGTAGAGAACCAGATAGCAGTCTCCCCCATAGAAGAAGCCATGCCACTGACGTTCCACAGGGACCAGCTCCAGGTTCTCAATTCTCCAGACCTATGCACAGGAGACAGTTCCCAACAGGTGGGCGTCCTGTTCAGAGGGTGCTCCCTAAAGGGAACTGGGCTGTGCTGAATGGAGAACCTAGGTGGGTGAGGTGCTATACCTACCCCAATGCCTCTTCCCCCTCTGGTTCTTCTCTGCTAGTGGTGAGGCCTCATCATATTTGCATGATTTGAATCCAAAAAGACCAGGGTTGTCCTGGTCTGGTGCCTTCCATCACAGCTGGGTGTTTGTAGGCTGAGTGGTGATTTGAATATGTCTGCCAGGTGAGTTATTGATAATACATTTGGGGATGTGCCTCTTACTTCCCTGAAGCATTGTGGGGAAACTGCCAACTTGCCAACCTCTTAGAGAATATTGAGGTGTCAGAAAAGAAAAGTCAAGCAGACAATCACCTGCCTGTCTCTGCAGCAGGAACAGCCCCGATGGCTGTTCCTCACCAGCCTCACCTCAACTTTCCCGTTGCCATCATCCACCATTCTTTCCTGGGCAGCTACCTCTGGCTTGGTGTGTAGCAGAGTCACATCAAATTTATCTTGGAAAACTTTAGCTGCAGAGAAGGGATTGGGAAAAGCTGAGTGAGTGAGAAGCACCCATGCCTCTTTCTAGAGTCTTGGCAAATAGAGGATACTCTGGGGACAATCTCACCAATTTTATTAGTGCTGAATGTTTTCCCCAGGCCCATGGTCTGGTCCTTCACTGACCACTTCTGGAACAGCTGTTTGAACATGGCTGACTCGGCTCCATCATTGACGGTCTCCACGTTGGTGCTGCTGGAGTAGCCCTTCATCTTGATGAAGCCCTGCAGAGTTCCCCCACCGCCCCCATACAAAAGCAAGTCAGTCAGGATTACACTGAGTTTTTTGCTTGTCTGGTAATTCTTGCCTTTGAAACCAGTTGATAGGATCCCTCCCCTTGGGAGTCAGGGTTAAATTTGGACTCATTTCTGTCTAAGGACCAAGTTACCTTACTAAAGAATGACTGAGTGGGACATTTTAGCATCTATTTATTAGTCTGTCATGATTATGATCATTATTAATTGTTTTTGCAAGACCCTCTATGCTGTGTTCTTTTCAGCAATTATGTAAATCTCTTTTGTGTGTGTGTGTGTCACAATCATTTATTGCTTTTAAGTGCATCTTTCTTGGGTCTTCTGCTGCCTCTGTATGAATATCATAATCTCCTTGAGGCCAGGGCTGTCAACCTTAACACATGATATCCCCTCAATACTAACAGCACCTTTTACAAATCAGGTGTTGTGTACCAAATAGTGTTCTGAGAACTTTACAATGTACTTGGTTTTAATCCTTTACATGTTTTAATACTTATAACCCCAGGAGATAGGTATGACCCCGTATTAGATATAAGGAAACTGAAGCTCAGTGGTGTTCAGTAGTCTTCCCCAAAACACTCAGCTGGAAAATGTAAAAAAGGTAAAACCTGCATTTGAGTCCTAGTTTGTCTGACTTTGAAGTCCATGTATGTAACTGTAGTGTTCTGTGCTCAAGTGCCTGGTGTGGTTCTGCACACATCTGAAGTGATATTGGCAGAATTATTTGGGTAGTATTGTACATCTGCAGCTCCTACCAGGGCTTTAGACATGGCCGCCTGTTTCTCAACTTTTGTGGCTCCTTTTCCTTTCCACACATAGATCTTGGCTCCACTTTGGTCCAGGATGTAGCAGTCCTGAAGCAGTCAGGGATAAATATGGTTACTGCTGCTCAAGATAGAAGGAAAGCCTTTGCACAGGGTCTGCTTCTGAAGCCATGTCTGACTACCCCAAGCCAAGCCCCCGTAGCTCTACTCACATCATGATTCAGTAAGTCCTGGACAAGAGGCCTTGTTGCCACCTCTGTGACCGCCAGCTGCCCATCTGAGTCTGAAACACTGGAGAAGGGGAGAGGTTAGCTTGAGCCTTCTCTTTACTAAGCATCTTGTGGCTAAATTGATGTTTTAGTGTGGAGCTACTGGGTAGAGTTTGACTTCTTAAGGAAGATGTGGCTTGGATGCAGACAGGAATATACAGACTCTATTTCTAGGTGGAGGAGACTTCTGTGCATCTCTCTTCCAAATTTTATCCCTTTCACATTCCTGGACATGCATAGACCAGAGTATAAGAAAGGTCTCCCCAAGGGTCAGGGGAGTTATTAATAAGAACAGAAAATAGATGCCTCCTTAAAAGAGGGTCTCCAAGCTCCTTCTAGGTACTGCATTTGAAAAGGACCAAGAAGAAAGCTAGACACCTATACCCAAAACAAGGGGCCAAAACGAGAGCCTGATTTTCTAGGGGATACCTTCGCCCCATCCAGCTTTTAGCCAGCAGCCAGGTCTAGCTACTCACTGATACAGCATGATATTTGATTTCTGCTGCTGATCTATGATCTCATCAGGGACTGCAGACTTGATAATGGAGCGTCGGCCAAGGGTGTCCTGAAGCACCATCATCAGCTCCGGGCTGGCTGCCTCCTTGTCCCCCTCGATCACTCCTATTTCAGCTCGGCCCCCTCGCTCCCTGTCCCGAATATCCTTTGCCAGAAGCATAGCCTGTCAACAAAACCCAAGGAAGCACTCAGCCTACCTGCAACCCCTTTCTGCCTGATGGCTTCAGAGGGAGCAGCCTGGATGCCAGACCCAGGAGATATTCTGATGCCAAGAGCCCTGAGGTGGGTCACACATTTGGCTTGTCTGTAAGACTGAGTCTACTCAAAAGCCAGGATCTACCTTGAATCTTGCGAATCAGCCATTATGGAAGGAAAACGGAGACAGCACCTGAGGAAGCCCAGTCTCATGACTGGGCTTGAGGAAGAGGAGAGTGCTAAGACTAGAAAGAGCCATACCTTTAGGCGCTCCCCACTATTGCTCTCTGGGCCATTCCATTGGATGATGACCTTCCCAAGGTCCAGCAAGAAGACATCACCTCGGTTAAAGCTGTCCCAGCTCATTTCCACCTGCAGGTGAGAAGTTAACATTGCTTGGGGAGGTCTTAGGTGCCATGGGGAAGCCCTAGGCCCAGGAATAAGTGGACAGGACTTACCTCAGTGGCCCGGATGTTTCTCTTCCCCTTCACATGTAGCAGCCGCTTGACATTATAGGTGTTAGTCTCCACATGCTTCATCCCAGAGGTCACACCCCCCTTTTTATAGCTGAGGAACAACCATTCAGTTATTATTGATCATCTGCTATGTGCTAGGCTCTAGGGAGACCATTGGGAATTATACAGATACAGCCTCTGCCCACGTGGGCAATGATAACCAATAAGCAAGGTGAATGCAGATCAGGGCAGTCTTCTCTGAAGACGTCACCTTTGCGGGAACCTCAGTGATAAAAACACTGCTGTGTGGAAGGGCTTGTTTTGTCTAGGAACTGTCTGAATATCAGTGTGCAATGGAGAGAGGGACACAAGTCAGGCAGAGGCAGAAACATTTATGATACCATGGCCTGAAGACCACCCACCCAAGAGTCAGCCTTCCTGCCACTGGAACTCACCTCAGTCCAACCTCCTACACTTTTAAGGACTGCAGCAGGCAATGCTGGAACAGAGGTTTCCTGATGACTCAGTGTGGTGTTTTGTGCCCAGCAGGTCCTCAGTGAAGACTACTGACCTGGAAGAAGCTGCCCTTGACCCAGCCTCAAAATTCTGGGGCTCATTCCAATTGTCTTTTGGTTTTTAATCTCAAGTGCAATGTTCTCAGTGCTCATGGAACATTATCATCAGAGGCCTTATAAGATCCTCTTTCGTGTCATGTCTGCGCATTTCCTCTCATCTGTGTTCCCTATTCCCATTCCTCTTTCTACCATGACTTCCATGCTGACAGTTTAACATCTCTTCTTTTTATCCCATAAAATGTGTCCTGTTGTTTGAGGGCATTATTTTTGTAAAACAGAACTTGGTATTTTGCTATGTACTTCAGTGTTTCTTACTTTGTTCATTAAGCACCTTGTCTGTGAGATGTGTCCATGTGCTGGCTGTGTATCTGATCTGTTGCTTCTGGTGCACATGCCTGGTCTCCTGGTGATGGACACCTCCCACCATTAATGATATTGCTTCCTTCTAGAGTGTGGGCCCTCAGGGACCTGGGTATGTGAGGATTTGAGTTATACACCCAGAAGCGGCATTCACCTTAGTGGCATCATGACTACTCTCCAGAATGTAATGCCAGCCCACACTCCCATCACCAGGGTACAAGCTCCCATTTCCTCACTTGGCACCACCCAGCTCTCTAATTTGTGCCACTCTGATAAGTGAAAGTGATAGCTTTGTTTTGCTTTGCATCTCTTAGATTACTTTCTTCATAGGCACAGTGGTCTTTTGGGTTTCTTTTTCTGTAAACTGTTGTTTCTGGCCTTGCTGTGTGCATCACTACTCACATGATGCCCTGCTTGAAGTAGCCACGGAAGGTGTCAGACTCATGGTATTGCACTTCCCGGTGTTGCACGGGGCCACCTCCCAGGTAGTCGTCCAGCTGCGTGGTGTAGATGGCTGCACAACTTTGCTCATCCTGGGAGGAGTCCTTCCCGATCCAGAAGTGGATGTTCTGGGAGAGGAGACTGCCCACTCTCCGGGTCTGAGATATAGTCAGAGAGATCAGGTCACAGGCCAGCTCACCACCCCTTTGCTACCAGCCCTCTGGGATGGAAAATCACAGCATACAGAGGCTTGTGCCCTGCCTGCCTGAAGTTGGTACTAGAACTGCCCAGCCCCTGTGCAGACCTGCTCTGTGACTCCAGCTTCGGCAACCCAAATTTCTCCTCACATTTAGGGAAGTTGACAGCTGTTGTTCTCAAAATAATGGAGACCGAGAAGATTTTTCCCCAATTGGGCTGCAAATTTACAGGTCTCCTTGCAACCTTGCACTTACATGGCTGACCCATACATCTGTATGGCTATCAGTGTTTTTCACTCGGATATTGTTACCTTAACTAAAATGAGCACTTTGAGGCAAGAGAAAGCCTAGTATTTATCTGGTCTTCTTCCATACCACTTTAGTGCAGGGCATGGGGCCTGGGCCTCAGGAGGGGGAAGTGGGAAGTTTGTGAGGATCAGACAAAGGGCCCCACACTCAGCCTCTGAAGCAAATTTAAAACCCAGGCCTCATGATGGCCTGTCACAGTCAAACTTCAGGCCTACTCTGCATAGCACTAAGGAAGAATTGAGACAGACACCAGGAACCCCATTTCCTTCCCTCACCAGCAGTTCTGGTGAGCCCAGGGATGGTCTCAGGGGAGAAACTTTCAGGGCTGGGGATGCTCACCGAGAGGATGACGTAGCAGTCCCCCTCATAGAAGTTCCCATGGGCACTCAGGGGCACCAGTGCCAGCTCCATTTTCTGGAAGGACAGGTGGTGTGTACAGGTTTCATTCCTCCCTTCTCCCTTCCCCACAAGCCTCCCTCTCCTCTCTGCCATTTGTCACAGGTGGTAGATTAGTGAGGAGATGACCCCATGACCTTAACAGAGTAAAGTGGCCAGCAAAAGATTCATGTGACCATTGCTCTGGTTTCTGTAAGCTTTGCCTGCATCATTCTGGATCTGAATCTGGGTCCTGTCCTGGTTTCCCTCACCCTGTTCTCCTCATGTCCTGCTTGGTCTCACATCACCACACTGTGGGGAGCCTTGTGAGCCCCAGCAGCCCTTTGAAGAGGAAAGAGTTGGATGTAACTTTCAAGTAAAACCCTCTGAGCTGTAGTGCTAATGGCTCCTCCAACACTCTGACTACCTAGAGCTGGTCAGGCCTGCCCCTGTAGGAAGGAAGGCCAGCAGTGCAGGTGAGGGCTACCAGAAGCTAAAGAGTGCCTGTGGGGTGCATAGATCCAGGTTGAGTGTCACGTATTTAAGACCCCAGAATGGGGTCCTGACTTGTCACTGCATGTACTGCCTGTTCCAGGAGGGCCATTCACAGCCTCAGATGTAAATTATGACTCTCTCCAAGTGAGGTAAACCTGTAGCCATACTGTGTGTATACTATGTAAAATGTCTGTGTTAAATGTAAAAAGGTTAAGTATACCACAATTTTCGTAACCCTGTTTTTTAACCTGTTCATTTTTAAATAAACTGGGAGCCTTAAAATACTGAAAGTGGTCTGAAAGTCTTGCTGGAAAGCTGCGAGTCGCCATTCCTAGTTGAGGAAGGTGAAGGAGGTGTCATCTCTGGGGAGTGGTGAGGAAGGCGTGCATTCACATCTGGCAGGCAGAGCTCCTCAGGCCAGAGTTTGGCGCTCATAGTCACCCACAGGGGCCCAAGCCCAGGAAGAGAAGGGATGAACAATGCCCTTTCTGCAGCACTCCCCTGCCTTATAGGAATCTGACATAGGAAGATATAATTCACTACTACTCTGATCTGAGCAGCCAGGAGTCCCCTGGGAGGGTCCCACCCTCCCAGCCAACTTTCCAAAATAGTTTCTGGAAATGCAGACTCACTGAGCAGATGGCTGAGTAAAGGACAAGCTCATTTTTGCTCAGAGCCCTGCTTCCCACGGCTAAGAGAATTTCTTCCACCTGCTTTGAGCACCTGGGAGGGGACAAAGATGGGAACGCATGCACTCTGATACTGCCTCTCACAGGCCCAGGAAGGCAGGAGGGCTTTCATGTAGCAGCCCTGCTCACCTCAATTCTCCAGGTAATGATCCCAGGGTCGTTGCCCACAGCCCTGAAGGCACTGCTCAGAGACATGATGCTTGTCTTCCTAGGACTAAAAGGTCACAGAGCAAGAGGTGATGTTTCTTGCATTAGGAAGCAATTCAGCTTTTCTGTCAGTTCCTGATCTCTTTAGCCATCCTGCCATGTCCTTGTGTTATGTCCCATACTACTTCACCATGGTAGGGGAGATGACTCGTTCAAGTTCACATGATGGGCCCGGCCCCCAAGTCCTGCTTCCTACCTGCTGCTTCTTTTAAGAGCTCTGGGAATAAATAGTAAGGAGTACTTCCTAAAGGGGTGATAAATGTGCTAAGCCCTGTGTAGATTCTCTTTGCTTATCTCAATTCTCAGGCAGTAAGCTGTCTGCTTCATCTTACCTTAGTAAAAGTGGGGCTTAGGGAGGCTAATAACTTGCCCAAGGACACGCACTAGAATGAGATCCATATCTGATTTTCAAACCTGTGCTTTTAGCCATTTTTGACATACTGCTACCCTTCCAAATATATCTAAATTCAGTGACTTGCAGAGAGGAAACCTGGTCAGATAGTTCCAAACTGAATTGCCTTCTCTCACTCTCATTCCCTCCGTCTGCCCAGATTCCTAGTCACCTCCAGCCGGCCTTTATTATTCATTTGCCTTTAAAAAAACTTCTAAAACTCAACCCTTACTGCTTTTATCACATGATTATAATATAGTCCTCCTCGCCCCCTCTTACAGAGGAAAAGGGAAAGTAAAATGTCAGAGCTGGGCCTGGGACAAAGGGTTCAGGGGGCCAGCAAGGGAAGGTGGTTGTGGCCTGGTCTTGCTGTGACCAGATGGCTTGCTTCCTTGAACCTCCTACACAGATTCTGGCTTCTCTGGAAGAGTTGCCCTCAAAGAACTTACAGGTCTCCAGTTCCTTTTGGGTTAAAGGAAGCAGAGTGGGGGAAAGGAAGAAATAGTAAGGAGAAGTCCATGTGGGTCATGTGCTCTCTGGCCAATCCTGCAGTTTCTGTAGCCAAGGTGTGGCGTGTGTCACTAAATATCTGCACACATCCAAGGTCACCTGGAGGCTTTATTATGATTTGTCTCCTTTGGTAGTTCCTGCTCTAAAGGAGCTTGCATATCTGACAATACACATAATGAATGCTAGATTAGTTTCTGAAGGAGCTTGCATATCTGACAATACACATAGTGAATACACATAAGGAAAAAGGATGGGATTGATGGATTTACATAGGTTTGTTTTTAAGCCCCAGGAGGGACTGCATGGGTTTTTTGGTATTTGGAAGTGTTTTGTGCTTGTTCATATGAACATGCTTGGGGTATGGCGGGGTACGTGTGGGGGAGTGTGGTGGCTTAGACCATTTGCCTAACATGTTTGAGGTCCTGGGTTAGATCCCCAGCATTGCCCTCCCCCTAAAATTAAAAAAGAAGCATGTCTGATCATTCTTTTATTGAGTTTTGATGGTTGAAGCCAGATTTAGAGAATATGTGCCATTATCTAGTATGTACTTTGGCAAAAAAAAAAAAAAGAAAAGAAAAGCAAACTCCCTTTGTGTTTTGCTAGAACAGGACTAAAGCAGATCGATGATGCGGAACAGCCAGTGTTTGAGGATTTAATTTGATAACTTGCACTGCCCCACCCTGGGCTGCTCAGAATTGCCAGGAAATATTTGTTCAGGTTTTCTTCAGACCCTAGGTTTCAGTTGGTAAAGGCAAATGCATGACCCACCTAGGGGAAGGGGACTGGGGCCAATGAATTCATTCTTTGGAGACAAGCGTGAACCTGGTAAAAGCCAAAGATACTGTCTTTAGGATTGAGTCTTAGAGCCCCAAAGCAGTCGCATTTCCCAGCAGGGACTTCACAATTGGGAAGTTCACTGAGCCAGGGACCCCAAATGCAGGAGGAGATGCTCCAAGAAGAGACTTCTTGCCACACTGCAACACCCAGAAAATCTAATTCCATCTGCAGTATCAAAGTCCCCCAAAGCTGGGTCTCTCTCCCTTCCTCAAGTCCTTAACTCAGAATCCTTTGAGAGGACTGCTGAGATCCCTGGAGTGGGGTACATTTTGAAATTCCAGGTTAGAAGGCAGCGGCTCTTAATTTCACAAGGATACCCCTGTGGATGGACCCCAAGCAGAGGAAACTGGTTTTAACTTCTGCCTTGTCCCATACCATCTTTTTTTAAAGACAGGGTCTCACTATGTAACCCAGGCTGGTCTTGAACTTGTGATCCTCCTGCCTCTGCTTCCCAAGTGCTGGGGTTACAAGCGTTCACCACTACCAGGCACCCATACCACCATACCGGTAATTTTTTAAAGGAGGAAGGATGAACAAAGTCCTGTCTTTGTCCTATCCAGTGGTCTTTAAAAATGCCTCTATACTTCTCAACAGGAAGCTTGCAAAACTGGCACAAACTCCTGGGTCAACCCTTTAGAAGTCTCATCTCAGAAGACAAAGCCAAAGGAATTTCCATCTCCTCTTCCTTTCCATTCTGCCTTATTCTGTAGGATTATCCGGCTAACAAACACCCATAAACCAGACCTTACCTTGCCTTCTTCTCACGTCTTCAGTTTCCTGGTAAGTAAGCAGCAGCAGTATTGAAATGCCCCCCAAAGCAGGAGGCTCCAAGTCTGGCCGCCTTAGCTGAGCAATGGCTGCAGACACTGAGTTATATTTGCTTGTGTTTGCATCTTAACCACATTTTCCTAGTTCTGGCCAATCACAGCCAGCCTAGCCCTGGGCTTGACTTATTCAAACCAGAGGGAAAGCTTTATCTGTTCCTATTCAAAACAGCAAAAACAAGAGCAGACTTTTAAAGGCTTCTTTGAACTCCAGCTCCACACCCTGATCTATTGATTTTTTTAAAGTGCTCAGCCCATAAATAATGCAGGAAGGAGGGAGGATATGAAATTTGCCATATTGTAGATATGAATGCATTACGCGGATGACAGGCAGCAGAGCCTCCCTGAGAAGCTTCTGGTCTATTTCTCAGAGGGACAGAGGTCTGTGAGAGGGAGGGCTCAGGAAGGTTTTGCTTCTTGGGGTCTCCACTAATCACCCCTCAGTCCAATACGAGTGCCTACTATGTGCCAGGAGCCATAATGGGCTCTGAATTTCAGGGCTCCCCTGCTTTGGCAGCATCAGGGAGGGGTGCAGGAGAATGTACTCAATTCTCTTGGGGCTTCTGGTTCATGCCAGGCAGTCAATAGGACACCAAGCATATGCTTGTTAAGCTCCTGGACAGCAATGGAGTTGGTTCCCGATGGGGGCCAGGAAAGAGCTAATGTAGTCCAACTTCTGTAACCTTGACCTGAAGCTCAGTGTGTGTTCAACCTGGGTGCTCCAGCAATTATGACCAAAGGGGTAACAAGGTAAGAAGGATATGCTCGCTGAGTGCCCAAACGGATAATGGCAGGATGAGAAGGCAGCTCCCATTGCTCAACAGGTTTTTTAAAACCGCTTTTATTAATTGTAAGTAATACAAATATTCCAAAAATATAAACAGACACTTAATGGCATCCTATACTTCAAGTTTTTGAATACAACAAATTTATCAAATCATGAAGCAAGGTAGTCAGAATCCCATAGCCCAGTCACAGTGGGAAGCAGAATCCCCCCACCCCCACCTAAAATGGCCATCTTGAAAGGGGAACACAGCAAATTTGGGATAATTACAAGCAAAGCAGCTCATGAGCCAATGGGGAGGGTGTATTCCAGGGCCAGGGACCCCACATTGAAGGAGCGGGGCAGCTGGCCACACCTCTGACGTCCTCTCCCCTGGTTGAATATACAGTTACTGGTGTTTAAAAAAAAAAAAACAAAACAAAGCCTCTGTTTTTAAAAAAAAAAAAAGACTAAAGAACAACAGTGGCTAAGTAACCAACTGAAGCCAGAAGGGGGCGGTGGGCTTCCCTTTCACACACACCTAGCCTAGGTGGGACACTAGAGGCAGAACAGCCACGCTGGGGCTGCCCATTAATGGGGCCTCAGGAACAGGGTAGGGGCAGCAAGTTGCACAGGGCCCATTCCCCAGTGATAACTCCCATGCTTTTAGCACAAAGAAGCTTCTGGGCCACTGTTAACAGAGGTGAGTCTATATACTTACATAAAAATCTTTGGGAGGCAAGAGGTTGCTAAACAGAAGGTCCCAGGTTAACTGAAGGCAAATTCACTTAACTCCTCCAGTAAGGGATCCCTGGGCCTACAGAGTGTCCCCTCTACAATGTGCAGAGTGGAAACCCTTACCTGACCCTTTACCAAACTGGTCCTGTGTCCAAAGCTCCCCCTATAAGAGGGACACGAACATCAGGCTTTTGACTTAGAAGCCCAATCAGAGAGACACACTGTGTCCCTGAAGAGGCACCTTAGAAAACTGAAACCTGGAAGGTGGGCAGATTCCTGGCAGGGCTTAAGCTGGTGTTGACAACAGGCACGGTGGCCTAGTGACTCCCAAAGACCAGTTTCAAATGGGAAGGGCTGGTGGCAAGTCCTAGAACAGATCACGGGATGGACTGGCTCCTTCCCAATCTTGCCCTCCTCCAAGTAAGTCTGCCTGATTCCTTGGAGGAGCAAGTTCCACAATCATCACTTGCCCCCAACAAACTAAAACTAGAAAGCAGGCAGCAAATGACTTTAGGCTGGCTCTGGTCCATGCAGACAGACCCTGTTTAGGTTTGGCTGAGTTGCTTCTCTGGGAAAGAAAAGGGGTGGGAGTAGCATTTCTGTGAAAAATTGCAGGTGACAATCAGAGTGCTTACGGCAGCAGGGTCTACAAACAAGGGCTTCATGCAAAAGCAGCAGGGACACTGCCACCAAGCCATCTTAGGCTTTGGTCATACGTCACACTCCAAGCACTTAGACAAGCCTGATAGGAAACGGGGTAGCACAGGCTCTTCTTCCACATGGAAAAACACAGAGAGTCACAGGAGGGAGAGCAGAAGGGTCCTTGGAACTCAAATTAGCCTTGAGCCTCTTATTGCTTAGTCAGAAAAGCTTGGGTGAACCAAATGATAGAATTGTCTAAAGGCTAACTCTTAAAGTAGGGCTTGGGAACAGGCCCCTCCTGCATTAGGATGGTGGCCGAGGTCAGGGCCTGAACCTGAAAACCTTACAATTCTGAGCTCTCATGTTCCTGAAAGAGCCGGTGTACCTAATTAACACATGGAGTCTTCTCTTCATCTGTAGCAGAACCCCTCACCCCCGCCTCCTCCCAAGCAACAGGGAATGATGCTAGGGTAAACAACATGAACTATGGGGTTTCTGTTCCACTTCTGTAACACCAAAGAGCAAGATAAGGCCTCACAACCTTGGGGCAAGGAGGGAAAATATAACCACAATGTTAGCCAGACAGCTACTACTCAGAACACTGAGCTGCTGTTTCACCACCTGGCTTTCTTGAAGCTGGTTCATTCCTGAGGCTGGACCTAGAGGTGTGCAAACTGAAAATGGTAAGGGCATGAGTCCTGAGTGGGTGGTGACCTGCACCTAAAGCAATTCACAAATGCTTTGTGACACCTGGTTCAAGGGAGAAGAGAGATGGGGAATTCCTTCCCACCCAGGAGGAGGGAGGAAGAAAGGAGAGAACCTCACCCAACCCTGGGGGAGGCCATGATTAAGGCAGTGATGCTGAGGTGGGGCTCCCTTTTGGGGGGAACCCCCTTGTGCTCCCAATTATAGCAGCACTTCCTCTTTTGTTTACCACCCTGGGGAAACTTCCATTTTGTGATTATTTTTTAAAGTGTTCACTATTAAGAACCTTTGTAAGCAAGAGACACTGAGTGTACAGGTCTGTGAGGGGCTCACTCGCTCCTGTTACCAGAGACAGGAGTTATGTGCATTAGGTTGGCAACCAAATGACAAGAACACCCATTCCCCCTCAGTCCTGGAAAAGTAGGACTTCTGAGGCCATGGGGAAGAAAAGCAATAGCTAGGAAAGATGAAGGCTAGAACAGACAAAGCTTGGCACAGGACAGGCCCCAAGGGAAGACACAACAGGAAAGAGCCCTGCCCACGTAATGGGAGGGGCTGGGGCAACTGAGAGCCCTTCCCAGCCTTTGGAACAATGTCCTTGTGCCAGCACCAGCAGAATCCCTGAAGAGCAGACTCCGAAAGAAGCTTGGCTGATCTGGAAGCCAAGGGGACACAAGTTCATGCTTTGAGGATTTCTCTCTTCCCTGAACGCCCAGTGCCTCCCACATCTATCTCGGGCCCAGGACTGCAGCTTTGCCAGAAACAAATGAGGCCCACCACTCCATGTTTAGAAAGAGAATTTTAAACAGAGTCAAAAGAACGGATATCAGTTATCTGTCCACTTCCAGCGCAAGGAAAAAACTTCCTTCCTCACAGGATCAAGGCTATGGCTAGGAAGTGAGGAGGCAAGCCCAGTACCCAAGCCTTGGGGAGACAGGGTCCATGGCTGGCACTCAGCTAAAGGCAAGTGCAACTCTTGGGCCACAGGACCTGATGGCCATGGGAGCACTGGTTCTGGAACAAGTTCTCATCTTCCAAGAAATGGCATCTTTTTGTCTGCAGCAGCTGGCTGGAGCAAGTTTTCAGGAAGGTATGTGTCTGGGACATCCAAGGGCAGCCTTTGGCCCTTCCTTTCCTTGTCATACTATGACACTGAGGAAAGGCCAAGGTTTGGCAATGGAGCAACAGTCTTCATCCCTATAAAGCTCAGTGGCTTGTAGGGTGACAGGAGAGGAGACACACTAACTTGGGAAGAATCTTGATCTTTCAGCTTCTGCCCCCTCAAACACTGAATATCCGGGGCACTGCAAAACACACACACATGCGCGCATACACACACAAACACACACACTAATACACACACACACTCACTAACACACACACACACCTCAGGAACCCAACTTAGGCAGTGGGTGATTCTGGATATCATTGGTCTGATTTGCCCACCTGACATCTGACCTGCCCTAAAGTTCTTTCCAATCACTCTATTTCCAGAACCCATTTGGTGAGATGCTCCAGCTTCTGCTTGATCCATCAGGCTGATCAGAAAGGCACAATATAGCAAAGTCCCCTACTGGGATGGCCATTGCTTAGAAGCAGGAAGGCTAAGGGGCCCGCAGCTGTCCAAGACTGGTGTAGACATCGTCTGCTCCACTCAGTTCCTCAAAAATTGGGATCAGGTTCAGCAACTCAGTATCTGCCATGTCATCAAACCAGGACTGCACAGGCACCTGGGGCAGGACAAAGGTGGCGTCAATCTCCTGACTGCTGCCTATTCTCTTCCTAACCTGGAGCCCCTGGAGGCTTCGGGGTGTGTGTGTGTGTGTGCGCGTGTGTGCGCGCGCGCGCACCTGGAGGCTTCTGGGGTGTGTGTGTGTGTCACTCGTCTAGTGAAGCACGTAGTCCCCAGCCCACTCCCTCTCCCAGTCCCTCCAGGGGGCCTATCTGGACTACTCACTGCGTTCTCTGGATGGAAGATGTAAGAAGCAGGCGAGTTGTCCAGGATGAGGGTTTTCCTCAGGTCCCTCCCTAGGCGGCTAAGGTCCTTGACATAGCAACCCTGGTGGAACACACAGGACTCCCGGAACAGGCGGGCCCGAAATACTCCACACCGGTCCAGCAGGTCTGTCACAGGATCAGCATACTGGAAGGAGAAGCAGCCTTAGTTTGGATGTAGTTCTGGTCCCCCTGTGGCATCCTGAGGACCAGCAAGTAGCTACTGAACCAACTGTGTCCACCACACTTGCTCCTGTTCTTTCCTCCCATCCCGCCGGTAGGTACCTTGGCCAGACTGGCAGTGAAGAGAACACATTCAAAGAGTTCCCCCATTCGTCTCAGGAACTCATCCACATAAGGCCTCTTGAGCACATATACCTGTGAAGAAGCAGAGTGGCTATGAGGCTGAAGCAGGTAGCATTGCTCACCTTCACCACTGACACAAAGAGCGGCAAACAGGCCCAAGCACCCTAGCCTTTTGGGCCAGCTGGCTGGAGCCCTCTGCCCCAGCACAGGGTAGCATCACCCCTTTACTGGGCTTCTGCAAGCCCAGCAGTCCCAACCTTAACCAAGCTCAGGAAACAGACCACATACCATGTCTCAGGAGCCATCTCTGATTCTGGCAGAGGATTATCAGCTGCCTCCAGAAACAAGTAATCAAGAATAGGCCTCACAGATGGAAACAGCCTATCCTGGATTACTTGAATCCAGCCACAGCCTCTGTGGAAGCTTTCTGTCCTTGGCTCCAGTAGGACAGTCTGTCCAGGACCCCATCAGGCAAGGACATGGGTACTTCCTGAAACATCATGACCCCACGTGGCTTCTTTGGAGAAGTGACTTTTCTCCTTGATGATCACAGACTAGACAGATAACCCTGTGTCTTGCTCTAGCACCTACCTTTGGTGCTTACTCCTGCCAGCCACCCCCAACACCTGTATCCACCTTTCTTGATCTTACACATTTTGCTCTTAAAGATACTTTGGTACACGTTCCCTATCCATCTCATTCTATTGCTTTCTGCCTTCAGGTTATACTTGTGCTCCTAGGACCATTTCCTCAAAGCTCATTTCATCAACTCCACTCCCTAGCAAAGAGCATGTGCCTTCTATCAACTCACCAACTGGCTCAAATCAGCCACCAACTCAACAGACCCTTCTTAGCTCTGCAGTGGAATCTCCATAGAGCAGCTACAACTTTGTTCCCATCAGTCTGCCATCTCTTCAACCTCCACAAACAAGGCCCTTCCTCATCCTGGCTACATTTATCAGGTCTGACTTCCCTTCACCACTCTCTTCAAAACCAACTTTGGGTAGACAGTCCTCCTACTTCAATCATTTATATTATTCACATCCCCCATCCCCCGTTAACCAGGGGTTCACAGTCTATATTTGCTTGTTTGGAAGTATGCCTTCGTTTTTTTCCTCATGGGTTTTGCACCTCTCTTGCCCTCACCTAGACTGTCAAGGCATGCTGGGCCTAGCACAGCACCTCAGGGGGCAATGGTGCAGAAAGCCGTTAATGGAGGTGGCTGTGATGAGAACCCTTGGAAGCCTCAAACCCCATTTTCCTTGACCAGGTTATGCAGACAAGTATCAGGGGTACTAGGGCATCTGCTCCAATGGTTCCTGACCCTCAGGCCAACTGGCAGGCCTTCTGGGCAAGCATTCTCAGTAAGTGGTCTTTCATTACCAACTTCACATGATCTTTAACACCAGACTAAGCAGGTCATGCATGGCTAGAGCCTGGTCATGTTTAGATTCCAGTGCTCTTTACTTTGACAGATACATACTAAGCACTTACTCGGGCAGAATCCAGTGTTGGGGCTCAAAGGAGGAAACTCAGAGAGGGTTTCACAGAGGAGATGCCTAGGTTGGGGAGGAAAAATTCACTAGCTCCTTACAGGTAGTAGAATGGGGAGGAGGGCTGTTAAGGCAGGGAATACCTACTACTGGTTTCCTTGCTTATGACACTCAGAGAGACCCAACTATTCAGGAATAAAGAAAATGTAATAGGGCTGGGGTGATGGTGCATGCCTGTAATAAGACCTAACTCAGGAGGATCACTGTTCAAGGACAGCCAGGGCAAAAAGTTAGTGAGACCCTATCTCATGTTTTTTTTTTTTGATGGAACTCAGGGCATCCATACTTGCTAAGCAGCTGCTCTACCACTTGAGTCACTCCACCAGCCCGAGACCCTATCTCAAAAACAAGCTGGGAGAATCTAGGTCTGAGGCAAGCCCCAGCCAAATTAGTGTGAGATCCTAAGCAAAAAACAAACTAAGCCAGGTACCAGTGGCTCATGCTTGTAACCCTAGCTACTGAGAGATCAGTTAGACTGAGGTTCAAAGCCAGCCCATGAGACACTAACTCAAAAAAAAAAAAAAAAAAAAAAAAAACCCATCACAGAAAAGGGCTGACTGAGTGGCTCAAGTGGTAGAAGAGCCTGTCTAGCAATCCTGAGTACCATTTAAAAAAAAAAAAAAAAAAAAAAGCCAAAAGGACTGGGTGTGGCTCAAGTGGCAGAATAAGAGGGCTGGGTTCAATCCCCAGTACTGCCACACAAAAAAAAAAAAAAAAAAAAAGAATAAATCTGTTAATAGTGCTTTGTTATTGAAATAAGGGTATCATCCACATGGGGAAGCTAATTAATAAATGATAGCTATGACTATTATTGAATGAGTAAACTGTTCTTTCAAATAACCTAACAACAAAGAGAGTGAATACAAAAAGGGTGAAAGCTAGAAGGGGATGGGGGACTTAAAAATTTTTTTGTTTTGTTTTGTTTTTTAAGATGAGAAAGCCTTAGCCAGGAGTCAGTGTTTCACACTTATAATCCTAGCTACTTTCGAGGTTCAGATCCGGTGGATATGGTCCAAGGTTAGCTCCAGCAAAAAAGTTAGCGCGATCCCATCTCAACCAACAGCTGTGCACAGTGGCAAGCACCTCTCATTACTATGAGCAAGGCAGAAATCGGGAGGATCATACTTCCAAAGCAGGCTGGGCAAAAAAGTCTGCAAGACCCCCATCTCAATGAAAAAAGGCTGGGTGTGGTAGCATGTCCCTGTCATCCCAGCCATGGTGGGAAGCCTGAAATAGGAGGTCCAGGCTGGCCTGGGCAAAAAGCAAGACCCTATGTCCAAAATAACCAGAGCACAAAGGGCTGGAGGTATACAAAGTAGTAGAGCTCCTGCCTCACAAGTGCGAAGCCTTGGGTTCAAACCCCAGTGCTACTAAAAAAAAAAAAAAAAAAAAAAAAACAGAGAAAGCCAAGATACCAGTAAAATGTGAAATGCCTAAGTCATGGAAAAGGGATCAACTGATGGAACACAGCCCCAGAAGGGAGGTAAGAACACTAGCACAGGTGGAGCAGAAGGCAGATTCCCCACCCTTTGGGCTGGGTGTGGCCTGGCAGGCAGCTCACCTGGTGAGTGGTCCCTTCAATCTCTACAGGCACTATGAAGTCAGCATTGTTGATTGGCTGTAAAGCAGAAGTTAAGGACATCAGCATGGTGGCAGAGATAAGCTGCTCCCCCTGCCCATCCACCCAACACTTGCGAGGGCTGAGAATGGGGAGAACAATCTTAGAGACTCCAGGAAGCTCCTTCTGCCAGCCTACTGAGTTCTTAGCCTAACACACTGCTATGCCCTCTTCTGGTTTTTCCTCTCTACACACCCCTCCACCACCACCTGTAAGCACACCCCACCAAATTCTGCCTAAGCTTTGACTTTTTATTTTTGAGACAGGGTCTCCCTATATAGCCCAGGTTCACTTTGAACTGGCATTTAAACTTCTGCCTCAGCCTTCTAAGTGCTGGGATTCCAGGTGTGTATCACCACACCTGGCCTTTCCAGGGCTTTCTTGAGTTAACAAACATTCTGGTAAAGTCAAAGCTAATTCAACCACTTGTTTAGGCCTGCCCTGTGTAAAATCCCAGTGGCCCTCTGTGCTATGTGGAGGGGGCAGATGTAGCCTATTGATAGTTACTGATAACAGAGGGTTCATACTCAAACATTCTTTACTATGGCTTCTAGATATCTGTGACACCAGGATGGCCTGGCCTCTCTCTTCAGTTCTCTTCTCCCCTTGCCTTTGAGCACCCGTTGCTGAGCTCACAGGCAGGCCTGAGAGGGGTGTGACTTACCTTAAAGGAGCTGTGCACAAGGGTTTCATCCAGGTCAATGACCACACAGATCCTTCCTTGATCTTCCTCTGTCACCTCCGGCAGCAGACAGGTCCCAGGGATCTAAAATCAGAGGCAGGATGCTGAAATGTGCCCACCAAACAGAAAACCCAATCGCTCCCCTCAGCAGAACTCTGGGAAGAGATGGGCTGTTTATGAAGATGGAATCATCAGGCCAGGACAGACGCCACTTGAAAGACAACAGAGACAACAGGGCTGGTTCCCTAGTTTTAGCCTCCCACGGTGACTTAACATTAAGTGATTTGACATGAAATGGTAGCTTATGGCTGTGCAGGATGGACAGCAGTTATAGGAAGAGGGTGTATGGCTGTCCCCCAAAACTTTACAATAGGCCCTCTTACAAATACTTAGATCAAATGGCTTGCAGGGCAGGGAATGGCTAGCCAGGCAATAGAGTAGGGGCATCGCTCTGCCCGCCAGGTCAGTCAGGGGCCACAAGGTAGGCAGATCCACATACCTGATAAAACTGGTACTGGAGACACTGGAGGAGATCCGACTGGGGGAAGAGAAGGAGGTGGTTAGTGCCAACTCACCAACACCTTCTGCCCCATCCAAACTACTGCTTTTGCCTCCCCAAGATCTAGCTGCCTGGAAGCCCCTCACATGACAAGGGGTTGTTTTTGCAATACTGAGGTGTAAACTCAGGGGCTGTGCTTGCTAGGCAGGTGCTCTACCACTTGGGCCATACCCAAGCCCTAAAGTGGCTTTTTTAAGGTGCTGGATGGGGAAGGGGGGAAGGCCAGAGCTTCCTTTCCACATTAGGCCTGATGAAGGGTGGAAAAGATGGCGTCCCTGTTCTTAGATGCTTTTTCAGTTGCACAAAGTGAAGAACAAGGGACTCCAGAGGCTGACTAGGGAGAGAGACAGAGGCAGAACCAGAATCTGAACTCCTCACTGGGATAGTTCTTAAACCTAGCTTCTCTTTGAGAATGTGTTTCCTCTCCCCCCACTGTGAGAAGTGAGAGGAGCACTGAGCCCCACAAAACATCAAGTAATACAATGTGAAGCCTCACTGGGGGTAACCAGAATGTGAGGGGAGGGGATGATGGAGTGGCTCAAGAGGGCCTGCTTACCAAGCACAAGGCCCTTGAGTTTAAACCCCAGTACCACCAAAAACAAAACATAAAAAATGTGAGGGAAGATGAAGAGGAGAGAGCTCAGAAAGACACCTTCCTCTTCACCTTTTGCTAATAAAATATAAAAAAGCAGAAATTGTTCTTAATGAAAGCTTAAAGACAAATTAAAATTCTAGAACTTAGAAAGACCTTGGTGTTTTAGAGAGAGGTGCCATTGGTATTTGGGACAGAATAATGTTTGTTGGTTGGGGTTTGGCTCCACCCTCAAAATGCTAGATCATATGATAATAAAAAATACCCTGTTTCCAAATGTCTCACACTGGTATAGCTGAGAACTGCTGGAAGGGTTGTTAAGAGGATAGCAGAGTTCCAATTCCTTGATTATTTGCAAAAAGGTAACTTGGAAGGTAGCTTTAAGTAGCAGAGAAAAATAGCCACAAACACTGGCTTTATAGTCCACAAGATGTGAGTTTGAATCCTAACACTACCCATGAACTCTTCTGGGGCTACCCATACCCTCTGGGTCTCAGTTTCCATATCTGTAAAGTTGGAATCCTGTGACTCCCCTGTGGAGTTACTGTGTGGATCACATGAGACAATATATGCAAAGCACCTTGTGGGGGCCCTGGAAACCACAAAGACATCTGGATGGCCCATACCATAAATGGGAAGGAGGACAACTCAGAGAAGGACAGAGGGAAGGTCTTTGTCTGGGCCAGGGACCTTCAGGACTTCACACAAGGTCACAATGCCTACTAGCTGTGGTCTGCAGGGAGTCCCACGCCAGCAGGCCCTTCCCAGCTAGGATCGCACCACCCCATCCAGCTACCTTAGCAATGGTGTTGGCTTCTCCTTGTATGCGGTAAGTTCAGTGGAAGAACTTGACTGACCAACATGCTGGGAGCGAAAACAGCAGAAAAGGGCCTTGAAGATGTTACGTCCACGTGGCTTCTTAGGAGAGGACTTGGAGACCAGGCCTAGACAAAAGGGAATGGCAAAGGCATTAGGTACAGGGACAGGGGACACTTGTTTCTGTCAATGTTCTCTTCCAGGATATAGGAGATACACCTGATAAACGCCACATACAGTGAAACATGTGTGTTTACTCCAGCATTTCTCTTTGCAGCAGAAATAGCAGGACTCCCCACTCTCTGGTTTGGAAAATGAGATCTGAGTTACAGAAGATTTGTTCTTCATTCTATTTTGGGGGTTTGCTGGGATACAAAGATGGTCCAGGCGCACAATCTAGATATTCTCTTTGTCTAGCTGCAAGGGCTCTCAAAATTAATTCAAGAAGGCGGAAATCCCTCCTGATAACAGCAGTCTCCAAGAGCACTGATAGTTCTAGACGAGGGCTAACCCAGTCCCTGTGAATCAAGCAGAACTGTAGTTCAGTTCAGAATCAGCTTCCCTAGTTACTGAAAAACTCCAGGTTAGAAATTACCAAACAACTACAATCCCAAGGAAGAACGTACGCTCTTTGTCCACACCCTGTCTGCCCATGCTCCAGCCACTTTCCTTAACACCCCTTCCCCTTAGCAACACAGAGCTTGAACGGGAAAGAGGTGAGCCTGTGGGACATGCACGCCCAGCCCCGGGTCCTAGGCTGAGGCCTCTAGACTACAGCTGCTTTGCTCTATGTGGTGATTCCGGCTTTGGAAATTTAGACATCTCAATAGGAAGCAGGGCAAAGTAGCCTCAGAAAGGCCAAGTGGATACAAAAAGCTCTGGGAATTACAAGATTGGCCAGAAATGGACTTCAGAATGTCTTTTGCAAGTTTCTTTCACTTCAGATAAACTGTTCGGGCAACCGTTGACCACAGTGGGAAGATATGATGGCCTATGGCCAGGAGGTGGCGCTGTACAACCACAAGTCCCAAGCCACAGGTCTTTCCTGGGGGTCTGAGAACCCCACAGTTTGAGCAGCAGGCTTATGGATTGAGCCCAAGCCAGTCCAGTTTTAAGCACAGGACGAATGAGTGGGCAGGCAAATAGATGCCAGAAATGCCTATCTTTGTTGGGGAAAGAAGAGCAAACAGGGAAGCCCTGAGCCTGTGTTCTTCCTAGGGGTGAAGGGTGGGGCTGAAGGGAACAGGAAAGCAATGTGGTGGGGCAACTCAGCTCCCTCAGCTCAGTCCAGTCCTCAGAGCAGGTACCAAGGTATCCCTTTGCAGAGTAGATGATGGGACTGCCTGTGACTGTGGAGAAGAGAGCAGAAAACCAAACTGTTCCAGGGACTAAGGATGAAGAATGGGCCCTTATACAGCAGTCAGTCAAGTTTAGTTAGCAACTTCTTACCAGGGTAGCCAGGGTAGCAGGGGCCTCCCCAGGGAGCTCCCTGATTGGCTGTCCAGAGCTCATTCTCCTCTCCCTGGGTTAGGCCTTGGCTTACCCTTGACACTGGTATGACCACTGAAAATGACACTTTCCAGCAAATGGCCTGAAAACCTGGATATCACTCTCAAATTCCGAGCCTTGAAGGAAGATTCAAGATTTCTTTGGGTATGTGGTTATCAAGCTGTGCTGGGGGAGGGCAGGGCAGGCACAGGACGTGCCCCAAAGCCTTCTGTACCACAGACACCAAATTTAGAGCAGAGCCCAGCACTTAAAGATAGCAGGATGAGACGTTCTTTGGAACCCCCCTGCCCAAATACAATTCTTAATAATCTATGCAGAAATTAGGGGGAGGACAACCTCCCCCACCTGCCCCACATTAAATGCTAGGCCCAGAGACCAGGGCAGACACTGACACAAAGCTCCAAGACCAAAGCTGAACCACTGCTTTTCCTTTGGCTTATGGTTCCTTCATGCAGAACCACAACTGGAGGCTTAACCCAAGCACAGGGCCTTCTTAAAAGGCCACATAGTCTGGGACTTTCCTGGAGAGAGGCCACATTAGGAGTGCACTCGGCAGCAGAGTGACAGATGCTGTGAAGGCTGAGTAATCCTGAGAGGCAGTGGGGTGAAAGGGGCAGCTGGCTGGGGCCATGAAGAGGCCTGACCTGTACCCATCACGGGAAGCCCAAGAGTCCTGGCCCTACACAAGAAGCTTGGGTTCTGCAGAGGGGTGAGGGTCTTTTAAAAAATGCAACGACACAGGCAGCCCCTGCGCCTCAAGAGATCACAAATGCACCAACCTTGGGAGCAAGCTCTTCAAACAGAATACCCCAGACCCACAAGAGCAAGGACAACGTCTCCCATTAACCCCACGCTCCTCCCCACAGGTCTTACTTCCCTCCATTCTTCTCCAGTTGTCTGTCCCTCTACCTTTACAAACACCACTCTGGAGAATTCAGCAGGGCCTGCTTCAGCCTTCCCTGAAGGCTGCCTCCCCTACAATGGCCTCAGTCTCTGGCATCTGTGTGGCAGGGGCTCAATAACTTTTCACTGGCTGAGTGAAAGGGACTCTGTCACTTCCACAGAGCTAGAACCTGGACAAGCTTCCACTAGTTTGCTGTGACCAAGAGGAGTGGAAAACAGAAAAAGCCTCCTTTATGTTAGAGGAAGGGAGCACTGAAGGAGCTGAGCACCTGAGGCAAGCCACCGAATCTGTCAGCCTCAGCGATATTTACTGAGCACTAAAGATGTACCAGGCCTCTATTAGACACTTGACATCACTAGCTCATTTAATCCTCATTATAAACCCATCTGTAGGTACTAATCCCCCAATTTACAGAAGGAAAACTAAAGCACAGATGGGTTAAGCAGCCTGTTCAATGTCATGTGTTAGCAGTATCAGGATTTGAACCCAGAGCCAAGGCTCTTAAGCCTTACCCAGCAGGGCCTCTGACCGTTCAAGGACATCATGCAGCTGTCCTTGAGCTGGGAGGCTTGGGGGCACTCTCAAAGTCTTGTCTTGAACTTTTGCTCCATTCCTCTCTAGGATGGACTGGTAAAAGATTAGTTTGGGGTCCGACCCCCACTTCCTTGAGGGCAGGCCATCTACAGTGCAAGGGTAACAGTCCAGGGCTCTGGGACTTCACTCCAGGGAAGTCACCCTCACTGTCCTTCCTACCTGCTCTGACCAGCAGATGTGGGGGAAGGAAGGACTGGAGCCAAGAGTTTTGGTGCAAGACCTGCTTTGTTCAGTAGGTTTAAGGGTTAGGGGAACCACACACCAGAGTGGGATCTAAAACTTGTGTCAAAAAGCCTTTTAACAGCTCCACTCAGCCAGCATGCAGTCAGGTGCAGGTCATTCCCACCCCTTTGTGTGATGGGGAGGGCACCACCCACCGCTCCAGGAGAAGAACACTGGGCCCAAGAGGATTTACAGGCCTGAAGGGATTTCATAGCACGAGGTTGCCCTCATGAGGGATTCCGTCATGAAGCGCACAGCAAGCTGCTCTCCCTCCTTCATCTGCTGGCTGTACCCCCTCTGTGGACACCAGTTCTCTTCTCCTGCCCACAGATGTGCATCTGCCCTCCCTGCTCAAACCTCTGGGTTACAGCGGGATGCCACCCAAGAGGGAAGCCAGGCCAATGCTCACTGCTGCAAGACTTCCTACTCAGGCAGGGCATGGAGAGAGGGGTGATTTGAGAGCTATCCCTCTATTCTGAGGGTCACCTTGGTTGGGGGTCTGGGCTCTGCCAGTTACTGACTCAATCACACAGTCTCTTGTAGCCTTAGTTTTTTCCCCTATAAACTGGGGTAACAGTGGCTCAAGCCTGTAACCCTAGCTACTCAGGAGGCAGAGATCAGGAGGATCATGGTTCAAAGTCAACCCCAGGCAAATAGTTCTCAAGACCCATATTAAAAAAACCAATCACAAAAAAGGCAATGGTGGTAGAGTGGCTCAGGCAGTAAGAGTGCCTGCCTACCAAGTGTGAGGCAGCGAGTTCAAACCCCAGTGTGTCCTAACAAAAAGAAAAAAAAAAAACAAACTGGGATGACAGCAAGACCACATCCAGGACAGAAAGGATAAAACTTAAGAGTGAGGCACTGTGAAAACTCTAAAACTAAATGCTGTGCTTTAATTATCTAATTGGTGACATCATGGGTGTCACTCCAGGAAACCAGCAACAGGACCAGGAGCCCTCCCACTCCCATCATGCGGATGAAGCCGTGACAGAAGATGAGGAAAGAGGGCCTGCCAAAACCACCTTCTCCCAATCCACCAAAAAGTACGCTCAGTTCACAGCCCGCATGGTACAGTGAATGATAACTTAGCAGGCAAGGCTGTCCCATTTGCTACGGACATCCCCCTCTCCTCTTATGTCCCCCACTCCCCCAGAAACAGCCAGATAAGAACCATGTTTGTTTCTGTCCTGTAAGAAGCATGTGCAGGCACACACATGTCCACACACACAGATGAAGACTAGCCTTATGAGGGCCATGCTATTTTTAACCTTCTTCTGAAGGTCAGGTCCAGATATTACCCTTGCCATATACATAGCTTTGTGTCCCAGCAAAGGAACTCCTTGCAGGAAATCCGCCAGGGACTGGGCAGAAGGCAACCCTTCAAGCCACTGGATTTTAACAGGCCCATTCACATACAAGGATGCTTTTCTTCTAGGTTTGCCCCCCCACACACAAGGCACTTCCTTCCACACCACCTCCCATCCCCCCACAGCAAAGGTTTGCTCTGGCTATCACTATAAAATGGCCTCTCAGAGGGGCCTCCCTCCCCTTAGCTATTGGAGGAAGGAGAGTATTTGGAGCATTTCCGGCCCTTCTTGGCCAGCTGCCTGGGCCCTCCGGCCAAGACACATCTGATTGGAGCTCCCCGTGGAGAGGAGTCCTCCCAGGTTGTCGGAAAGGGGCATCTGTGTCTTGGGTAAAGACACGCACTAAAGTGCCAGGTGGACGGAAGGACTCCTGGGACCAGCAGATGAATGGGCAGGGAGACAAGAGACTGTGAGAGATGCCTAGACGTCCTCCACACAGAAAGGACTGGAAACACAGAGAGGAGGGTGTACCTCTATCCGTCGTGCCCAACCACTAACACTATCCAGCTAACAAGGCAGGCAGGACCTCATC